GGAAAGAGAAAGAGAGACAGAAAAGGATTTTTCATCGACAAAAATGTGAGAATCGATTTTTTTGCTGGTCATTTGGCTATACCTGAAGACTGAAAGCGTACAACGTCACCAATCACCTTGGAGGCACTTTTTTGCGAGCACACTTGTAAACAATGTACTGTACTGTACATTCAAGTGTACAAGTGTACTGTACAGTACGATGTGTTCATTTCCTTTCAGACTGGGAAAAAGGGAAGAACAGTACCGAAATCAAGGTCAAATTACTATACTTTATACCATAATGGAGCTAGAGAGCTGAACTTTTTATACAAGTTGATAGAATTAAATGTCTATGCAAGAAGAGTCGAAGCAGATAGTAATCATTACTATGTACAATACTTTGCCATGCCAAAGTTGGAAACGAAAATAAACCCACGTTTACAGGCGGAGGGGGTTCCATTTTTATCGATGAAAAGTCGTCGTTTCCTGTCTCTTCCTTTTTCTTCCGTACAGTGTACAGTACAGTACACTACAGTACTGTATAAAATGTACTGTCAACATTGAACAATAAGTCAAGCAAGGTTCGACCTTGGGCCAATCAAACGATAATGATTTAAATGCTGTACCGCGGTCTTTTCGTACAATACAGCACAGCACAGTACAGTACTGTCAACAACAAATCCAGCAAGACTCGACCTTGGGCCGGCAGATTAGCTAATCAAACGATGGTGGTTTAAATACTTTAAACAATAACAGTGATAATAGACAATATACTGTATATCACACTAGGCAATTGTCGATATTATGATAGCCCTTTAATAATCAATTAAAATGTTCCACTTAGCGCGCATTCAAATGTAAATGAAGCGTACAGTACATACTGTACGTACAGTACAATAGAGAGAGGAAAGATAAAACCGCTATTGAATGGCATAGTACGTACAGTAGAAGTTGACCAACGGTATTACAGTACTGCAAGACTGCAAAGTACTGTACACTGTACAGTATGTTTATGTGTACTGTACTGTACACACAAACTGTGCAGTATGAATAGAGTGTGTGGAAAGTCATTTGATATTTGTACAGTACAGCGTTTACGGGAAATTTTTGTACTGTACAGTGTACAGTATACTGGTGTACTGTACAATGTACAGTACACGATAGTAGCGGATGTCGGAGACCTTTTACTATTTTGAACCCCCAAAAACACCACGGGCGCTTTATTATTTTAATAAGAGTGTAGCAAAAATTCATGCTAACTACAGTCTTTCAAATAACTTGATTGATCATAATTCCTTAACAAAGTTCAATGCTTGATCGATTGCACACTACTGTACGTACGATGAAGGAGATTGCAATGCTGGCCAGTAGTATGTACTGTATGATACAGTAGACATGACACCAGCTTTATCCTATGGCATACTGTACAGTACTGTACTGTACAGTACAGTAGAACGATCGAACGAGGAGTCAGTCGATTGTACTCTACGGTACAATGTACTGTAGTGTTTCCCAAAAAAATTAGGGGGGCAGCAGTGTTGATATTTATAGTTAGCATTGTGATATATAGCACCGTGGGTTCCCTTCGGTGTTCATTTTGCTTGAAAAAACATCACCACTCAACCTTTTTTTCCTGTCTCGGTCGTCTCCAAATTATAACTTACAAGCTGCAAATCAATTTAAACCACCTTGGTTCGTGTATTTTTGTTCCAATTAGAGCTAAAAAAATTGGGTTTTATCCTAAAGTACAACATTCAATCGGTATCCGCATTACTGTAGTTGGTCTACTTCGTCGAAACGCCTTCAACCACCTGAGTGTCGCATTGAATGGACGATGCAGATAATATACGTGCTGCCGGAAGGAGGCTACGGCGCATTGGCGATTTTGCCGAGAATGAAGCACCAAGAGAAAGAAATTATGCTTGGTATGATAATCTTTTAATGCGGCGACATTTACGATATTTGCTGCAAGCTTGGCAACAACTACGCTATATTTTCTTCTAGTTGATGGAAACAATTCATTTCTATTAAACGTTGAATTGCATAGAAAAAAAGGAAAACTCATGGATGACCGGTGACACTAGTTGGATAGTGTACGCACTTGGTATCTTGAGAAAAAAAAAATGAACTTCTTAATTAATTTAATATATCTTACACGTACATAGCTAAACGATTTACTGTGCTTCGTGAATTCTAATATATTATAGTAAGCTAAACATAGTCTAGCTTGCATCCAAGTGAAAGTGAATATTTTCTTAACTTCAACTTTTATTTTTTTTTGTCTACGTATTTTCGTGCTGTACCATGTTCTACGTGAAGTACACCGATGATCGTAACTGGTTTTAATCTGTGTAAAACGATGCTGTCTATACTTTCTTCCCTTTTTTTTTTATATTCTGCTTTGTGCTGGATACACTTAGCAAGATATGACTTTTTTGATCAATTTCGTATGAATTAACAGGTTATAAAGTTTCAATGCTCTATAGTTCAATACTACTGTATGCGACAGTGTGATATCCAGTGGTCAATACAGTATTCAGATGGAATCGCCGTAGGCGGTAGTGCCGGTGAAAATTTGTTGTAGTCAACTTGGTAGTATGATGCTGTAGTATCGCTGATTTCAGCCATATCAAGTTATCTTGTAATTCTTTCCACTATTATCCATCACCTGTTTGTCATCAATCGCTTGGATCCGCTGTTAATTTCCGAAAAAGTAGCAGAGTACAGTACAATATTATTATTATGAATGACCTCTGTAAACAGTGTGTGGACGGACGTACCATGTATTGCGCATGTTGGTCAGCTGCAAAGACTTTCACAGTATGCTGTCTTACTCTGAAAAGCGTAAGCGGTACCGATTCCACCTGTAGAGGTAACAAACTGAATTAACCTCCTTGTTGTCCTACAAACTACAGTATATACAGATGTATACAGTACTGTACACTGTACAGTACATATCGATAAACTACAAGCCGACGGACGCGTACGCAATCGAACATGAATTTCAATTGTAACCGCAATGTTAACTTGTTTTTAATTTTCTTCTTGTCATCGAGGTACAAATTTGTTACTCGATATGTTATGCTTGATTGATTATATTGTTATTACATGTAAAGTCAATGAATAGACTGTATTTGAAGATATTTTGCTTCATGAAATGATAGACTAGAGAAATGGCGATGCAATAATATTTGATATTTTGGTAATGATGGAGTACAGTCTGTATATTATGACGTCACAAAATGATCATTTTTCAATCAAGTATAGAATCCATGATCGCGCTAATTAACTTAATTAACTTACTGTCATAGTTAATTTACTTTCTTTGATCGACAAATTTTTCAAATCGATCGACTAATTTTCAAATCGTGTAAGACGTATTACTATTCATAAAATATATCTTGATAACGTAATTTAAATTTAAATTTGTATTGATCAATTAACTCTATCAATAGCCCTACGGGACGTATCATAGGAACTTTTTTCTTCGACCTTCAGTAATAAAGTATGCTCTTGTAGCATTAAATATTCAACGGTCTAGTTTCTTATTGATTATTTGAATGTCAATCAGTATACAAACTTAAAATTACTTCCTTGAGGTCGCTTCCGGGTACACTTGGAATCATTTGTTTATATTGGGATAGCATGCGTTTGGGGATGATGCCGAGAATTTCTCTGGCAAGGATGGATATATTGTATGTAAATAGGATGGTACTATGAGCAGTTATTTTGACGCCTTATTTTATCAATGTTAGCTGAATTCGTTTTGGACGTCTCATTATTTTGGGCCAATTTGGAACGACTCGGCTATTTCTGCTTAGTTTATTTACCGTCATCAATTGATTTATATAGCGGTTTATACAATTGTCAGTCAGGATTGACACTAATTTTAAGTGTTTCAGATATAGCATATTTTGTTCACTTTAGTAATGCTCTGCATATTGGCAATAGTAATTTGTAGAATAGTTACTGTATAAGAGCCGCAAAAATAATGTTGATAAGAATAGAAAACTATAATCGGCGGTGCCGTAAATAGTCAAGGTTTGTCGTACTCGAACATGAATAAATTAGGGTGTATTACTGTTTACACAAACTTTCGAGGACAGATTGGATATCATTAATAAGGATTTTATAGCAATTCATTTAATAACAATTTATTGCTGGTGGAAAGGGGTTTCTTTGCGGTCAATAGATGAAAAATCAAATTAAATGAATGGAAAGGTTGACACTAAATATCTTATTCCATTGATCCGCTGAATGTCAGTCATACCTAGTATGTCGTTAAAAGTATTTAAAAAGGATATAATTAAAAATCGCTATTCGAAATATTTTATTTCTACATCATGCGTATATTGCTATGATATTAGCATTAAGAATACAGATATCAAGAGGATCCAACACATTCGTTATCGAAAAGTAACTGAGTAAAAAAGTTCCCTTGCAGTCTGGATGCAGTAAATAGCATTAATTTCTACGGAACGTATACTTTATTCAGCAAATTAAAATAAGTGTATGTATAGAGCAATAATATTGGTTAGAAATATTAGCGATATAGCTATATTCTATATCATAACTGAAGATATTCCATACGGCTTAGATATTTTCAAAGAGAAATGAGTTTAATCGCATATTTACAATAAAACTAGTCAATTATTCAAATTTGGACTATAATTCCATTTAGAGGTATCAACTGACAATTAGGATTTATTCATATACAAGCTTCCATAGAAATTTATCTACAAAATCGCAGTATCTGAAATGTATCTTTCAGACGGTTAAAATTAAAACTTAGTTACAATAAAACTTTAATTTTAAAAATGTAATTAGTACGATACTTAATTGAAAGAAATTCAAGTGCTTTATGAAGTAGATGGAGGGAGCATTTGGATGTAAGGAATAATAACCATCACTGTGAAGCCTTGACTGGGCGTAGATATACTTTTAGTTTTTTTTATACAACATTCTCATTTTTTATAAATATTATTAGAACGTTTTCAAATGTTAACGATAGTAATATTTTACTAGTCGCTGCATTCGGGTGAACTTGATCGTATATTGTATTCTTCTTCGGTCGTAGTACTTGCTGCCGGAGATGAAACTTTAGTTGGTGGTAATGGCTTAAATGGATTTAAACTGCGTACAGATTTTCCACCGCGCGTGTTTACTTCTTGAGATTTCGTTAACAGTGGTGGCATAAATGAAGACTGTAAATTGTTATCATTAACGTCAGGTTGACTTGAAGTTATCACAGATTGTGATAAACTTCGAGTCGTTGATGGCGTTACTGAGCTCATTCGTGATAAACTTTCGCTTTCTTCCGTTGATGAATCTACGTTATTCCTATTATTACTTTGCCAAAAAGGACTACTCAAAAACTGATTTCTGCTTTTATTGGACTGAATTGAAGAGGGTGTAGGGATTTCGTCTCTGGAGGACATGATCGAGCTTGAAGCTGCCGATTCACTACGACTAGGAGTATCTTGGTAATCTTCATTAGTGCCAAATTTGGATAATTCAGAATACTTACTATCCCAAGCAGGTTTAGTTCGGCGCGATAACGATGGCAGACTTGAAGCAGAGTTAGGGCGAAAAACTGTTTTATCAAATTTATCATTGCGAGATTTTTCTTCGCTACTCATCCTCCTATCCGAAATACTTTCACTAATACTGTTTCTCGCTTGAGTTTGAAATTGAGTATCAGGTTGAATCGATCGAGTTCTTGTCATTTCTTCGGAGGACATTGGTCTGTTTCGATTTGATTTTCGTTGTGATCGAGCCGAGTGACTCCTGTCGGTAGCTCTATTAGATAGATTATCTGAGACTATATCATTTTTTGTCGGAGTTAAGGTTCGAGAAGATAGTTCAGTATCATTGTAACTGGATGCAATGCTTGACCTTGCTTGAGTTACATCTTCAATAATTATTGAATCTTCTCGCTGTACCTCTCTATTGTTAATTTCATGATCACTTTGACTAGAGATAGCATCCTCTTCTTGAGATACTAAATGCGCGGGATTTGGACTATTAATGGCTAATCTATATTTTTCCATTAACTCCTCTAATCTTTCATCTGAAATTTCAGTTCTGTCGGATTCCAAATCAGTACCAGTTCGAGAAGTGATTGGAGTACTGATGGAGGATCTGCATTGTTCAAGTAACTCTTGCAATCTGCTCTCATCGACGCTTTGGGTATCATCCTATTTTCATCAAGGATTGATGCCATTATTCAATAGTAATCATGATGTGGCTACATGAAGAATCTTAAAAATGTAAGTGAATGAGATATAATATTAATTTACCTCTTCATCATATTTCATTTTATGCAATTGTTGTTCAATGGTCTTAAGGCGATGATTTAAATCTCGTTGAAATTTCGTTTCAAATAAGCTATACTCTCCTAGACCTAGGTAGATGACAAGTGAAATAGGTTCATACGAGTGTTTCCCTAAATATCTCAAAAACCTTTCAGTAGGCAGGATATATGTCTATGATCAGTACCATAGTTATCGATATCGTTTTCATCAGCTTGCCATGCTATTATTTCATCTTTAACGAGACTCTATAGGATTAATTGTCAACATATTGGAAATACAAAATGTTAAAAGTTGCTATTGTACTGCAAAATTGCTCATCTAATCGCCAATAGTTGTAAAAATTTATTTCTTACATCGATTTTAGTTACACTAGTAATATTTTCAGTCATATCTTCATTTGGAACCATAGTTAAACTTTCGAATTTATCTGCCGGCATGATAGATTTCAATTTTCTAATTGTCATACAAGTAAGAATACAAACTTTACTGCAAGAAATAAATAATCAGAAGCAAATCGTGACTACTAGAAAATTAAAATTTCTCAGTCGTACGTATCAATGCTATCTAAGATCTCTTTTTCTCGCTTTTCCGGAAGAAATCCATTTGAAAGATTTTTAGAACTTGCAATATGGGTGTTTGTCTGGTTGATATGGATTTAGTATCCGCATTAATACCAATAAAGTCAAATAGGCATCGAAACAAGACTGTGATTATTGAATATAATCTAGTACCGTCTCAGTTTCGTCTTGATTTTCATCCGCTTCAAGCAAGAGCTGCTCAATTCTCTTTTTTTCTTCATCTGTCATCGTAACTATATTGGCCGCATCTGCTGCGAGCTATGTCAGCCAATAAAACTCTTGTGTTACTTATTACAATTACGTTAATAGCAGGGATCACTCAAGAAATTTTTTTCTCCCATTCCCATACACGGGAAGGAATTTCTTGAGTAGTCCCTATTAACAGATAGAGAATTATGTTATATCTCAATCTAATATGATTATATTACAATACCTCGATATTTCTTCTAATATAGTTTTTATTTTTAGAGTCCGTTTTTTCACTTTTTTGGTTACTATGGTGCCTTTTATCGTTTTTTCCCTTTTGCTTTCTGCTTTGTTTAATCTTTCTATGTATTCGAGTCCTTGTCATTTCTGAATGATTTTCAGTTCGAACATTGGATTTTTTGCTACTCGATATCTCTGTAGCTGCCAATAAATGGTCTCAGATATATATTTGATTGATAAAACAACAAACAGAAACATCAATATAGAAATTTACCTTGTTCTTCATCTGATATATCGGAAAGGTTGTAATTGACATCTAGATTACTTTCAATTAGTCCCGGCGGTTGAGTAGCAAAGAGAGGTGAAAATGTTCCAGAATAAGCTTCTATTTCCTCATCGTCACTGAAAGCTATGCAAAAATCGAACATCACTACAAAGAAACATCTTCAATGCTTATAACTATAAATTAACCTCTTACAGTTACGAGTAAATACTTTATAGAATTATATCAGATTACTTGATAAATCGGGCGCAGGGCCAATAGCGTTAATGTGATTTTTAGATAGTAAAGCAATTTCTTTTCCTTCTCGTTCGAGTTGCCTTTGCTGCTCTATTAACTGTTGTGACCATTGAGATTCTAACACTAGCCGTTTCTTCTTGACTTCTTTTTCTTTCTATTTATTGATTCATCATCAGAAATATATATTATGAATATTTAGCAGCAATGGAAACTTAAGTGCAGATAATAGTTCAAACCTTGACTACATCAGTAAGAAGAGAATCTAATTTCTGAATTCTTTTTAATCCCTTAGCAATTCTGGGATCCAGAACTTCTTCCGGCGTAGCTGCAACATCTTCTTTGGCTGCATTTACATTACTTGAATCTGCGGTGTCATTTTGTGATTGCTTCTCATCTGTGACTTCCGTACACTCCTATTGTTTAAGGTTGAAGAGTATTAAACGAATGGTTGTAAGGCATAACTTAAATTTTTAACATTTTATTATCGATAAATTAGCAATATTCTACGATAAATTTTAAAGTTTATTTGGTACTATAATTCATGTACTTCTTTTGGTTTGTTTAATTCGATATCGTTATCACTTTCAGCTTCCTCAACAGGTTCCTTTTATGTAATATTTTGTTGGAATATAAGATAATAGTTATTTAAATTATATTTCCGTTTTATTAGAGAATAGTTCATAGAAAATACGAAATTAATCAGTATGAATCTGTACAAGTAAGATGCTACTATACCTCAATGCTTGCTACTTCTATTTCCTCCACTGGTCGTGAAAAAGAAAGAGCATATTGACGTCGTAATACGATATGGCAAAAAGTTTATCAGGAATTTTACAGATTTTGTTAGCTTATTAAAATGATTATTGGTACCTTCTGGTGTTAATACTTCCAGAGATGATGAAGCAGGTCTATTAGAGCGCTACACGATTGATAATATATGTTATTTTTAAACTCAGCTATGACAGTTAGTGTAAAATAACTCAATATGTGTGTAATAAAAATAATCGAGCTTAGAAAGTATAGTTTTACATATTACTTTCGTAATAAATTTAGCTATAAAATATTATAGGTTGATGATAGATACGTTCGTTGTGCGTCGTAGTAAGATATATGCAAACGCAGTAGGCATAGCATGATGATTAAAACTTGATATTATTTTACTTCCTCTTTAGGTTTTAAAGTTTTAAATTAAAATAGTGAATAAACGAGTAACTTAAACGAGCAATTTTAGATACTAACCACAGATGAATGACCTGATATTGGTGGATATTGGTCGTCGTTATCATTCCTATAATGTTAATAAAAATTGATAGTTAGTAACAAACTGAGTTAATACGCTCTTTAATGACATTTATGGTACATCTTTTTGCAAGCTAATATTACGGCATCAAATTTTATACATTTGAGCCTTTTTATGGCGATATTTCATATTATAGCTTGGCTGTCAATATGTTATACGTTTATTCAACTAAGATTTAAAATGTTTAAGTATAAAAATTTACATTTAATAGAATTATTGACTAATCCTATGTGGGTGAAACAGATTGTGGGTATACAGTACGTTTACTTCAAGACTAATGAAATAAATTGATTAATTAGAAGATTTAGATTAAAGTAGCTAGAGCAATCGTATCAATTACAGCATAGATCAATCCTATTCTTAATTATATCATAACTTGCCTGACACTTTCGGTACTATCCATACCAATAGCTTATAGTACATATAGGTACATAATTAAATAATTCAGTCAATTTATGATGTAATGATGTCACTATGTAGAGTCCAGATGAATAAATAATTCCACGGGGTAATCCAAAATTCAGATATCATTTATTACTATACTAATTTATATCTAAGTCATAAAATTCTGGCTTCGTCGAGATTAAATAAGTAAGTAGTTACTGTCTATGTCAATGAAGAATTCGTCCAACTTGCAATGCTAACCGTGTGAACGTATTACACTCGTATTTCTAATTGAAAGCTATTGCTAAATTCACACATCGATGTAGCAAACTATCTCCATTATCTCAAGTCGTTAGTAATTCAGTTTTATAGTATTTCAGCATATTCTATTGCCTATTTGGTATCTCAAGTACATATGATTATTTGTGCTTATGTTATGATTGATACGGTTGTGGTTTAAGAATTTCAACGGGAGGAATTCGTTACTATGATACGAGCCATTTGAAATTAAGAATGATTCTATAATGCTCATGCGCAATGCTTCACGAAGTCTGCCGTCAAATGATCCTGCAGTAACTGTAACTGTGATAGTCAGACACCGAAGGCTCCAGTGGACTATACCCCCTATACAGTATCGTATACCATTATGATAGTATACGACACTATACTTCACGGCTATATCGAAAGATGTTCCATGTCTAGTGTTCCACATTCGCTTAGTCAAAAACCTCTTCGAGAGCACCAATTTCAAAATTGCTCCTAGCTGCGTTGCGGGCACTAGTAGCGAGACTGTTGGTGAACATTTTCCCTTTACCGGTTTACTAGTCCTTTTAGTTGCAGTAATGGCCGATTCTCGAAGATATGAAAGAGGATCAGATAGAGATAAATATAGAAAAGAATCCTCCCGAAAAAATGAGTATAAGGACAGATCACCAAGCAGGAACAGAAGCGATAAACGAAGGTAGCCATCCAAATATTGCAGCAATAATTTTGCAATGTCAATATCGCTGTTCTAGTAATGTTTGCTGTAACCTGTTACTTATGTTTTGGGAACATATTTTAGAATGATTCACAAATAGGATTCATGCCAATTACATATTTAATTGATTAATTATTAATCGTTGTAACATAACTTCAATCTATTTTGGTTCCCGTTGTTTTGAATGCCGAACTTGGTCAGATATCCAGATGAAGCAAGGAACTATCGTCATAAGGAAAGGAGAGACGAACGGGATAGTGAATCTCAAAGATTATCAGATAGTCATAAACATCAGCATTCGAATGATAGGAGACAAAGAGATTCATACGAAGATAGAAGCTCTAGAAAGGACGATCGAAGGAGAAATAGAGATGATGAGCATAAACAGGTCGAAAATTAATAGCTATACAATATTAATTATAGTAAAAAGAATTTTGTAGTTCGAGTGGATTAGTAGTTTCCTTTTTGGACATGACTACGTAAATACGTGCCAGAAGTTTATAAAAGTGTTTCACACAACATGAATCACAGATATAATAATAAATTTAGCAGTTTATTCTGTAGAAGCATGATAGATTATTTTATTTTGAGGAATTAGCTGTAATTGTCTCCACTCTACTATAAAGATAGAGACGCAATAGCGTAGATAAATATAGTAAATTAGTTGTATGGCTTGCAATTACTGCTAAGACGTTTTACTAAGAACTGCTATTATACCTAAATCAGATTAGATGTGCTGTAAAATTCAAAGATTCTTTTTAGATTTAACTTTTGCTTTCCATTTTTGTAGAGAAATGATTATTCCAGAAATAGGGATGAAGCTGATCGTAAAAGGGAGGAATATAACGAAGGTAAATGTTTTGTGTATAGGATTTATATAATCGATTGTGTCTATGATTCTTGATGCTATGCACTGGTAATAGACAGTGTTACCGAGTAGTTGGTGTAGTATTCTCTACTCTAATTACATAATTTTACTATAAAATTGGTCATGATTATGATACCACGTTAAAAGATTTTAGATATAAATAATCAGTTATCGAAATTCGATATTATGAATTAAAAGCGACTAGATTTACTATTATTTGGCAGATAGAACAGACAGAAAATTAGTATATGACTGCTTTTGTCGTGGTTTTAGCCGGTAATCATACCAGCAAATAATTTGCAGCAGTAATAATGAAAATATTTAGGACTGTTTTTGATGTTGCAGCTCGGCGTAAAAGGAGGAAGAGTGAAGAAAAAAATGACGAGTTAGTATATACGTATAATTTGTATCTTTTGATTCTGGTATGGCATTGGATAGTGTAATATTTTAAAATCTGTCCGGTATGATTCGTTAAAGCTTGGTTGAATACTTGTAATTTAATTTAGTTTTGGAAAACCTGTATCTGAATCAGAAACTGGCAAAGATGATGAGGATAATGCTGCTACTGAGAAAGCAGAACCTGATTTTAAGCTTTCCGGCAACTTAGCAAAAGATACGAATACCTATAAAGTATGAATGTGACATTGTTGAAAATCACGATATTTCAATTTTATTAACATTATGGGAACACATTTCATGTTAAGGGTGTAGTAATAAAATATAGTGAGCCGCCAGAAGCGAGGCAGCCGAAAACCAGATGGAGGCTATATGTATTTAAAGAGGATCAGTCACTGCGTAAGATTGAAGATGTTATTTTGTAGCACTAAATTCTGTGGATGACCGCCAGTATTGATAATACTCGAATGAAAGACAATACACTTCCTTAACACTGTGATATATTAATTTGCCTTTTATAGCAACTGTTTATATCCACCGACAAAGTGCTTTTCTGCTGGGTCGAGATAGAAGAGTAAGAAAAAATTCAGAATTTTAATAACTACTGAATCCACCGGCTTTTCCTAATTTTTATTATGCTCTCATTTCTTCTCTGCAGGTAGCCGATATTCCTATTGATCATCCTTCATGTTCGAGCCAACATGCTGTTATTCAATACCGATTAGTTGATGTAGAAAAGGAAGATGGAACTCTTGGAAAGAAAGTGAAGTAAGTCCTATGGTTTGCTAACTTGCTGCTTGGTGTGATGATATTTTATGACTACAATTTTGTGCTTCTGTGAAGTTGTGATAACGTATTTTGCTATCTCTAATTGTTCAATCTTTTTTTAGGCCATACATGATAGATCTAGAATCAACTAATGGAACATATGTGAATAATAACAGAATAGAGTCATCTCGTTATGTTGAACTGAAGGAAAAGGTAGTAATCCTACTATAATCACTTTACACCATAAATTTGTGATAATTGTAATTATACATCAATTAAGTGAAGTTTGCACTAAATGCTTTCCTGTATGGTAATTGTATTGAATTTAAAAAATTTACTTGGTATTCTGATTTCCGACTTATTAAACAAGGATATGGTGAAGTTTGGTTACAGTAGTAGAGAATATATCCTTCTTCACGAAAATTCACAGGATCAGCTTGACGAACCCGAAGCGGAAGAAAATACTGATGCTCAGGAATAATAATAAGTTTAATGTCCGCACTTGTATGAAATTTTTTTGTAAATCATCGTATCACTTTTTTATGAGAACCTTGAAGCTGCTAGTAGTTACTTTGTGCTATATACTGTACATAGGTATATCTATTAATAATTTCTTGATGATGAATCGTCAATTTACAGTATTGCAAAGACATCTATGTGTATAAATAAAGAATTTACAAATTTGTTCAATTAGCAAGTTGTTTGAACGTATGTACAGTATGTACATCATAATGAAATTAATAGCACACTTATCGACACATGGTGGATTATAATGATAATTACATGTACAGTAGATGCATTACTGTACTACATAGAGTAACGCTGAGATCTGTAACATATCACAATATAGTATGCCATCTTGTTATTATGTAGTTTCTAGTTTATCCTAGAAGTAAACATACTCGTAGTGGTATCATATCGAATCAGTTGTGTCAAGTTTAGCTCCGTCAAAGTACGGTACGGTACGGTACTACTGCACTTGTTCTGGTACAGTACCAGTCTTTGCGTCCAGTGAAAAATACACAGTACAAATACAGTATAATGTACTGTACACTGTACGTTACGAAAGCTTTCAGAGCCCTCTCATGCGATAGTACACTGTACAGTACAGTAGTTACTAAGAGCGAATGATGAAGCACAGTAGTGTACTGTACTGTACCACGGTCAAAAGGTAGATCAGAGAATAACAAGTGCGAAGGTCGTAACGTATCATATCGTGATGTCGTTCAAAGGCGAGGAAGATGCACATTAATGGTCGCCATTAGAGTTGTAGTAAACTACTTCAAGAGGTCTTTTAACACTTGATTTCTTCCAAGTCTTCTTTGAAAAATTCAACATTTTACTGTAGTTTTTTCGCTGACGTCTTTTAATGTAGTCTTACCCATTGCTACGGTATTTTATTAAGGATACAATAGTGCCGTTATGTCATAGTAGTGACTGTAAGAAAAAAGAAATAGTCATTAAATAGTCGCCATTACAGTTGTAGTAAAACACTTCCAGAGGTCTTATAACGCTTGGTTTCTTTCAAGTCTTCTTTGAAAAATTCAACATTTTACTGTAGTCTTTTCGCTAACGTCTTTTAATGTAGTGTTACCCTTTACTACAGTATTTTATTAAGGATACAATAGTGCTGTTATATCATAGTAGTGACTGTAAGAAGAAAGAAATATTCACTGTCAAAGAATCCACCTACAAACCACAAACTTCGTTGGCTACGGATTGCAATAACCGACGACCAATATTTTCTTAATTCATAGTGGTGGTATAGGCTTGAAAATCAGTCTTTTTTCTCACTGTCTGCTCCCTCTGGTTTTATCGATTACATCGATTGCCCATCTGCATTGGAATCAAGGTATCTACTCTTTTTATCCTGATACACTTAAGGTAAAAATGCCATTGTTTAGAAAAGGAGTGGATGAATTTACTAGGGCATCGATTTGTTAATATTGAATATCTTTAAAGAATTTTCCACGTACTAGATGCATGACTAGTACTTTTGAATATGCTACTCTAATGTAATGATAGAGGTAGATAGAATGGTCGACATAGATCGGTAAAACGATGCTGCGGTATTAATGTCCAATTGTTTGATAAAGTTATTCTTCTTGGCAGTACGTATTCATAATTAATCTGTTACTGTTATTAATGTTATTAATTAAATAGGAATTGATATAAGCACGAAAATGCTTGTTGACACGATCCTCTACATCCTTGTAAATTCCGTATCAAACAACTCTAAAATAGTAATATTTATGTGGTACATACGATCATCTCTTTCCTCTCTCGATATCTTATTTGAATTGATGTTTCGACATCATCTAACTTCACACATAATTTAAGTACTGTAATCTTGATTGTACACCAAAGGCATAGTATGTTATCTACGGCAATGGAAAGTATAATGAAAGTAAAAGGATGCGTTTATTAGATAGATGACAATTTGTAACAAAATTACGGAATGTTAATGCGATATTTTCACTCTCATGTAGCAACGCCGCCAAATTTGATTAGAATTATTACTCGCCCTTGCGTGAATTCATCATTGCTGCTGCAATGAATCGACAATTGAAATTAGTTTGGATATTGTTATGGCTTATCCATATTATAAATTGCCAATCATTACCCCCACGTGGTGGATTGGTAGCACAAGTGCAGAAATGGGCTAGTGAGATTGAAAATGATATGCTGACATTAACGGAGGATGTATTAATGGGTCAAAAAATTCAGCAAATGTTTGATTCATCGCCATATGAAATTCAGATCAAAGACGGTGACCAGATTGCTAATGAAGTCCAAGATACTTTGGCTGATTATTTTGTCAAGCGAGAACAAGTATTAAATGTATGCATTACTATATTATTTATTTTTACCATCTTTAAATAGAATTGACATTACATATCCATTTATATGGAGATTTATGCCTGTTGTACGTTGAGATTTTGCATTATTTTACTTTTTTTTGACTATAATCACCTATAACAAAGACGTGGCTATCATAAACATAAATACAAAGCTCAAAAATGTCATCTTCCAAACGTGAATCCAATAGGAATGGATGATAATAATTATAATTATTGACCTTAACATATACTAGCTATACTAAGTAATATAATTACATTACTGTATTGTACTTGTACGATATACAATTGTGTACTGTAGGTGCTAGGTGGCAAGTAGTGTAATTAAGTGATTGACAGCAGCCATGATGGATCGACATATGGAAGTTGTATACAGTAGCTTTTACGTAGACAGCAAATACCAGTAATAAGGTCCAGTTTGCGAAGACATAACTTTAGCAAGGCAACGTATTATATTATTAGTAATAAAAGTTAGCTATTCAAGTCTCTACTAGTCTAGCACTTGACTTATTTTTGTTAAATACCCGTCGTTGCAGAGGTTGGATGCATCAATCGAAGTACATGTACATACGCGTATATATACAAAAGGAAACATTGATGCAATGCTACTACCGTTCTGTATATACTCATCACGATCAGGAAATACATTATCAGGCATCATATTAGAGACCCATCTCAAATACATATTAATTATAGTATATATAAATTGGTATCTCCGTCCAATTGTAAATAGTCTATGCAAAATAGTTTATTAACGATTGATGATGATTCGATTGAGTTTGAAACATATCTATTCAGTTAATTTATCTGCAATACGAACTTTTAAAAATTAGTAAATAATGATCAGTAACTCTTTTTATTAAGTTGTTAATTTATATACTTACCAATATCGTAGGATGTTTCAAAAGCGGCCGTAAATGCGTATGACGATTTTTATTTAAAAAACATGGGATCATTATTACCCAAGCAATTACAGAATTTGAGTTTTGATGTTTACTTCGATTCGGATATTCCTTCCAGATATCCGGAACCATTAACTTATGATACGTAAGTAAATCAATCTCATTTCTGATAAAATTATGGCAGAATGTACAATTTCATTGATTTTGCCCTTTATCGTAATTAAACTGCTGATATGCGCTAGGCTAGAGTTTTTACAATATCATGTACATACTTTTACAACTATGTGTTATACTATTTACTGCAGTATTTTATTATTATTAATAGACTATTTTGTAACGATAGATAATGTAAAATGTATTTTAATCATCTCGTAGGCGGTACTTTCAAAAAGTGAATGCTACACGCGGATGTGTTAAAATCTCTGATCAAGTGGACCGTAATTCCAAGGATATCATAGAAACAGTAGCTTGGACATCTGAGATTAATAAACAATATATTGCAAATTTAAAGAAAGATAACTACTTAAAGTAATGACATTCAAATGAACGTACAGTATCTTGTATTGCGACCGTTGAAATACTGTAATTCATCCAAACAAACATTTCGTATGACATTTTTATATTTTGTGTTAGGTGGCAATACTTTGGTTCCAAATTTGGTTTGTCCTATACTTTTCCCGGTAGACCCTGGACTACAAATTTTGTTGGTTTTACTAAGGATTACGATCCAAGACTTCGACCCTGGTACATTGCTGCTACTTCAGGTCCTAAAGACGTAGTCATTGTTATTGACTGCGGCTTATCAATGCAAGGGAATAGATTTAAGATTGCGAAATCGGTAGCTAAAACGGTGTTAGCAACTTTAACAAGGAACGATTATGTAAATATTGTTTGTACAAGATTTAGCCATTGGGATGAGACTGGAAAGTAAGTTTTATATTCAATAATAATCTGTGATCAAAGTGGATCTACTCACTTAAGATGTACTTTTGCATTATTAGATGGCATTTCTACGAAACAACGGTTTTAGGATGTTACAAAGATCAACTTATTCCTGCTTCATTGACGAATCGAAAAAGTTTATCTAATGCCATTGATAATTTAAAAGCAGGAGGAACTAGCGAAATGAAGTAAGCTCGATAGAAGATTTGTTTCATCTAAGACTACATTAAAGGGATCTAATTTATTTCTGCAATGTCTTGCTACTATAGGAAAGGATTTCAGAAAGCCTTTAAATTATTACGCGGTTCACATCGTACAGGCTGTCAGAGTATAATGATCGTAATTACCGATGGTGAAAAAACCGACGGACCAAAAGTAAGGTGTAGTCCAGGTTATTACACTCGTAGTGGATTTGTGCCCGGCCCAATATGCCGTTATGATTGGGAAAAAGTTGTTGAAGAAATCAAAGCACAAAATAAAATTACTAACCCAAAAGTTAGTTGTCACCTTTCTTTATTTAAAATGAAATTTTTTCAACATTAATTAATTTAAAATAATGAAACATATACTGTATATCTATTTCATAATTAAGTACTGTATATTTATAGGCGAGAATTTTCTCTTACCTTACTGCCAGCAAAGAAGAATCTTTTGCTGGCGAGATCGCTTGTTCTAACCAAGGGGTTATGGTAAGGCTGGACAATACAGAACATTTAATATCAAATATGCAGGTATTATTATTATCTATATTGGACTCTTAACTACTTCAATCTCTTGTTGAGGACTTATACGCTACCGTAAAGATTCTTAATAAGGAAATTTTTTTAGCATTACTACAATTACCTAGCCAGTAGCAGCTTTCACAATCAGATTACATGGACTGCACCGTATCTTGATGCTTCTGGTTTAGGTTTAACTGTTACTTTGGCTAGTTTAGTAACCTCGGGACGTAATGAAAATAATGAGTATGTGAAGCTAATGTTTAGTAATAAGGATCTTATTTCTAGATACAAGAAATTATTTTAAATCGATCTTAAACACGTTAAAATTATCATCTTCAATTACAAATATACCTTTAGTAATAGAATTATCCTGTAACTTTAAATCTTACTGAAATAGGACATTAGGTGTCGCTGGCATTGATGTTACCCTTGCGGAGATAGAAGACTTATTACAGCGCTATGAATGGGGTACAGTTTACTCATTTTTGATTAATACCGATGGAGAAGCGATTTTTCATCCTAGACTTAAACCTTCATCAGAGGTAAATTTTACGATAGTAAACTTTGGTGTGATTGAGAGCGCTATGTTCAGGAATTTCGTTATCTATCTTTGTAGCTCGTTGACGATCCAATCTTTGTTTCGATTGATCAATTGGAAATGAGTCATGGGAGACCTAAAAATTTTACTGAAGTTAGAAGCGAAATGCAAGAAGGCAAATCCGGTCGTGCACACTTTTCGAACTGCATTCGAGGAATTCCGAAAGGAGATTACGAAGATGGCGTTGACATTTTACAAGTTCCCTGTACATACTATTATCGTGGTATTACTGGTTCCACGTACTCGTTTGCTTTTAATCTTGCCGATTCCGATAAACAAGATCGATACCTAGACAACATAAATAAATCTATTACATTGCCAACAAATTTTTTCACTGCTTTATACGATTATGACACTATATATGCTAAAGAGCGATTACCGGACACCTATGAGCAGTTAGATGTGCAGCGTAACAACGCACAGTATAATGTTCCGATAACATTTGTACATTCTACATTTACATTAGCTCCACGATCTTATTGTGAGCCCAGTAAATATTTTCTTGAAGGGAATAGTACGCTAATAACATTAGCAGCTCATTTGTTTGCAAACTCACGAGAAGTTGATAATAAAACCTGCTTAAATGGTGCGAATTATAAACGTGGTGTTAGGTGAGAAATGTTCATTATATTAGCTATAGTTTTAATGTTGAAAATGTTAAGACCGTTATCTTGTACACTTTATTTTTAGAGCGGCAATACAATTGACTTCCTTATTAGAACGGGACTGGAAGCTAAAATTAGGATCAGTATTAAGACAGGCTGTTAAGTGGGTGTATATTGGACTACGCAATGGAGTATTTAGAAGCTATCCCGGTCATATTGTTCGCAAAGGTTACGACCCTGTCAAGTTAGTAACAGTGATAGTTATGATAGTTACCTACACTATCGATTTTTTTCTTATCTAGCGTCTTTAATTGTCGTAATATTTTGCTGTAGGCGTCCTTGGTATTTGAGGTCTTTAACAAATCCGACGAAGATTGCTATATCAACTGCATATTTAGATTCGGCGGGGCTTGGCAAAGTGATTACGATCTCCAAGGCGGTTCAGGAAGGGATATTCGAAATTTCGAATGATACCCTTTGCAATACTGAACAAATTGGTAACCTACCAGCGGGATGTCCATGTACTGTTAATACCGATTGTTCCTCTAAAATATGCTATAATACCTCAACGAACTCTGATCCCCGAATTGTGCAGAGGTAGGATACACAATATCGCTTACTGGATTTTGATATACTAAGACTTTGTAAATTATTTCTAATCATTTAAGTACTAAGTAATCTTTGCATTTGCTCCTTAGATGTGGAAGAGAGAACGTAGAAGCTGTCATAGCAATGGATATTCTATATAGTGACTATTATTATCGTATCCTCAACAAGCTTAAATCTGGCGAAAAAGCATGTGAGGTGGAATATCAATGTCCGACAAATCCTAGCAAAATTTGTATTACCAGGTCTGTATTAGATAAAACAAAAATATTTTCGGTAGCTATCAAATAATATATATTTGTATAGATTTTATTGAGGTAATGGTGTACTCTGTATATTTTTAACGAAATTGCTATCACCTTTACTATTGTTTTTAGATGTTACCTTATTGATAATGTTGCAAATATTGTAACTGCAAAAGAATTCTTAACGGACAGTCAATATGACGAAGCACAGTACAATCGTGTTACACTGTCACTAAAACAGCCAGAAGTCATGAGTAAATTGGTTCATAAGTTTCGTGTTTTTCAACGTCGTGAAAATATCGATTATCAAGGCACCTGTAAGATTTCGGACACTTCTACTTCTCGCGTAAGTTCTTATCTATGTCGGGTATAGCTCTTAAATAGAAACCTGATTTGTTATTGATACATCTTTACAATATTTTACGTTCACGAACATTATAACAGGTTGTTTTTAAACAAAATGTGAATAAGAGTTGGCGAGGATTTAGTGATGATATCCCTAACCAAGGACCTTTTCCACCCTTTCAAAATGATTACGGTTGTATTCAAGACGTTATAGGTTATGAGGCCCATCCAGAAAACTTAGGTATGTCGAAGTAAAAAATGTAATAATTTTTGACCTTTATATATTTTGTAATTTGAACGTATTTTATGAATACCAGGCCAAAACCGAATGCTGTATGATTACTTCAGTGGTCCGTGTTCTGAAGGATTTTTCTACTTCATCCAGTTACCTCGAACCAATTTATTTTTATTAGTAGTTGAAAATTATTTACAACACGACACTTATTTCAATATAAACTGTCATATAGCGCGCAGGTTAGTTTTCAGTGAAATCCTTGCATTAATCAGAATATTGTAGAAATTCATGCTTCATAATTATTTTCATTTTTCAATAATAGGGTAACCGCTGCCGGTTCGTTTGAATTAAAGAATGGAACTTGTCAGAATTCCTTATCATTTTATACCAAAAAGCCAATTTGTCCTACAATTCGTAAAGTCTTGATACCATGCTCATTCAACGCGGGCCATACAATTTCATCAATTAACATATATTATACGCTAGTAATAGCTACAATTGTATCTATTATCCATATGATATAATAATGTTACTATAACATATACTACAGTACATGATTGGTTTACTGTTACAAACAAATTGCATGTAATCAGCTTAGCATACTTGATAACGTTATTTTCCTATTTAGAGTTTACAATAAATATAATTGGGTAATCTTAAAGATTTGGTTTGTATTTAAACTATAATGTAAGGAAAAGTATCATCAATCGTAACTCCTTAATTGTTCATAAATTATAAACATATTGATGCATTATTGATATTAACAGTGTAATTAAGGTTATCTTATGATCGCTTAGCCCTCCCTCTTTTAAATTTGTCTCACGAAAGGTATTAAAACTTGCGACAATTGTAAATAAAATGATTTTAACCCAGTTTTGGGAGAATTCCTTTACCATATTTGTTGCATAGGACATTTTCTGAGTATCTATTTACCTTTATAATTTTATTTTATATTGGTGTCTTCTTCATAGACATTACAATTAGATGACAACGTGACAAAGTAGACCACTATACAATAATATTCTCAGTAATATCAGAAAAACAAAAACCGGACTTAGCCAAATGATGAAATAGTATTATATTCTCAGTATCATATGCCTTCTCTCGATTCTAGCTATGTTCATTAGTAAAATTTTAAGTCATAATGAAGCTAATGATTTCTGTCAACGGATTGTAGATAATTATGAAGGTAAGATAGTAATATAATATAATACACGTAAATGTATTGAGTGCAAACAAGTTATGATATCTTGTCATTAATGGTTAAAAATCACTAATTAATTATCTGCTTCTTAATAAGTCAGAAATTAACGGTGTCGGCATTTAATTAAATATAATTAATATACTATGTAAAATTATGTATAAGGTTAAAGTCAACGAAAAGTTAATCGAAAGAATAAGAAGAGTTTTGTGGAGCTCCACACCATTCCTGGAGGAATTGTCGAACATTTTGGCATTCAGTGTTATACGGAAGCTGAAATATATTTAAGAGAATACTTTTAGCTTATTTATACTGTGTATAAGAAATGAGAGTACCTTATAGTAATTGAACTGATTCGATACCTTGGCTGATGTAACAAATTTATTCCAATCATCTTTGTTTGCGGCTTTACCAGGTTTCTTAAAATCAATTTTATTTTGTAACACAGGATAGCCTATGCAGCAATAATAGAATTGGAAGGTTTATGCTTTTATGCTCTTATAACTAATCTAGCAAATATCCCGATTTTCAAGTGTTACGAACCTGTTATAACACATGGTAGGTAAACTTCTTCCGTGTTTGGGTCAATTAAAGTTGCTTCATAAACCCCACGGCTATCGGTTGTTAGCTCTTGTTCAACACGTTGATCTAGTGATACCGATAGTACCCATTCCTTAATCTCTTCACGTTTTGCTTCCTAAACAATAGAAATAATAGATAGGGTGATCAGAGATCTAGTCTCGGTTAATTCTTCATCAAAATTGCTGAAATACTGACTGATAGATGCTGCTGTTCCGGTAGTGGTACTTCAACTGGTATATCTGTCCCTGCAAATTCACTCGCATCAAGTGCATCTGCTGAACCTTCTTCAATTGCCTATGAAAAATATTATTACAAATATCGCCGTGAAAAATTTAGTTAACAGTCTTTCAAAGGGGCATGCACATAAACAACTACGACAAAAATATTGAGGCATATATATGTATGCATACAAAATGTACCTCGGTCAAGTCCAAATACCGATTTAAGAAAACGAATGCTAAACTCGACCAGCCGACCGCCTAAAGACAAATTGTTATGTTAAAATCGTAATACAGAAAAAGTTTTGACTAAACCTGTATTTTAAAAAAATGACGAATTATATTGAAAAGTGTTTTAACTCTTTATAACATTAATATACCTTAGCATAAGTTCCAGCTTCATAAAATGCTTTATCGGCTGGTATTATATCCGAATGACGAAGTAGACTGATAGATGTTTTAGCTACAATTGTTGCCTATATAACGACAAAATCAAATGATGGATAAATGAACTAAAGGAAAGCATTTTAATATGGCTACAAAGCTAACTCAATTTGATTGGCGTTTCAATAATTACATTTTTGTCAAGTTAACTTACCAAAGATTTCTGAGTCAGACAAGCAGCTCTCATACTGTAATAATGAGCTATTTGCAGTAGAATTTGAAATTCCTTAACTACGGGATTATCCTCTTTGGCAACCTTTAGCATGTTGTGTATCTAAATCATAAAATTAATAGATTCCTATCATTGAAGTAGTCTTTTAGACCACAGTGTAAGAATACAAAAACATATTTATACAAGTATGGTAAGCCTAGTTTTCTGTTCTTTCGATGGGTGTCTGACAGGTGTAGGTATAATTACTAACCAGATTTTGTAACATGCTTCTAAGATCTGCCCAAATACGATATGACGACGCATCCAGAAGGTCGTTACGAGAGAAAAGGTCGGAACAAATACGGCGATAGATATTAAAATTCTATAGCCAGATAATTGATCAAAAGGAAAAGAACGCTTTAGATTGTATAATTTTTTGAGATGCAAATTAATTATTTGCTATAGTCCAAAATAGCAAATTCATCAGATATAAGTCTCACTTATTCCTGGCTATTAATACTGAACTTACAGCTTTATTTGCAGGAGCCCCATATTTGACAAACAATTCCATAGCACGTTCAGTATTTCCTTCTTTAATCAATGATGCGGCAAATCGAGCAATATATTTCGACAATACATCCGGACCCTAAGCATGGAAAAATTGAAAAAATCATTTAAATATATAGCATGATCAAATGTTCAATTTTAGGCTCATAGATATTTTCTGGTATTAAGAAACTGACAGTATCAGAAATATAAATATATAATTATAATCAATGCAAATTATTAACAGGATTTTAAGTCTAGATTAGTGAGTAAGTAATAAGTACATGATAGGTATTACTTGATACCGTTAAGAAAACTTGTTAAGACAGACTGTCATATGCTTCTAGGTGTTAAGATAATTAGTGGAGTAGGCTGTATTACTATCATTGGAAAACGCTATTGGAGGAGATCTTAAATAGCATCAGACTTCTTCATTATCTTCAAAAAACTAGATAATACTCTTTCAGTGTTGTACTGTACTTTGCTATATACCTAGTGACATTGTCAGATGTTAATCATAGTGCAATGAATATATTTAGGAACAAGACCAACTGATCCTCCATATAGCTATAAGGTATCGAAGGATACCAGACTAAAGACCTACTACGATGAAAGTTCGTAGTTTTAAATGCATAGCTCTGTTTGCAAGAGTGTAATTTTTTTCGTGAGATAATCGTTATACTTAGAAATCAGGTATTCATGAGTAAAAAGAACTAACAATATAATTTTACGTTACAATAATAAGATTACAAGATATATAATAAGACTGGTACAAAGGAATTTTTTCAAATATCTTGGCTCATAAGACTTAATGCTTACTTGTTGCTTAGCATTTTCAATACATTTTTCCCATTCACCACGTTGTGCAAGCATATCAAGACCGGCAATGACATCGACATTCAACATCTACACTCAAAATTACGAAAATTCATTTAATCTTATAACAAGTGATGATGTTGATGCTATATTTACAATTCAGTTGTGAGCTTACAAAAGAATAAAAACGAGTAATGATTACCTCGATTGCTTTTCCTTGTTTTTTCAAGTATTCCGAGTACATTTTATCAACGTAAGGTTTATATCTGCACAATTTACACAATAAAATTTTGTTAAAAATTTGAAATTCAGGAATAGATGTGATTTTAATGGTAATGTAAATCAGATATCCCGTCTTACTTTGGTGCCATGTCAGCTGCAACTTGCTTAGCTTTATCCCATGCACTAGATTTAATATACATTTCGATAGCTTCTTTAAACATATCCACGATAGTGTAGATATCAGCAGCCTAAGATTCAATTACAGATAATGATCGATCGGAAATTGCAACAAGCAATGCTCATTTAAACGCAAAGTTAAAAGGAATGAATTATTTTTGATACTGTTATAGATTTCGACAATTGGTTATTCTTACCGACAAATAGCATTCAATCTCAGCTAACCGGCGGCAGACGATACTTGCAACATCGACGGTACGATCAGGTACAAATTTTATAGAAATTTCTACGGCCTACGAATAGAAACAAAGTGTCAGTACCTGTAACTCAAGATTTGGATTTACTAAGATTATTTCCGAGCTTTGGACTGAAATCAAAATTACTATTCTCTCTTTGACTATTAGATAAGATGCTTGCTTAATAAATTGAGTTCAGGGTAGCCGATCTATTACTGTAAGGACTAGAATATCTATTACGGCACGGATAAATTATTTCATCTGTCCTTACCCGTTGCCAACATTTTTCTAGTGACTTTGTGTCAACATCCTGATCTGCTTTAATTTTTAAGTAACAATCAATTGCTCGTGAATATTCTCCAGACATTTCCCATTCTTTAGCCTGATTGACGATTGCTGTAATGCCACTATAAATATCAAGACAATTATTTTAATTTACATTCTGATATGCTGTCGAGTAAACATAATCCTAAATGTTTGAAACTGAATACTATTATCCAAATATGTTGCGTAACAGCATACCGGTCACTATTGGATAATACATCTCGATCGTATTCATCTTGTAGAGCTTGTAACTATGGCAGTAAGAAAGTTTCAATAATTAATTGAATTGTGATTGTAACATCTATGCCGATCGAGATATACTACGATCGTATTAAAATAAAGTCTGCGAATACATAGGTGGGGAAATAAGTTAACCTTGCTTGGTATATATTCTTTAGCCACCCTTAATGCATCGTTCCACATACCAGCGTCCTGGATTATAAATTTAATAGAATACTTAGCCATTCATACTGCACTACAATTCATTCTTTATGATTGTTATGTGGATTATGTAAGTTATTATTTAAATACACAAGGCAAGAATCTCACGTACCTTATAATATTTTATTGCCAATTCCGGCCGCTGAGCACGTAAAAGGAAAGTTTCTGCACGTTGAAATTCTTTGCGTTCAAATGCAACCCTTGCTTGCCCAATCATGACATCGCTTAAGCTATCTGGATCGTGTTGTTCAGCAACACGCTGGGCACTATCCCAATCCTGGTTGTGGACGTACATCAGGACTGCTTCTTTTGCTTTGTTTGCTTTAATGAATTCAGCTTCAGCTTCAGCAAATTTGCCCTACAAATTACAATTGTACCATGCAATCGGAATTTCTTCGAACACAAACTATTAGCCTTATTAACATTGAACTCCTACCTCATCTTCAAGATGCATAGCTCGTTTGAAATAAATATCCGGTAATTTATTCGTCATGGCAGTTTTAGCCAAGTCAAAAGCAAAACTAAATGCGCTAGAATAGTTTGAAATCATAGTTAATTTCTAGTAGTAAAATTTACTAGGAAGGCCATTGCTATATCATAACTCTATAAGCGTCTATTATATCTTCACCTGCTCTCCGTTGCAAAGTCAATAGCAGCTTCTAATAAGCCAAATTTTGATAGCAATTTTACAGCTGAATCTCCACCTAATGGTTAATGAGAAGTTTAGGCAAACGTATTATCTTTCTTGCTATGTAGACATTAATTTACGTTTTCAAAAATTTTTAATTGACAATTAATAGACATTAATTCACATTAATTCACATTAATAGCGATATTTACCCATGCTCTTTGCCCATAAGTAGGCTACTTGTTTATATGCATTTTGACTACCGTATTGTTTAGCCACCTAAGCATATAATGTACACTTTTTTAATAATGATTACAATCAAGATGACTATGATATTTTTAATTACAAGATTCCTATAGTTATTTGATTTAAGTTACTGTTTAATGTAAACGTTCGAATAGTTAACAGTAAATCAATTACCCTATAGGCATCTTCCCACATATCCTTAGAGCGATACATGTTAACAGCGGATTTCCAATCATTAGCTTCAAGGAAATGGTGCTCAGCTTGTCTAAACTGATTACCATTTATCAATTCCTAGAAATAGCAGGATGAAAACTTTTGAGCTGCATGAAATTAGGTCCGATGTTCAAAATATAATGTGATAAAGGAAGATTTCCCTTCCCCCCCCCCATCCTAGATATAATAGCTTTGTTAATTGCTCGTCGTTCACTTACTTTAGCCAAATGAATGTGGGTCTCATGAAGTAGATCCGGGTGATAAATTTCCACCAATCGGACCATATCATCGTACTGTAAGCAAAGGAAACACAAAATCATACCGATGATCCAGAAAAATAAGTTAAAATTGACAGGAAGCTTAGTTATAGCAATACTAACTTGATGTTGTTCCTTATACATACTAATTGCCAAATCTTGTTCATTAATAGTAATATATAACCTAAAAAATGATGATAGAATGTAATACGAATAGATAGCCGTAAATTGCGATGAACGCGATTAGAATTATTACTTTTCTGCTTCTTTAAATTTCCCTTGAGTCTTTAATTCATCGGCTTGACTTATGTAGAAATTGGCTGCCTCCTTGCCTTTCATGTACTTCCTAGCAAGCTAAATTGGGATAATGCTTAATATTAGGATAAGATCGATAACAATATCAATTTATGACTCACTTTTTTTGGTCATTAGCTTAATATTACTTGTAATATAAATCTTGAACAGTTAAAAGTATCTACGTGCATTATTCAATATGGCTTACTTCATGTGATTGCTTCCATAGATTAGCGCGGCTATACATATCAATGGCTTCACGATAGTTTTCACCTCGAATATAGTACTCTTCGGCCATCTAATATAATGCATGATTCATAGAAGTTAATGGACTATTTATAGCAAACAAACATCTCAATACATTTCTATACTTTAATTACCTTATAATCTTTCTTGTTGGCAAAATGAGTCGCAATTTGCTTATAATATCTACAATCAATTATAATTCTATTATATAATTGGCTATTAATATTGACTATTTTAATTCATATCTATCTTCACTTTTTCGCTATCGATTGATCTTGAAGATCGACAATTTGTACAACTTTATTCCATTGACGGGAGTGGATAGCCGCTTCAATAGCCTTTACAGCACAACTTGTTTTTTAGTTGCAACAATAAAATCCATCAAATAAGCAATTTTTATCAATCACATGTCAATGTTCTACGAATATTAAAACTATACTTATGATCAAATTCGACAAATAAAAGTAGACGACTTACCCAGCTTCAATATAATGATTAATAGCTGCGTCAAGCTGTTTTTGAGATACCAAATAATCACCCCATTCCTCTTCTAGTTTTGTTACTTCAGCCGGGAATGATATACGCGTTAACTCCACAGCGCGACGGTAAGCTCTTCCTTTACGATAGGCCTCAAGGGCTCTTTGATTTTGTCTGGTTTTCTCATATAATTCACCAGCCTAATTTTAATCCATTAATTTATCAATAATGAAGCGAGTACAGATTCTCTCAGGTTATTAATATAACCTATATAGTGTATATTGAGTAGGAAGTTACCTTTTCAAATAGACCATCACTCAACAGTGCAGAAGCGATCCTATCCATAATATCTGACTGGGAGGACAATTCCTTGAAAGTAAATGGAAAATATAAGTGTAACTATCATTTGGAGGTAGCAAATCATATAAAATTGATACAGAATTGATATTGTACGAACTGAATGACTGATGGCGACATGAGCGGCTTTGGCTGGTAATCCTGATTTCATAAACATGTTAACTGCGGCAATGTAATTACCCTCTTGTTCTTTAACCTGTAAAGAAATAGTTACGTTACAGTTACAAATGAAGTTAGAGGAAGATCAGTTCGATTAAGATTGAATTTACCTCAGCAGCTTTCTCTTCTTGATTTGTATCGATTAACCACTGGTAATAACTTCTACGTAAATTATCTGTTTCAGTATGATTCTACATTAATATTACAAAACAAACTCATTATTAATGAATGACATACGCGTAGGTAACAGCTAAGTCAAATTTTACAATCTTTATCTCGAATAGTATTATATATCATTTTACATCCAACTAAACCTTATACTGACATGAGTTAGTAACGTTATTACTGTTAGCATGGATTTCAGTTATTTACGGACAATAACACTTGTTGAAAAACACTACTTTAAATTAGAAAATTTCATAGATCGACAAATAGAATTACTTTCATCTCAGCAACGGCAATACTATCTTCCCATTTGTGCAGCTCTTGGTACATATCAATAGCTTCGTCAACTAGGCCCTGAATAGAAGAAGAAATACGTTGACGATTTGAGTTATTACAGTATTCGAATTTATGATTAGTTCAAACCAAAATTAATTATTTAAATTACCTGCTCCAAATAAAAGGTTTCAGCTAGCTTGAAATCTTTCTCAAGAACAGCTAATTTAGCTTTAACAAGTGAATGATCAGTCCCATCGCCTCCCTATATGAACGTTATTGGAGTCACCAAGCATCACGTCAATAAGTAATTATAATCAATATATGGGGAAAGATACTAACTGCAATCAGTTACTATGACTGCAGAGAAGTTTAAGTAACAGTTATTTAGAATTACCACTTCTTCCTTTAATCGATCACTTAATTCATTAACTGATCGAAGGTATCGGGCCTTTGAAACGTCGCCTAATGCAGTAAAACATCTAGATAGAGGCGATATTCAATAAGTTTGTTACCGTGTACAAAATCATATTATTGTATTATTAATATATACAGATTGTAAGAATATTTGTATACAACTTATAATTACGTGCAATACTGCAAACGTAAATATGTAAAGATGGAAGCAGTAATAATTATAGTGCTAATATAGATGCGTTAAATATAGCTAGAAGTGAGGTTCGTTGCTAATAGTCTACTTAGATTTCTTGAATTTTGAAAAGAAAAGGCTCGATACTTGCTAATCAAATTAATTAAGATTATTACCTTTCTGCAATGAGTAATTCTCTAGCGGATAATGCAACTGTGCTTAGTTGTTTCCACATTGCTTCTGACTCAGTCGACATTTCGAGTGTTTCCAAGTAGGCAACAGCTCTATGATACAGTATAAAATTAAGTAAAATTTTGGGTTATAGATACGTAGTATGAACTGAGGCTACTAGAGAAATTTCATTTAATCAGTTACCTAGTATAGTCTCCATCATCAAGAGCAGTAGCAAATTCAATTAACCCTTCGTCTAATGTGTAAGCTACAGTTGATACACCTTCACTGACCATTACATCAGTTTTTCCATTATTTCTTTCTAGGTCAACAATATCTCCCTAAAAGTAAAATTAAATCAAATTATGCTTTGGGCTAAAATTGGCTCAAAATTTTAAATTTTATTACCAATAAAAAATGTAATAGTACCTTCATGGGAAACATTGTAACGCGTTCATGAGCATCAATATTGTACCATACACATAAATTATTCCGATTTTGAGCTACAACAACATCACTCAGCGGAACCCACTGCAATTAGGTAGAAAAATCATTTAATTATAGGCTAAGCTTAAGTAAAGAAATGATGATAAAATTAAGAACAAATAGTGGGTCAGTTACCTGTACATATGTGCAGTAGTTTAAGATGGTTGCTCTATTTTGGCTTGCGATATCGTACAAATTCAGCTGAAGTTGGTATAAACAAAAGGATTTTTATACAAATTCGCTAGCAAATTCTACCGTCATATATCTAGAGCGACATTTAAATCTACAATGATGTTAAATCACTGTAATATTTTAGGTATATTTACATTATTGTTACTATCTTGATGACTACATAAATATTACCAACATGATAATACAAAAAATCAATGATTTAAGGTAGTTGAAACTTACTCTCAATTTTTTGTCCCGAAATAACAGCTTACGGCAAGTTTCATTCATCTAATGGATAAAATAAATAGAAATATTTTGGACTTTGTAGGTAACCACTGTAGTATCAATATTTTGTTTGAAAGCTTGGAAAAGGTTATTTTACCTCTAGCCAATCAATCTTAGAGTCGTGATTTACAGTTGCTAAAGTAAATCCCATGACTAGGTCAACTGTGAAGTTAAAATTTTATTAAATATATTACTTTTTTTGGATATAAATCGTTAAATCAAATGTAAGTATAACCAATAAATCAGCCAAAAATCCTAGTAATAATGATGCAAAGATTTAATGCTTCAACATATTAGCACATTAAGGGATATTACCAATTGAAATAGTTTTTAAATCGATAAGGTAAGCCAGTTTCTTATTGTCATTGATATTTCTTAGCTTTCGCTCATTAATACGAACACTATTGTTAAAAAGATTTCCAAAATTTGAATCAGATTTCTTTATTATGACAATAAATATAAGCAGTACAACGCCAATTTACATTCAAAAGCAATTTTGCTAACCTAATTAAGTGAGGATTCATAAACTCTGTTCTAACCATTCCTAAGATTTCATTTTCACCGTATTCGACAAGAGACAGTTCTCCAGCATTAAATATCATGCATACCTGCAAGGAGCAGAATAAAAAATTACAATAATAGTAAGATATTATAAAGTATTTTTATAACAAAGTGGTAACTTCTAACATTTTCATTCTCGAAAAAGAATTTTTCATTTCCTCCAGTTCCTTGCCATGGCACCTTTAAGGAATAATCGAATTTAGTACTTCTGACCTAATACCAAACATTTATAGTACCATCTTTTAACTCACCTCACTCAATTTGTTAGTATTAAGATCACCCAAGAGTAGAGTATCGGTTGTGTGACCAACAAGGTAACGATCCTTTCCCATAATTCGCACTTTATCAATCTATTGAGTAAAAAAATGAACAGTTTCATCATTATTATTTATTCTTTATCTATAAAACTGATTGACCGATCTTAAGTGTTCAAATGATTCAAATTTTACCTCGTAGCCATAATGTGATTTAAGCACTACACGAGCGCCAGATATTAAATTTTTAACAATGACCTACAAATAAAAAATTAAGATAGCTATTGAAGAAATGGTATCATGAAATTTTTTACGATAGCATAAAATTGCCATTGAACTCCTTATTTACTTAGTTTGCATTTTTGATATTATAATGGGCTAATATTACTGCCTGATAAACTGAAAAAGATATACGGCGCAATTATTTTTGTATGTAGTAAACTTTATTAACTTACAGGTGCTATCTATTGAATACTTTATAACACCCTAACAAATCCTTCGTTACTGATCCTAATCAGAGGTAAACTAACTTATAAAATTCAGTTACGCCAATAATTATTATCTAGGTTCCATTGCTAACGTCCAGAAGGGCTAAGTAAATACTTGGCATATGTAGTACTCAGTGTAACAAAAGCACCAATACAATCAATCCCGCTAATAAAAGGTTAGATATTTTTCAATTTACGGTTAACTAATGTTAAGTAGAGCATTTCACACTTGTAAAAATGACAAAGCTGCGAAAGGTTATATATCGTACAGTACTGTAGTTCATCGCTAAGATCGATATTTTTATCTTGCAAACGCATAAGTTACAGGAGAATTTATACAAGAAAATACTTTTACATAGTAACTAAAATTGAACGCTCCTCTATTAATCATTACATCGAAAAATATTACCTGACTAGGCCCAACATATGTCATTTCGAACTTATTCTTATACACCGATCTTCTTAAGCAACAATCAAACAACTCAACACCACCACATAGGGTGCCCTACGTACAAGGAAATTTAAGATAGCTATCAATGCGATGTTATTAAAATGGCAAAAACTACTGCTTATGAAACGTGATCATGTCATCATACAGCTACTAAACGTGATCCATCTTTTTTCCACGAAAGTGCAGTAATAGTGTAAAGATTAGTAATATTCTTCGCTTTGGATTCATCCCAAGTTGCTCGTCTAGGACTCCAATTATAAACGCGCAAGCGATCAAAGCTACCAACCACCACTGTCTGACCGCTTGGGCTGCTAGCAGAGACTGTAAATTCTTTTTCAGTATCGTCTTTGGAATAATCAAATTGTTGTTGTACTTTTCCTATAAGTTTAGGTATCATTAAAATAAATCATAACAGTATTGGGATTCCATTTTCCTTTTTAGATTATTAATAATGATATATATAAGCTTTCTAACATGATGAAATGGCGATGTATACAGTAACTTACCGTCATTTCCATACATGTAAATACGGCGATCGCATCCAGCGACGATGATAGAGGCAGCCCAAGTTAAGCAATACGGAGGAACAGAGTGCTTAATAATTTGGCCCTAGTAAAGAATTCACAAAGATTATTCTATTTTGCATTGCACCTGATAATGTTCGAAAGTAGCTAAATTTTAAATTTTCGCTTGCATTATTTACCTGCGCGCCACCAGAACCATCATCATCGAAAAAGTAGCGAACTATACTACCATCAGCATGTCCTGAAAGGATACCTTTACCTGATATACTAAAATTGACATTTACCAAATTATTTTTATTTGATTATTTTATCAGTGACAAGCTATTAACAACGTAGTAAAAACTCACTTTGGACATAAAGAAATAACGCAAGAATCTGTTCCGTAAATTGTTTGAGACTTGTTAGTTTTAGTATTGGCCAAGCGTACCTAATAAATGGTCGTAACAATATAGAAGAAAAGTGCAGCTTGTAAGCAGCAACTAATATCTGGTGACAGGTAATATTACGATATTTGCTATTTATCGTAAGGACATGGGTTGATATAATTAATTGGCCTACTTTGCCATCAGCTAGACCATAAACTATTGAATGTGATTCTACAGGCCAAGTGGAACAGGTGACTGCACTTTGCTGAAGAAATTTATTACAAATGGTTTTCTTATCTCCCCTAAATCAGGATAGTAATTAAAGGCAACAAAATTATGATACTAACAATTGTTATCACTAGACATAAGTATGATTTGGTCAGTATAATATTACCAATCTTCGCCAATTTTGTATACAAATAAAATGCTATCAGATTGTCCGACTGCAATTTTAGTAGAATCTGGAGAAAAGGCAAGGGTTTTAACTTGATAGCTCTTTTTACCAGCCTGAAATAATTGATGAAATATTCTGTATAGTGACTTGAATATGTATGAAAAATATTAGCTGAAAATAGTCGGTCTATGTTTGTAATATATTTATTCTAAATGATAATTTCGAAGGTTACTCAAGGGAGTAACACCTTACTTTTGTATCAGCTGGTTTTGTAGAAAATTTATCCCTTTTCTCCCCTGTATCATCGAATAGTAAGACTACACGATCGGTAGTTACAACTGCTAATTTAGCATTGTTTGGAGACCAAGCCAGGGCAAGGACTTTTGCAGCGCCATCCTGAATGATTACAAATTGTCCATCATTCAAAACTGACCGATGTCTATTTATCAATTTTGAGGCTTAACAAGATCAATAAAATTTTTAACTATAAATAAATGTAGTCTATTAATAAGATACATGTTATACGTTTATTACTTATACTGGCCCCTTTTCAGCTTTAAAATTATCATAATAAGAAATTTGTGAGTAGCGACATTATGTAAGATTTCCTAGTTTACAGTGCCGTAATTTTTACACAAGGTCATTCCGAGTCCATTCATTCCTACTGGTCATAATGTAGCGATTGCTATTTTCTTACTATCCTAAGACCCAGTTGAATGCATCTTATCTATATCCACCCTAACCATCAGGTAGATTTACAGTATACTCGTACCATATAGCTGCGCTTATTCATTGTGCCATGTTAAAATAACGGTTCTCAATTAAGGCGATAATACCGTATGTTTAAAATTAATTTTGCGTATTTTTACAGAATCATGCAAATAAAATGTCCACTTGAACCATAGAATAATAAAGTGAACTATTGTAGCTAACAACCATCGTTCTTTCAACCTTTTGAGTTGAAAAATCAGAAAATTATTTCAACTTGATCCCTTAGATACGACGTTGCTAAGGAGATACACACCGATTTTATATGCTGTAGCTAATACCGAACATACTGTCCAGCTGTCAGAAATAGACATTAAATCAGTCAGTCTAATTTGATCGTGATATTAATGGCGGTGTGTTATTCATTTATAGACTTACTTGAGTGCTTAAGACGGACTTTAGATACTTTAATTGCATGCCCACCATCGTTCTGCTAATGCTCTCAATTTCTATTTTTTAAAATGGAATGCGATCAAGATAATTTGATATTGTGGCTGACTGAATTCTCAGTACTCTCCACAGTACAGTGTACAGTACTGTTGTTCCTCTGACGCATACTGTACGAAGAGCGTATTAAGCGCCATACTGTACTGTACTGCACAGTGCACAGTACAGTGTACAGTACATGTACTGTACTGTACTGTACTGTATACTGTACATGTACTGTACAGTACAGTACAGTATTCAAAGTTTTTACACACGACCGTACACAGTACTGTACACTGTGCAGTATTAGGGTCTCTAGTGTACAGTACTGTACTGGTGTCACCGGTGTCACTAGGTGTGGCGGTGATTTGGTGAATTTACAGTACGGTACTGTACACTGTACAGTATGTGTCCCCGGGGTCCAGGTTATACTGTACAGTACTGTACAGTACGAATACAATACAGTACAGTATACTGTACACTATTCATGGACGAGGACGGTGTAGCAAAACCTGCGCTGACAAGCAGATAGGCCAGAGTTATAAGGAAAAAAAACTAATGAAGTTATGATGACAAGTCGATCCTCGTTCGTTCTACTGTACTAACAGTAGAACTCACGTACCTTTCGATGTCCTTAGCAGTGAAGTAAACCGAAGTTTCTCAGGTCTAAGTGAACTAACACTTAGTACTCGCGCTTCACATTGAGTATGGTGTGTACTGTACAGTGTACAGTACAGTACGTACTGTACAGTACTATCCAGTTATACTGTACTGTAACAGTGCGCCGGGTTTGTACTGTACTGTACTGTACAGTACAGTACAAACTAAAACAAGCCAGTGGCTAAAGTTCATTAATTGTCAATAAATTAATTAGATTAGAATAACACGAAGAAGAATAAACAAACAACAGTGAACTACAGTAGAGTTATAAATGAAGACGGAAGGGTCTTAATTTGCTGTAGACAGTAAACAGCAAATTAACATCGCCATCGAAGCAGTATCAACGCGCTAGTACAGTTCTACAAAGCTTCGAATGCTTCAGTCAGTCTACTGTACAGTACAGTGTACAGTACATCCAGTACTACAACGCTAACGTGACAGCCATAAACTGAAATCGTCCGCTTGAATTATATGATTTATATCTAGTCTTTCGAATGATAAAATGTCATGTAGGATAAAAGTATAGAACGATATTGTATTGTAAACATCAAGAAGATCAAAAATAATCACGAGATCTAGTATACTGTACAAACTAATTCGCTGGTTGGCACATTCTGAACAACTTGCCATTCCTCAATCTGATATCGACGATTGCCAAAAACGTTTCTTATTCATAATACGATATATATATATATATATATATATATATACAGTATATACAAAGATTTCAGCGTCTCTACTTGCATATCCATTTTACGCCAAAATCCTACTTTGTACCGTACTTCTATTAAACACTATACCGTATTTCCATCGCTTTTCTATATTAGTTCAACTCCCATAGTGACTTTACCCAATACTACGTATGAAATAGTAGTAACTTGTTGATTGTAAGCAAGGTGTTCGATTCGATTCATTACGTAATTCAATTCAATTATTGATATTAATATCTCTCAACGAGCCACGATGCAGCCGATTTTTACAATCACAAATCGTAAATTACTCTATTTTGCTTTAACCTTACCAATTCTATGGATTATCAAAGCTAATGGTTATCCTTTGCCGCCTCTTTGGGATCAAGCCCCCAATTCGTTGACCGACTATCCTGTTATTAAGAGTCACGGTAAATCAATTATTTCGATCAATCCTTGGAATTATACGCAACGATTGGGTCTGTATAAATGCCTTCTGAATGCAACGGATCCCTACATGCAACCAATTCATATGCATGGTAAATCAAACATCTTGTGGGGACTGGCCGTTCAGCTAGGATGGCAGAAAGAAACTGGTCGTTTGAATGATTTAACAAACACAACTCAGTGTGGCTTACCGGGTAGGTAGATAGACAATTAATTCAGCATTCCAATTTTACCTGCAAATACTTCAAGAATTCAATTGGGAGGTTTAACAAATGCCATAACAGAATAAAAATCATTCTTTATGGACTTCTTCGTCCACAATTGATGTGACTAACCAAATATGTACAATTTTGCTATTGTAATAATTCTAGGAAGTGACATGGATTGCATATGGCCTTTGAGTTGGTGGGGATCAATTAATTATTTTCTCTCCGCTATTCCGTTTCTTGCTTCTTTAAAGGCGAACATGATACAAGCTAAATACCAAGTTATACTCACTCAACCAAAGTTAAAATCTAACGTTGAAAAAGCAAAGTTCTGCTTCTCAATTAAAGACTGCTATCATAAATACAATTCTACAATGGTCATGTGGACATCATTCTTCACACATATTTTGAATATAAAAAAACAGCATCCCAATTTATTGCGAAATATGAATCAGTTAACACCTAGTGAAGACCAAATCCTAAAATTAATGTGGACTGCTCACACGCAATCGCTACATGCGACACTGGAATTATTTGCAACTAAAGTGAAGTACCTATCGCATCCTGAGCAAAAATTTGCGTTATCATGGGCCAACTTAGTTTATTTTATTGGCAGTTGTCATTTTATAACAGATTTCAATAATACAGTATCCATGCAAGTCAATCTTCTACCAAAGAGGTTACTAAGAAATGGTGATAACCCACCATTTGTCAAAGATTTCAATCAAGATATTAACGCATGTCTTTTTATTACTGAAGCATTACGCGATGCAAACTTGGCAACAGATAATTTAATACTAACTCTATGGAATAAGGCTATGTGTACGCCGAAAGGCAGAAGAGATGGCCGATTCTTCTTAACGCATGCAATCACACAACCAAAAACTTTGATTAGTAGCTTCCTAAGGGTTTTAGGAGACATTCTAAAAAGCCCCGGATGCTAGCCGTATCATTAATTAATATAATAAACCTAATCATTGCGGTAATATAATGTGTCATCAGTCTGTAATTACTTTTCAAGACCTACAAAATACAGCAGCTTACGCCTTCTAAAATATGCTTTTAAAAAGTGATTAAAATTTGCAATACTTTTACTTAAAAAGTAATCTAAGTTGTGTAACTAAACCCAAAATTGTTCCATAAATTGTGGTAATAAGTTGACAATAATAATATTAAAAGGTTGCAAATACGATATGATATTATGAAATAGATTCTAATGCGTCATCTACGGGATCACCGCTTTTACATTTTCCCTTCATGGTCAAAGCAGTTCGTGCAATAAGATCATAAACATGCATTTTAGAAAGTACTGTAATCTTCTTCCAATCTAGCTGTATTGCCCGTAGAGGTAAAAAAATCTAGTTTCGATCTTACGTCGCTAAATTTTTTTATATATATAGTGTCTAGCTGAATTGTTACGAATCTATAAAAACATTATCCTGTCTACGCCTGCCATGACTGTTTTATATGATTATCCTTTTAAATGAAAAGTAATAACCGCTCTCTATTATGGTAATAAAATTTCAATACGTTGTATAGCTGAAAACTTACAATTTCTAAAACTTTAGGTTAGCGATAATATCAAGAGCTGACTTAATATTAATGTTATACTTTCAACACACATTACTACTATTATAATTAGCTGTTATTGTAACATATCAACCTAGTATCGCTTTTAATTAATTACATCAGATAAACAGGAAAGATGAACGCAAAACTAGAGTATACCACTTTTGTTGGGAATGTGAGAGATCTCGTATTGCGCTTTAACTTCAAACCATAAATTCAAGTCTTTATAAACCAAATACAGTAGTATAATCAACATTTAACAAAGATCAATTTTACGATACCTATTTTATCTCATCTAGTTTACTTTGAAAAATTAAAGTACTCGTTTAGCAAGTTTTAAATAGTAAGAGTCTGATGTCAAGCTTTGTTCTGTACACTTTATCTTTATACGTGTATGATATCTATGGTATTTTATTTGCCAATTATTTTCTTACTACTATACTACAATTTATCTTGATCGCTGAAAAACATAATCTGCGATGTTTAAAAGTTGTATCAACATCAGCTGTATAGATACAAAATGTATCCAATCAGATAAAATATATTTTCAATTAGTAATTATCCATTTAGTATAGACTATCTTGAATTCTCTTGGGGATGTTGAATTGGTTGCGGCTCACAAGCTTTACCCGATAACCTGTTATAGTAACAATTCAAATAGCGAAAATAGTATTCAATACTTTATGATGAAAATTTAATGCTACCGTAACAAAATTTCTTAGTCATTACTGTCATATCAGCATCGTTTAAATTAATATCCGGATCGGTGTTTGTAGGATGCGTGCTTGTAATATCCTCTATTTGACTAGATGAATTATTATCTGATGATGGTACAGTACTATTATTAATATTCTCATCAGGTATTGTAAGGCTAGGATTAGTAATTGAGCCAGCAGCTGTGGTATTATTAATCGAATCTTCAAAGATAACGAATATACAAGAAGAATTCATCAAATTAGATACCTCATATGACACATTTCTTATATTTAATTTGATAATAAAATACCACATCATATCTTACTGTCTCTTATTGGATTTATCTCTAGATTTCCGAGACTAGATGCTTCATATGAAAAGGGTTATGTTTTATTAACATTATAATAGGGAAAGCAATTATTTAGCTATTTACAGTCAGCTGTAACAAGTATTAATTATGTACGGATATGGACTAAAGATTGCTAAATTTATTAATTAGCTGCAAATATAATAATAGTAAATCGATATCGGATAACTGTTGCTATGCGTATAATATCGTATGATATTATGTTGAACAATTTTAAATTAAGAGATGGTAACAAAAGATATTTATAATGGGTGTTTAATTACAATTATATCTCACGGCTCGTAGCCTTACGGAGAAGAAGAACAGCTAAACCTATGTGTTCCGCTACACGCGGTCCTTGCCTTAAATAATTAAATAATGACCTGCTTATTACTACCGATCTACTATAGGTCTAGCATAGACCGTATACGGTACCTTTACTCTAGCTTATTATACTAACAGCTCATGTAGTACTATAATAGATATGAATAGCATGCACAATAATATACAGTTATCTAAGATTGCAATATCGTATTATGTATATCGCTAGTAACGGAAGATCTATAACTACATCTAAACTACCATCAGTACCGTATCCTACAATATTAAATGCAGACGGTTGATTCATGCAGAAACATGAATTTAAATATTCGCCATACACTTACTGAGAGCCTCAACAACTTCTAAGTCTTCCTGAAGAACGGGATTTTCTTGAATTAAATATAAATAGAATAAATTTGGGTATCAGTATCCTCTAACCAGTGAATGCCAACGTAAGTAATCACTTTAAGAAGCATGTTTGATAACTATAATTTAGCTATAATCTGAGCAATGCAATTTTTATTTTGCTGTGTCGGACATCATTCATCCATAGAAATTCACGAACTTGCAATATCAGCCAAACAACTTGCAGCGTCTGTTGAGCCATCGCTACCATAAATCGGAATTCGACCGTAAAAGAATGGAGCATATTTTCGAATTAACAGAGGGGTAGCATACCATATCGGTATTAAAGTATTTGCATCTATATAAATATCATTTAATGGAATACATTAAAGGGGCACCTTAGACTCAATTCCTGAATCTGTAACTAGCTACTAATCTCAATGCTACATTATTTTTATATTCCTATTTACTGCAAAAATCATGGATTAAATCAGCTGCCAGAAATACTCGGCTTACAACTTCTACTGTAAACTGATACATAATTAAAACCTGCTTAGTACAAAACGATATGAAAGTTACAAAAGTCTAATTGTGTATTTATAAAATGAAAAAAGTAAAATAACGTGATAAAACTTATTTCTTCTGTTATTTCTGAATTAATTACAGTAAATCGTACCTGAATTAAAAAGTAGCAAATCACGAACGTGTGGATCTGCAAGCAAATGTACCCAGGTAATGTTCATTAGTAGATTTTCAGTTAAGAAAAAGACTATACGATTGCAGGCATGAAAATTTGTAGTCATTGTAGCAATTAAGCTGGCCCCTCTTCTGGAATCATTGGGTATACGTATTTTTAACCCCAACTTTTCGCATTCTTTTTTAACTTCATAGGCTATCTTAGAATCATTCACATCAAAACAAAAATAGTAATCGTTATTCGCCATTTTGTTAGCCTAAATAGGGAAATTTAATGAACATTGAGAGATGAGTGTAGCAATTTTGTTTAGTGTGCTGTAATAACATTTTACTTTAAACTTTAATCACTAATAGCTATTGGATTTACTGCTATAAGCTTTCATTATATTATACCTATATTCTTCAACAATCCTTACTGATTTATCTGTTTTATTAAAAATATCTTGAGCGTTATATGGACGTACTTTGAACTAGAAAGCTATGATAATTGGAATATGCGAATATTATGCACTCGTTAAGTACTGGATATCAGTGTACTGTGCATTGCACATTAAATGTACAGCGGATATACTAAGCAACAATAATGTAGTATGCAGAGTATCAGCGAAATACTTAGATACATGTCTTACTATTTTTATATCATCCTACGAAAAATGGTTTATTTATACAGCAATTAATTATTGTTACAACTTCCGCGTAAAAAAATTACGTAATAACCCTTATGGTATTCACTGAATAGAAAGTATAGCAAATGACGATAATGTAATTCCTTATTATGTGCCCAATAATTTCCTTTGATAAATTTACGTCCAAACTTTATAAGTACGTATGTTTATGGTCTGGTTCGAAGCCGGCGAAATCAATACCGTTTTATTTTATACGCTTTTACTAAGGCTAACTATATAAAACATTTGCTGAAGGGGTAAGAAAGATTGTATGTAGATCCCCAACAGAATTTATTCACGTCGAATGCTTGCTTCACCATTTGAATTTTTCTACATTTTTCTACATTTTATAGCATGAAGTGTGAACGCAGTTCTGATGATTTTTATTATTATCATTAATGACAATTAAATTTACTCGTTTATAAAGCTTTCGTTTCAGTTATAACTTACTGGTGCCATTAATTATAATTATACTATATGAATAAATTAGATACAAAAATTATTATTATCAAACGACTCGATTCAAATTTTTTAGAATAGGAATAGTATAGATAAAGAAGTTTAAGAGTTTTTACTGTATTTTGATAGGAAGAATTCTAGTTTTAGCTCATTGGGTGAGTATTCCTGTAAAATATAATCAGGCTTGATTACTTGTCGATAAGCGTAATACGGCGGAATAAATAATGCAGACTGTATATACAGTACAATAGTATGAGAAGTTACCGTTATATTTTGTATGTATAGTAGCATAGACTTCTATGTTTGATATTTGGACTGCTTTTATTTAGAGTTCCAGTAGTTGATGGTTTCCTATAAGTGTGCAATAGACGTAAAGAAAAAAAATTACAGAAGTACAGTACTGTACAGGTTTGTATAAGAGTTGATCTGATTAGCAAAATGTAAAAGACTACGGCACAGGGTATTCCCAAGCGGTCACCCATCTAAGTACTAACCCTGCTCGACGCCGCTTAACTTCCGTGATCAGACGAGAACGGGTGCTTTCAACGTGATATGGTCGTAGACAACCATTCTTGCTATTTGTTAGTATAAAAATACTATCTCTCATTTTTCGACAGTTAAAGAGAAATAAAGTCGAGACATACTATAGAACTCGAAAAATTATAATTATAATTACTAGCTTCGTAATACCCTTTCTAAAACGGGTACATTTAAATTGCTGACTTTCGTGGAAAACGTTAGATGTCAAATTGCGTTCCCTTCTACTATATTGTATACGCGTCTTATAAGTATTAATTTAATATAATAATAAAATGAAACATTTAAGCACAATATAAAGTTTTCACAATGCGTCTTTAATGTGAATCTTGGCTTAATTCTATATCAGGAGCAGTAATTTACAGTATTAATCCTCGTAAAGCAATATCACTGTGGATAAACTTCAGTTAAATACTGTATAATCCGTTCTTAATAATATGCAGCTAACAGCGGTTGATATTAGTGGATAGTAGACGTAAAAGAAAAAAACTACGGTAGTACAGTATAGGTTTGTATAAGAGTTGATTGGCAAAAATGTAAAAGACTACGGCACAGGGTATTCCCAAGCGGTCACCCATCTAAGTACTAACCCTGCTCGACGCCGCTTAACTTCCGTGATCAGACGAGAACGGGTGCTTTCAACGTGATATGGTCGTAGACAACCATTCTTGCTATTTGTTAGTATAAAAATACTATCTCTCATTTTTTTTTTTCTTTGACAGTTAAAGAGAAAGAAAGTCGAGAAATACTATAGACCTCAAAAAAATTATAATTATTTATCGCTCTCAAGTAGTGCATTTTTGCAGAATAGTTCACGTTTGACTTGAATTAATAAATACCGCTACAGTACAGTCATCTAATGTGGTCCTGATATACACTAATTAACCAGCGAGCTGCGCTGACCTATTTTTCATGTCTGTGAGGCAGCGGATGCTTCCATTGATTATTGACAATATTAAATAGTTCTGCATGCTCACTCCTAGCATTCAATCTACAGCAGATTTCTTAACTTGACTAAACTAGGTACTTATGAAATGAACTCTCTGAAAAATATCGTTACAATCATACGTCTTGCTAGATACTCGTACAGTAAGAAATTTGAAATATCAATAAATCGAATAATGATTAACACCAGATATTCTTTATTGCAGTTATGATGTTCCATCATTTATTAGTAACGTAACCATATTTCTGATCTTCTATATCGTGTCCTTGCTAGCTACAATATCTGGCTCATTCTACATACTGTACTTCTTTGCTCAACTACAATTATAATACGCTTCAGTGCAGGCTAGTTTAGGTTTTACAGTATTCAATTAATAAGAACGAAATAAGTAATACAAGGACAATACAAATTGATCTTACTAGCGTAAACGTGCGTCACGTCTCATGAAAACGGTCAAAGGTCGCATAGCTACGTTCTAGAATAAGAGGCTTGTTTAGTGATAACATTAACGTTAGTTTTTTAACAACTGAAAAGCTTATATTATAGCTGATTCCTTAAAAATTTCACTCAAGTCTATAGCTACGTTCTAGGATAAAAGTCTTGTTTAGTGATAACATTAACGTTAGTTTTTTAACAACTGAAAAGCTCATATTATAGCTGATTCCTTCAAAATTTCACGCAAGTCTATAGCTACGTTCTAGGATAAAAGTCTTGTTTAGTGATAATATTAATGTTAGTTTTTTTAAAACTGAAAAGCTCATATTATAGCTGATTCCTTAAAAATGTCACTCAAGTCTATAGATTCCGTTTTCATAACAGGAGCTAACCGTGGAATAGGACTGGAGTTTACCAAACAATTAGCGACATCGCAAAACCCACCTAAATTTGTTTTCGCTTCACATCGAAGACAAAATATCCAGCAACTTCAGGTAATGGATTTGAAATGAGTAATCGCTTATCGTAGGTGGCGAATTGGTAATTAACAAACCATAAAAATTAATACGTTTTATTGTAACGTAAATAATTATAAATTGAACATTGTTAACTTTATTATTCGCCGCTGCGTCATGGTACAATTCTTGATATAGGAGCTTTCGCTTCACTATTCAAACGTTATTCTAATTGCTTTAGGTATGATAATGCAGAAATCACTATAGATAACTTTTTATTTCGGCTACTTTGCATCATTTAAATGTCATGTTGGTAGTGCTAATTTTTATTTATGGACTTATTGCTTTAAGTTAATTACTTTGACGTTAAGATTCACGATATGATCTTTACGCAGATGTTACTGATGATGCACAAATAAACAAGGCTGTAGATGAAATAAAACTAAGAGTTAAGGATAATGGCTTAAATTTGCTAATTAACAACGCTGGAATTTGTTATCGGGCAACATTAAACACGATAACTGAAGAAATATTACTGCAACACTATCGGGTAAACACTCTTGGTCCGTTGATGATTGCAAAGGTATTTGCTTTGTCTAGTCATTCCTTATAGTAAAAACAATTGGCTATCTTAAGAGAAATATAATACTGCAGCTTTGAAGTTAAAGATCAATATAATTTATACTGTCGTCTAATATTTCGATCCGTAAGTAGAGTTGTAGACCTCTACTTCAACAAGCCTCCGCGATTCACGGAATATCAGCTATTGTTAACATTTCCAGCAGTTTGGGCACATTTAGTATGGATGTAACAGGGGGAATTTACGCATATCGCTGCAGCAAGGTATATAAAACATTAATCGCATTAATAAGATTAGCGTATTGATGCTGTATACTTTTATTGTATTTCAAAAATTGTATAATCTTTTGTTTTGATCTCGACTTACGGTACCTCTATAAAACCTTGAAGTTGAATATTTATCATTTTTGGCTTATAATATTATAAATACTTAGATAACTTTTCCCTGTCGCTTAATGATATGATAATTTATAATCAGAAGGTAATGGTTTGAGACAAAGTGCAATTGCTACCTGGCTAAGTCACTTAGTAACGTGTTAATATATCGTTAATCTTTTAGAACAGACCTCAGTCCAGTACTCTAGTTGCCATAAAGAGGCTAATTTCTATTAGTCATAAATATAACAAAACTACAAAATGTTCTGATTATTATAAGAAGTATGATATCGCCGAAATATATATATATACTGCACGTTTAAAAATTTACCTAGTACAGATGGATATGATGCGGAATTCATCTACTCACTAGCACATATTTTCGGTCCTTGAACAATGCATATTTATAATTAAATCTCGAAAATTGCTCTTTTGTACGCAAAGTTGATATGTATTTTAATCAAGTCTCATTACGTATTTCAGGCTGCACTAAACATGATAACTAAATGCCTAAGTGAAGATTTGGCTGCAGATAAAATAGCAGTTGTTGCGTTAAGACCAGGTTGGGTACAGACGGATCTGGGTGGTTATGGTGCTGATTTGACGGTAACAGAATCAGTACGAGAATTATTAAAGCAAATTAAGCAGTTACACTTATGCCAAACTGGCCAACTCATTTGTTACACTGGAGCAGTATTAGACTGGTAGTTCAAGATTGTTATCTCCTTAATTGAATAAGAGTTTGAGGAAAATTATGTTGATTAATTATAAAGTTAATAGCTTGTTTATACACAGGTACAGCTCAATTTGGAAGTAAAAAATTTACATATGTAGATTTATAAATTTTGTTCTCATTTGCATCAAAGACAGCGTGATGATACAACAGATCACTAGATTGACTGCTGTACGATACCATACTTTGCAAAGTACTATCTTCAAAAGTTAATTTCTAGCTCTGACTATTCAAGTACAGTTAAGGGCATGCTAAAGTTACACCTGTTTATGGATTGGTTCCGGTTCTAAATATTTTCCGATTAATTCAGTGCGTTTGTCGTTACATCTGCCTAGTAACTCAAGGCTATCGTTACGTTAATATTCTATAATAAAGTTACTAGCTGATAAAAAATTTATTTGGCTATAACTAATTAGTATAGGGTTATTATTATTACCTATGCCTCTATCTTTCGGTTAGCATTACATTAAAATGTAAATTTCGTGATCTTTTCCAAGCTATAAAATTGTTGATTCATTAACTAAAGCTTATTAAACATTCATTAGATAAGCAAGTACTTTAGAAATTTGCTAATGAAAAGATTGGCGGACACTGTATTTCCTACCGAAACTACTCCAATCCGATAGGGAGTACATTATGTAGTTTATGTGCCAAGCATGCTCCTTATTAACATACAAGAACAGTAGAGATAGAGAGTAGTACGCACGAATTGTCAAGAAATCATAAACCTAGAAATGTATGATTGAATATAATAGAAATAGCACGCGCGTAGCTTATAAGATCTATAAATACAGTATGTACAGAAGATAGGGTGGTGAATAAGCCAGAATTTATTAAAAATACCTAAAATACTTTCAGAAAGGTGGATACAATTGAAAGGGTTTAGACAATTAATTAATAAAATAAAATAATTCACGAAAAAGACTGGTAACAATCATTTGTTGTAAAAACGCAAGGGTACTTCTAAAGTCGAGAGGACGAAGACCAAATGTATGAAATTTTTATATCAACTACCACTGATGCATGTCCGATTCGGCAATCTTGTTGGAATAATAATTATTACAATTTGGTAACTGCTTTCTTGTGATTTACGAAGGCATCAGCATACTGAGGAGCAGTTTGAGATTTGTTAAATGTTGCATCTCCTAAAATATTAACCGGTAGCGTTTCGACGCAAGGGTACTTCTAAAGTCGACAGGACGCAGACCAAATGTATGAAATTTTTATATTCACTACGACTGATGCATGTCCGATTTGGCAATCTTGCTAGAATAATAATTATAACGATTTGGTAACTGCTTTCTTATGATTTATGAAGATATCAGCATACTGAGTAGCAGTTTGAGATTTGTCAAATGTTCCATCTCCTAAAATATTAAGCGGTGGCGTTTCTGGTAGTGATAACTCGTAAGATTCCGTTAATATTTTACAAAATTCATGCAATAAATTCCAACACACACCAACATGAGAACAAGGCTTGTAATTCGCTTCAATGACAATATCAGTCAAGGATGTATGGCCACCGACTATGGAGCTAAGTTTAACGATAAAATCTCCAAGTAGTAATGTCTGGCCATGCGCTTTTAGGGATTTTCTGAGAGTATAATTTTTGATATTATCTGTAAATTCATCAGCTGACTCCATGGGCACAATTTGACCATCATCGTTGTTATGCATGATGTATTTTGTATTATTATCACTCCAAGCAAGGGAATAGACCACATTTTTAGAAGACAGCGAGTCTGTATTTGCTTGATAGTGTTCAAAATCTAAAGACCATACGCCAACTACATCAGCGAAAAGATTGGTTAGTCGTTTAACAAGTACGTCAATAACTTGCTGGCTAGTTTTCTCGGGTGGTATAGCGCATAGACCAACTATCGTTACCCCCATTGCGGACTCCAATGCTATATTCTAAGTAGCTATATCTATATCTATACAGTATATGTTATATACAGTACATGCACTAAATCTGTAGGATGAAGCTTATAATGGATAAAATCAATTTTCTGCTATAAAACGTAGAGGAATAGCAATAAAATAAGGTTAAAATGACTCCTATAATTGAAAATGATTGAATCTTGTAAATAAGTTTGCCATACGAGTAGAATTTCAATTTCTACCGAGTATTGATTTATCACCTTTCGTGTCGATCCTGCTTGAGCATACACGTGAAGGGAAAGGCATAAAATTTACATACAGGAGTATGCCGTACAGTGTATTGAATAAGTATAATCCAATGGAGTAATTTTACAGCTAACAGCCACTACTGTACAGTAGATAGCTAATTTAATACATCACATGGATAGTAAGACGTTTCATAAGTGAATGTCAATTTTATAATTTCGCACTTCCAATATTTTCTACCACTTATCAGAGTAGAGATCAACCATTGCTATTGGTTTGTCTTTTAAAGCATAATGTTGGATTGGAGCGATTGATGAAACATCGACTGGGAAAGCATCGATGAAGAAGATCCCTTTGATCCCTGACAGACAGACTAGATACGATATGGCAAGATACTGTACTGTAGGATACTGCACTTATTGTTCACTACTGTTGGAGTAGCTATAGCAGAGGATTAGGATCAGTAAGGAAATTTCTATGTTGGAAGTGGACACTAGCAGTTACGCCTGAGCTTGTACTGAAGTAGGTGAACCACTGCACAATATGCCTCAGACGGATGTACGGATGGATTCTACGAGTGTATACTATACCACAATGTACAGCACGTGATACTATCTCTTCTCGGAGGTGAATGGATAGACCAAAGGCTCGCACCAGTTGTATGTACGAGATTATGTAATGGCAACATGCAAGACCAGCTGGAAAATTATTTGCTAACTTTCTATCAGTCAGAAGAAAGCGATCAATTAACTGATCAATTGAATGCTTTAGGTATTAGTAAAAAATCAGATCAATCTAGTAATGTCAAACGCCATAAAAACTCCAAAATCTGCGATTATTTAATTCGCTGCGATCCACTACAAAAGAAATTAAAGGTAAACATTCTGTAACACAGATAACATAGCTGCTAGCTGTCGCTAGAATAGCAACGGGAATTGACTAATCAGTAACTGCTTTGGTAGTAATTTGAAAATATAGTAAGTGCTTTAAATTAGCAACTACAGCTTTGATAGCATGTACTGCATTAACTTAATTATGCTAGGTACAGTATATCTATGATTACAATTGAATGGAAGATAGTAACCTTACTGTTAGCTTTAAGTAAGTTGACAAATAAATACATTACCACGTAAGCCTAAAATCGATCACACGCTCTCGAATATTGATATCAGTATCATGCAAAATGACAGAATTCATTAAGACCACGCAAGGTAAAGCATTTATTTTAATACTGCATTCGAAGCTCTATACTCTACTTTCAAAATCGATCCAATAAGATCTAAACTACCATGTAACAGAACAAATATATTATAGCAATTGCGATTGAAATACCACCTATAAAAGCCTGATCTTGTAACTCTTAACGGATAGGATTGCTATACTATTCAAGAAATCATATCGAGCATATCTAAAGAGTTCGATACATCGATTGCGTCCTGTACATTGAACAGTTACAATAGTATAGAAATTAAGTTAAATCGACCCAAAGTGATACAAGAACAGTTGCATCAAATTTTCTCGGACGACACCTTCAAGACCAATCTATTCAAACAAGAGCCAGGAAAGCAGTTATTAATTAACTGTAGTGCTTGGCAATGGACAGAATCTTTATCTCTCAATCATCTTCGTGGAATACTTGTTACATCGCATTTGCAAAGAATACTGAAAGCAAAGGGGTTGGCTTTTATCTCTAAAATTTTTTATTTCATGCTGTTTCACGTAATAACGAATTTAGATTCTCATCACCATATTATACGTATTTAAAGGTTTAATACAATCATGGTAAATTCCTTAAGAGAATGTGCTGAAAACACTGATCGGTCTGAGTTTATTAAAGAATTTCATCTCGAAGATATGTGTACTTCAGAGCTAGTTAATTCTGCAAGGGAATATGAAGAAATTCTTAGTAAATTAAAAACCAAGTGCTTAGAATCAAAATACTGCATATATGATAATGGCAATTATTTTATAAATGCTTCACATTTTATAAAAGACTCTGGGTTACTCGAAGGTAATTGCTATGAAGATTAATTAAGTGTCTCAGCGATCGTACAGTTACGTAAACTTTAGCACAATTACTCAAATTCGATGTAATTACCAGTGATAAAATTTGAAACTTAATTTTGGCTAGTATCGATAATAATTTTTGGATAAAGTGATAAGTTAACTGTCTTGTCAGTGCTGCATTATTACTTAGTTTATGCTTATATTGTCATCGACTATCCTGTATTATTGTAGATGGCATCTTCAAGAATGTGGAATTGATTAAAGGTGAATGAAAAACATTTAAATGTTACATTTGATGAAAGGCGAATATTTCTAAATTTCTAAATATTTTATAGTACAACCAATTATCTTTCTAGGAATAATTTTCAAAAATTTAAGTCTTCGATTAGCTTGAATACTTCTAAATATTGAGATATACTTTTATATCGGTAACTAAAGAACATGCTAAAGAATATTCCGTAGGAATACAAATCTAATCGATATTGTTATTTCTCAATTATAGTTATGTCATGTGACCAAGTAGAACCTATTTTGCTGGCTGTCACATCTCTAGAATTAGCTGTTCAAGAAGAATCAAATTCTGACATAATAACAACAGTTAATGTAGTACCTCATAACAAGTTATTTTATGCCACAAAAATGTCCTTGCTATGGCAAATTCTCAGCAATAAATCAAATGCTGCTGCAATTAAACATCAGGTATGCATTAGTGGTCAGTTTATCTGATGTTCAGAATTTGCCGAAATGACACTATTATATCAGGACTATTCAGGAGTGCATTAAGTCAAGAATACATACTCTTAAATTTTATTCAAAATTATTACAATTTACTTTATTAAATTAATTAGGTAACCAACCGTTTTATCAATTACAACTGTGATTTATAGGTTAGCGTCGCTATTGAAAGGGTGATTACTGTTGGTGATATAAATTTAACCCTAGCTTCAGATCTTATTAGGTAATCAGTTATATGATATGAAATATTAACGATGTCATTCCTATATCAACGTATATTCGGCTTTCGATTATATTTAAACGTCGGGTCAAGATTATGCTTAAATTAAGAAATATTTGGCTGATATGTTCAAAGCATGTGGTTTTCCATTCGTACTGCTGTACGCTAACTTAATGAATTCAAAATATTTCTATTTTATTTTATTAAGATTACGCAAAGCGCAAATGAAGCGAGCATCGATCTTAAAATACGGATCCACTGTACATGGTAAGAGTTAATAGACAATTACCAGCTCCTTAGTATTTGCTCCATCGTATTTATTCAATCTTGCAGACCCATCTTGGCAGGGTATTATAGCTGAAGTTGCTTCTACGACGATAAAATTTGAAATGCTAGGAACATCTGGGAACGAACCAGTTAGTATCGTAACAAAAGTATTGATCAAGTTGTCATAGAGTTTTATTTTCTGACATTTCTCCAAGAATAAAACCATGCACAATTTTTTTCAGTTAAAAATAAATGTATCGTCACAGCAAACGACTGGATCTCTAGATAAGAAAGGCGGTTCATTTGTTTTATATAATTGCGCAAGATTGTCTACACTTTTTCAACATTTCAATGAACAAGTTACCAAGTGTAAACTTAAATTTAATGTATTAGCCATCTTCGTTAAACGAAAAATTTTGTCAAAATTAGAATACCTACCTTGGATTTTCTGAGGTAAAAAATTTAAATTAATTTCTTCCTTTCTAGCAACCTATCCACCATTACCTCCAATTGAAAAAGTAGACTTTACGCTGCTAAGGCATGAGGTGGTTCTTGAATAAATTTGAATTACTTTTAATATCTAGTAGACACAGTGGAGTAGCAACTTCTCTAAAAAGTAATACTGTACTAGTATGCAACGTTCGAAGCAGTATAGGCTTCGCCTTTGGCGTAATGTAATTTTGCTGATATGCTTCATAAAGGAGGAATGGGAACTATTTTTTAATTGTATTTACAACTGTGGACTGTTCAATAATGACGCTTCATTCCTAATGAACGACCAAACATCTGACCTAGATTGGCGGTGCAATAAGGTGCAGATACTTACTTAAGAAAAAAGAATACAGTAGATCCCATCTGCAATTGTGAGGTTGAAAATTATTTTTAATTAAGTTTTTGAATTAAAATTCTTGTCTGTAGATATGCCAGTTCATGACTATGTTATGCCGCACATTTAGCTCGTACTATCGTAGTATCAGAATACTAACAGTAAGTCTTAATTATTGCTGTCATATAATAGTTTGAATTTGTTTTGTTGGCTATGATGCACTCCTGGTAGTGATATTACGGATTTTAATTTTTAGGAACCGAAACCTCACTTATTTCCTGTGATGCATGCCAGATTATATTTAATGAAAGCTATACATTTGGTATCCACATTATAATATAAGTTTATTTTTAATCATTCCTGAAACTGTCGATCTGAATTTTGATGCCATGCTGATTTGATAGGTACTTATTAATAATCTTGCTCTGCTCAATATCAAGCCATTGTCACAATTATAGGTATGTATCAAAATAAATAACTTAAAAAATGATAAAGCATAAAAACAATTATGCCTTAATATTTTTATACATGTAATTTTGATTTAATTGACATAGCTAATATGCTTTAAATGTCTCAAAATTTCAATAGGCACCTCTCGTCAGTAGAAATAATTGTAACTTACGCAAGATTCCTATTCATATCTGAAGAGATTTTAAGATACCAATATTGCTGTACAGTTGATTGATAATTTATAAACTTACATAGCGTAACAGCGTATTTTTCGATTACTTATTAACACATTGAAATTTAATAAATAAAAAATATATCGCATCATAGTTCTGAATTCATTCTCTGTATTATTTTATAAGTTTTTAGATACATTTTTCTCTATGACTACCTTTTACATTAGTAATCAGTCGATACAGATTTTTGGCTTTTAAATAGACCGCATGCAAAAACTGCGTATACGTGTAATCCTTGATCTTTATATTGCTATGCTGATTTAATTTCATAGACTTTGACCTACGAAGGGCATTTAAAAAGTTATCCGATTTCATAATCTTCTGTTTCTAAGCAAGACGAGCTCACAAACGATTGTATTTCCTGATAAGTAGTTAATGGGCGGCATCGAAACTCCAAGAGAGCATCAGTAGCCAAACGATTCAAGTGTCGCTTGCTAGTGATGTGTTTTAACTAAATCGGATTGAAACAACAATCTTAAGCATTGATGGCAATCACATGCAGTATTTTCGTATACGCACTGATGATTACAGCTTTCATTTTAGCTATGATTAGCCATGAATTATAGTGCAACGGCAATTGACGACAACGTGACCAATATCCCTCCATACGGAAGAAGGATGATAAAGGCATTAACAAAACTTACCCACTCTTTTTCATTCGGCAACTGCGCATCACATGTAGAACAGCACCAGCAGTCGCTTACTTTAAAAGTTCGCTTCCTATGCTTTACTGAGGTCAGGTGCTGTTGGTAATCTACTATAGATTTAAATATCTTTCTAGGGCAAGACTCACATTTCATCTTTGAAGAGATTTCTGCCTATAGCGTACATTGCATAATAAAGGATGTAAAAGCGTTAAATTATACTGATCAAAAATAAAGATACTCGTAGACATAAAATACAACGCAGTACTGTACGTTCGTTTTGGCTGCATAGTAAGTAGTTACCGTAAACTCATTCTTGCATGTTAGTGTGCATCTATAGCCTAAAGTACATCCGGAGGATCAAAACATCCCCTGCATTTTAATTCATCCTATCTAAACACTGGAGCATGATGATCTTGGTAATTTAATGTTTTTAATTGCGCTACTAGCCTCCATATAAGGTGCCTTGAGAAGTGACTCAGAACTGCGTTTTAAGAAATTTTTGATCACAATTTCAATATACTGTCTTGTGCATTATACCTGTAAACGTTTTAGGTGTTTTCGAGAATGAAGTTCAGAATTTTCACGACTTTTATTAGATTGCTTCGTAATATTAGGTTTCTCTGCCTCCGTAGAAGCAACTCTCCTATCGTTGGAGGTATTCTCCATAATATTATATCGTATATATTTGATAGCTTAACCGTTCCATTTCCTTTTTTTTTAGAGGTCTGTTGGAAAGTGTACTGTACAGTGTACAGTACTGTAGGTTCTTCTGTAAAAACTTTGAAATACAGTATACAGTACAGTACTGTACAGTACCAACTACAAATTCCAGATTCTACAGTACAATCCTATTGTAGATTTGTAGTAAAATAGACACTACAGTACAGATCAGAAAATGCCATAAAGACCTCTATTAACAGAAATATTGTACGGAGTACTGTATACAGTACAGTACAGCGATCCACGACTTGTAGTCAGTACTACACCTTGCAAACTATGGTACTTAGCCAGTTAATTCATGGCCTTACTCTTTTTATACTGTACAGTACAGTACCAGTAACGTTGAATTATTTGCGAACAGAGAATTGTAGCCTCAAATCTGCTACTATCAAAGATGCAACAGTTTTTAGTGCAGTTGTTAGAATTGATTTTATTTCAAAGATAGTTGTTTGAATCGTTCAGGGGAACGGGAATACATACAGTACATTACATTTGTAATGAAGTAAAAGAACTAAACAGTCTCGTTAGAGGATTCATAATTTATAATACAACAGTATTACATTACGTTACACAATTTCGCTGAGAAGACTGTTAGCGAATAAATTGTTCTTCAATTTTGTGGCTTTTAGAAAAGCCGTTTGATTGTAAAGTTGATTACATAAATGTACAAATTATCTTCAAGGTTGGATTTAACCACCGAAACCGTACAAAGTACGTCCTTGGCGTTTAAGAGCGTAGACAACGTCCATAGCAGTAACAGTCTTACGCTTGGCGTGCTCGGTGTAGGTAACCGCATCACGGATTACATTTTCCAAGAATACCTTCAAGACACCACGAGTTTCCTCATAGATCAAGCCAGAGATACGCTTGACACCACCACGACGTGCAAGACGTCTGATAGCTGGTTTGGTGATACCTTGGATGTTATCACGAAGGATTTTTCGGTGACGCTTAGCACCACCTTTTCCAAGACCTTTGCCTCCTTTTCCACGTCCAGACATTTTCAATAAACGAAGTTCGAAAATTAGACTTGATTGAAGTGAAATCCAACTGGTGCTATTTATATCCGACTTGCGGACCGAATCGCAAGCACCATATGCGGACCTGATCGACAACATCGTCGATTATGTAAATTACCTGTGGGTATCATCAGCCAATCAGAACGTGCTAGTTCGTTTGATCCATTCGATCCCGTATGTATCGGGATGATTTGAAAAGGGAAGCGGCAAAATCATACTGTACAGTACAGTACAGTACAGTACAGTACTGTATCTTACAGTACTATACTGTACTGTAGAGGTCTTCATGGTACTATACTGTACTGTACTGTACTGTACAGTACAGCACATTTGTACAATTGTGTAGTTACTATAGAGGTAAGGAAAAACCTCTATGGTCCGGTCATAGAGGCTTACCTCTCTATACAGTATAGTACAGTACAGCGTAGACCAGTATCACGACGCGAGTTGTAAAATGGTTGGAGCGACCGAACATTGTACAGCGACTGATAGTTTGTATTAGAAACTTGAAAGAAATAGAATTATTCAATACTGCAATAAAAAATAATCAAAATATCAAAAGTCAATCGCTCAAGGTTGTACTGATTTGTCTGCATGGGATTGGAGCCAAATTTAAAGCACAATTCTTCACAATCTAAAGACATACTGTAATTTAAGGCAACACTATAGCTGAACATCTTTCAACCATTTTTTAGAGGGCTCGCCACGCCCCTGTACATATAGATACGGAAATACAGTAACCTCACTATTAGTTAGTTTTACAAGAAATTCAATTTTTTCCTTGCATATCATTCTAGACCAGGATATTACTAGGGTTAATCTCGTAGGCTGTTAGATACAGTATATTGAAAACATTCGTATATAGCAAAAATGAACTTTTTACAATATTTACTAATAAGAATAGACTTAATTTTATTCAGGTTATGAAGATCTAGATTCAGAAACAATACAGTATAATGGATAGCTAGTGAGCTCTCAACTTTTGAAATATCGACTAACTTTGAATGATAAGTGAATATTTGCATTAAATTTGCACTGCTGAAAGGAATTAATATAAATAAATAGAACTTAAACTTTAGGTTTCAGCTATCGATTGAGTTTGAGGTCGTCGTATTCATAAATTATCGAGAGAATAGTATCACCATTGAAATATTTCTGAAAAGGTTACATGCTGATATATAAACCCAAGTGTGATTGTAAAAGTACCAACAGTTAACTAAAGATTCAGTTAACTTCTGCAAAGATTATCTTTGAACTAATTTTATAAAATATTTAAACTTCTAAATTTTTCTTCATTAATTCAATATCTGATATAACCATTTCTGCAACAAGCTCCTAGAAGGGGTTATAAATTGATTTATAACAAGACAATCAGATAATATAGAAACCTACTGCGTATGCTAATACAGTGGCTGATAATGCTACATATGATATATGGAAATTATTTTGCTACGACTTGTGAAAGGTATAATATCGAACCTGAAATGTTACTTTCGGTTTCCATCCCAACTTTTCACGAGCTTTGGTATTATCGCCTTGCAAGAAATTCTTATAAATGTATCATAAGTTTATTACCACAATTAAAAAACATACAATTTAAACGTTAAATTTATCCATGCTTAGATATTGGTGCTAGACATCTTAGAGATGGAGATTGCATATACGGATAAATAAATTACATCATACAAGTAAATAAGGTGGCTACAGGCTTACTACCTCTGCAGGGCGATAAAATTTAGGATTAATTCGAACGCGAACTACACCACTTTCTTCATCAACACCAACTTCATCAACTCCAGAACCTTTCCAGCTTAAGAGGATAGATAAATACAATTGTCACAAATGTAAAACATCTTTTGTAACATTGTTGTAGTACATCGTATAATTCCGATTATGAAATCGATTTCATATCGATATGTGCTAATTGATACGATAACATCTGATTGAGCTTGCGTAACAAGATAAATTACAATCTTATGATCTCACATGAAGAAATTATAATGAACTTCTAGTAAGAAGTAACGTAATTAGCACAAATTTAATCTGGATATCTACAATTGTATGTACAAAAATTAGCGAAGGAACCGTTAAAAATGTATCAGCAGACAAACCCAATTTTTATTCCGACGATAACAAAAGCAGCTTCAACAAAATTACGCACAGTGTGTGTTTTACCGGTAGCTAAAACAAAGTCTTCCGGTTTGTCACACTGCAGCATCATCCACATTGCCTGCCGAAAGGACAGATTTGTAAGTTAAACAACATTAAACTCTATGAATCAAATGTTATCGAATAATTTTATGAATCATCTTCAAAATACCAAACCTCAACATAATCTTTAGCGTGATCCTAGTCTCGGCACGAGTTTATATTTCCGAGTTGAAGCTATGATACAAAAATATTTAAAATATTGCGCTATAGATAATGCTGCTAAACATATCAATTTGCTTTCACAAAATTTTAATAATATAGCTAAATGATAGGAATTACCTCCTCTTGCAAACCTAAATATATTTTAGCAACTGCACGGGTAATTTTCCTTGTAACAAATGTCTCTCCTGAAATTTAACGATAAATGTTAAAGCAAGCGATGGAGATATGCGTCTCTGATGCGTATCCATACCTCTTCTTGGACTTTCATGATTGAATGCGATACCATTACAACAATACATATTATAGGCCTCACGATAGTTTACAACAATCCAAAAAGCATACATTTTAGCAACACCTTAAGTCAGAAGGTAATAGGAGATTAAGGATATAATAAACTTATGATACAACAGTAAATTTACGTTTTTAACATGAAATTAGCTATTAAAATTTACCATAGGGTGATCGCGGATAGAACGGCGTAATTTCTTTCTGGGGTATTTCATTGGCTTTCCCATATAATTCGCTGGTAGCGGCCTACGAAGAAATATAATAGCTATTAACTTAATGCCTAGGGAACAGAAACCAATTTTAATAAATATTCACAGAGCTTGTTTGAAAGTAAGAGTTAGCGATGGTTTAAACTGTAATTACGTGGATAAGACCTGATAGAATCGAATCTTGTTACTGAAGTTACAGGTCCGAATAGCATCGATCACGCGCAACGTACCAATAGCGTCTACATCAGCGGTGTACTCGCTTAAGTCGAATGAAACCTTATAGAATGTTCATAAAACGAAGTTAAACGATATCATTATTTGAGTATATTAATCTATAAACATAGATAATTTTATGTCGTTACTAAGAATAGTAAAGATAATGCAAAATATTTTGGTACTAAGAAATTGACAGCGTACTTAAAGTACCTACTTGGACATGACTCTGTGCTGCTAAATTATAAATTTCATCTGGCTGTACCTGAAATCAATCACGCAATGTAGCAAATTATGCAATAAATGCTGTACTGTAATTTACCAATACTGTATAGAGCATCTTACCGAAGAAATAATTTTTACGAAACAATTACTATTAGTTAAATCACCATAGTGCAACTTTATAGCTAAATTAAATGATAAAAATAAAGATATTAAGTCAACGCTTATTAGTATAATTTAATAGTTAAATTAATGCTTTCAAACCTTTAGCTGTATGAGTTTTGGGATCTTCATACAAATAAGAGATTCGACCAGTAGTAATTGAACTTGATTGCCTAATGATTCCGTGAACCTTAGTTAAGTTGAATATTACGTAATTACTACAAGATTTTTTATACGAAAGTGTGATATACAATTTCAAAAGTAAATAGATCTGTTCTTAACATACGCGTATGCTAAGACATAAATTGGGTTACAATTAACGTCGTAGCAGCAAGTGGATGATTAATTTATTAGTTAAGCATTTTTGCAGGATTTAAATTATGATAATAGTAAGCGGGCAAGTTTTTAATAATAGATAATTTAGAAGGATTCCAGTTTGTAAACTCAAAGCTAGTAGAATACTTGTAGATATCAGAAAACCTTTATACATAAATTATGACGTTGTCAAGCTTGCACCCTTGCAACTTTTAGATTTTTAGAACAAAAAGTGAATGAAATTCGGTAAAAAGTATGTTGGAATAATATAAGCCTATATACAAACGTCCTGTGATAATCATAATCAAATGAGATAACAAGAGGCTATTTTACTATTTCGCATAAAAATGTGGTGAAGCTTCATCACAGAGTTAATTACGACTGATACTTTTAAGCACTTACCTCATAACCTTTATTGATTAGTAATTCTGCCAAGTAAGAACCATCCTGCAAAAAAATATGAATTTTTAGCTAGCTATTATGGAATTGCGATAGCAAAGATACAAGGATGTAAAGCATTAAATCTAATGGTTAGATAGTAATAAAGCCTAGCGGTATACGATTTCCATGTAGTCATCTGATTTACGAATGCAAATGAAGTTATTATTTAGCACAGTGCAGAATCTGTTAAGATTTGAACATGCAAACACTAGAAAATCAGGATAACTATGATTCACTGAGAAGATAGTATGAAGATTACAAGTAATAAAGGGTGTCAATGTGTTACCGGCAATATGAAAAATAATGTTTATTTACTTCAACTTTTACTAATGCCAAATATTCTTTATGAAGCTCAATATAATTCCGTATTTCGGCAATATTAAAAAATGACTGACGTAAAGTACGATTTGGGTAATACTATTATTACAGTAGTACCGTATATTTTAATGGTAATACTTGTATCATACTCTTGGTTTTGCTGGTACAGCATTCCTTATTATGAAAAATATTAATGTTATTTATCAGAATAAAACATTGGGATGAAAGTTATGTCATTTGAATTCAAATCTAACGCTGCATCTGATGGTATCGAAATAAACCTTCAATACGTACAACTTTTGAAACGAACGGATTTCTCGAGCTACCGGCGTCAAACTGTAATACAACCTGATGCTTTTCTTTAGTGAAAGGAGATAAATTACGTCATTTACTAAGTAATCAGGAAGTTTTATTTTTTTTTACTGTTAGTTATGGGATCATGTTAGCTTTTAAAGCGTTGATTTGACATGATCATTCGTATCAATCTTTCGTATGCAGTTATTAAGAGATACAAACTGAACTATACTATACCCGTATAGTATAAATAAACATTCTAGTAAAGTTCTTTATAGATGACTGTAGTAATATCATTCAAGGAACTAGTGATAGATTGAGACCTGCCACACAGCTATATTTAGACAAGAATGTTCCAGATCATATGCGTACATATGCAATTTTTACTCTGCAAACTGGATTAATTTACTAGTTTTTCAAATAAAATATTGAAACAAATTTTGTTTATTTTCAATTATAAATTGATAATTTAATTTAATACGCATAAACAGACAGGGCCTGTTGCCTAATTACGTTACCGTCTGTACTACTACAGTAGAATTACCCTATTTTAATTTAAAGTTCAGCCTATTAATTATGTATTTAAGGGCTTGATAGTGTTGTCATGGCGTAAACTTTAAATAAATCAATAAAAGCACTGCAAATAGAAGTAACTATGTTAGGTACGCCTCCGAACTTTTTATCTAGCATTACGAAAGAGTCACTGAATACTAAATTTCGTCACAGTATAGTATTCAATTTGATATTAATTGGCATTTGCATACCTGTCCCGTAATCCCTGTTATTAAAGCAATTTTGGGTCGTGATTCAGAAGTTTGGGAAGCCATTTTCTACAATAAGTTTATAAAACAGGCGAATCTACAGTGATTTTGAGATTCAGTAAATTCTCAGTTAATTGTATGATATTTGTGTCATATGCGGTATACGTATAATGGTACTGCAATAACGTCCATTTCGCACTCAGTAAGGCCCAAGCTAACTACATTTTTTATTCAACAAATCTTTCTTATTGAAAAGAATAAGGTAGGGAGATATGAAGGACGTGCCAACCTTTTGTTAAATTATTCTCTCGAGTCCTGTACAGTATAATTTCCTTTAACTAACTTTAGAGAATAATTGTCTCCAATTTTAATGAATGAAAGGTTGGCACATCACTTGGGTCTCTAGAGGGAATCAGCGCAGCGTTGTGACAAATATAACTTCACAGTATGTATGCAAATTTGGCCATAGTGTCTTAGCTAGGGTCCAAATTTGAATATCATCTGCAATTTTGTATAACGCATTCTTCAGATTCTTTGGAATTTTTTCCGAAACCTCCTCCTGCATAGTGATGTTAACGGACGCGAAACTACTCGAGTAGTCTCTGCCCAAAATGGCAGTGCACACTAACCCATTCCATCTATGCATAATATACTCCCAATTGAGTTCAAGTTGCCCTATGAGTTCTCAAGTACATCTACAATAGCCTTGTACTTGCCTTGTACTTTTTTTTTTTAATTTAAAACAAAAATAATGAGTTTTAAAACTATTGTACTGTACTTATGTACACTGTACACTAGAGACCCTCCATTGCACACTGTGCAGCACTACTGTACTATATACATTACTGTAGATGTGATATGAAGTATACAGTATAGTATTGCATGCATATGCGGTAAAATTATTATTTTTATTTTTTACTCGTATGTATTCGTGTATAGTATATGGTGATTTGTAATAATAGTTACTCCTAAACTATTCTGAATTACTGACTCACAGAAATGGTGAGACCGAACGCCTTAGGATAAGAATAACTTTATTAGAGCAATAAAAAAGGTTACAGGATATTAGCAATAAAAAGGTTATAGCTAATAATAGAACGTTAATCTAGTAATCTCAACTTGGTAAATATAAGAGGCTACTTTAGCTCTCTCTTTCTCTCTCTAATAAGACGCCTTTATACGATCCGAACCCATCTTATTTGTTAACATATTTTGAACAAAACTCGAACACAAATATTCGGACATTTATTCCTGTTCCATTACCTTACTTTACAGTATTGTACATACTGTAATACTCTTTGTTTTGGCCTTTCGGAGCCAATTAGGTTACCCACCGGGCTGACAATTTCACCTCCCGCTAAGTAGATAAACGCTTGGCCTGGTTGAAACTGTTCACTGAACAGAGCTCAGCCATAGTGTAGCTCTTATTAAGGAGATTTTTCAATTTGAAAGGTACTTACTTTGAATTTGGCTAAAGTTTCACGAATACAAATCACTAAAACCTTGAACAATTGGCACATTTTGCTGCACTATGAGTTATTTTTATTTCTTTGAAACTTCCAATACAAACCATCAGTCACTGGTGCGTGCACGCAATGCTGTACTGTACAGTAAGGACAGGCTGAAATAGTGGCGAAGCGACTACTAGTCCCATACTTAGTCTACTGTACTGCGCTGCTTCTACAGTACAGTACTACTGAACACAGCACAGCAGTATCGAAAATGGCGGACGATGATAGTGATTTGAAAGGCAGCGATGCGATCGATGAAATTGATATTGATCCATCAGTTTTAGGAACCAAGGAATAGTAAGAGCAATCATTGATATCTGATTTGCGGAAGCTTGCAAATGATTTCCATTTTGCATAATACGATAGTTTGGAAATCACAATAATTATTAATTGAAATCATTCAATCAGCTATGTCAAGTTAAATTCGATGTTTCGCTGACTATTTACGTTGTCTTAGTCGTAGGAAGGCTGTCCTGTTTCGATTTCTGTGTAATTAACCTACAAGTATTTTGAATCACCAGTAGCTATTGGTGTTTTAAGATTAGCAAAATATAGAATCGATAGCGTTTAACTTAATAAACAGAATATTTCGACCTATAGTTACATTACAATTAAATGAATAAAAGCAGTAAAAATAGCTTTGCTTGGTTATAAATATTATTTACTGTTAATTAAGCAATGGTATGCGGCAGTACTGATGATACTAAGTTTGATGAACTAATAAATTTTCTACCTAATAATGTTAACCTCATATGAGTAGCTGGGATAACAATTATAAGGATGAATTTTCTACTTTCCAAGAATATGGGGACGTAGGAGAAATATGGTATCAATCTTTAAATATACTAAAATATTAATCATTAAAATTGTCTAGTTTAAATGTTTTGTAGTAACTTATCATGCAAGATAGATTTAGCCATCCAGAATTTTTTAGCCACCCTTGCTACATTACCTTATATACTATAATTGATTGCAATTTGCATTATTGTACACGGGTTATTTCTAGGTTCGGCCGCGACATCATGAATCGTATGCTATCATGGATATCTACAAGTGACTGCATAGAAAAAGCAGCACCTATATTAGAATTAGGTTGTGGAAATGGAGTTTTACTTTTAGAATTGGTAAGCGTCTACATCTCGTTCTTTTGTATGATAAAAATATTATATTAAAAAAGTATACTCGCTTTTTTTTATTTATACCTTTAGCTCTTACGATAATTAGCACTATGTATATTAGCAATTTTGGTTGATGAGATTTTTAATTTTGCTTACAGTATATATAGCTCGTCTATATTCATTTCTTTCCGATATGATATTGTTGATTCTTAAAACCTTATCCTCAATTTATTCTAAAGCTAAAAAAAGGCTTTACGAATTTAACTGGAATCGATTATTCTAATTATGGCATCGACTTAGCCAAGGCTATTGCTGCTAAAAATGATACAAAAATTAATTTCGAGGTACGTAGCTAATTTATTTCCATGTTATGACTAATTTATTAACTGTACGAAATAACCCCTGATCAAAATCACTATCGGATAAGCTATGGAAAATAAGACATTTTTATTCTAGACACTTCGCAATGGGCACTCAACAATTTGCATTTAGTTTACAATATCCCCAATTCCCTATCTGTATAAATATAAATTTACAGATAAGCAATTTTTAATTTGTAGCAAAGTTGCAACAATTAATTGCAGGTATGCAACATTCTGAACATTGAAGAGTGCGAATCTAAAGTAAAATGGCCATACCGTGCAATTATTGATAAAGGGACTTACGATGCTATTTGTCTGAATCCAGAAGAAAGACTACAATGTCGTGAAAAATATAAGTTAAACGCATCGCATTTACTTGAATCCAACGGGCTGTTGATCATAACATCCTGTAATTGGACAAGTAATGAATTAAAGAAACATTTTTCTCCAGGTTTGCTGTATCATATTGGTGTACTACTATTGCTGTTGTATGTCTCTACTAATGATATTAATTCAAATTTTAAATTTCTCTATTTAGAATTTCTGATAGAGGCTGAAATTCCTACACCAAAATTTCAGTTTGGCGGGCGTGCTGGAAACACTGTCGTATCCTTAATTTTCAAGAAGACGGCATAAAAAAATTTGCTAGTTCAATGCATTAAACCTCAATCATGTGATGGGTTAAACTTTTTATAGTGAGGTGTTTATAAATTTATCTATCAGAATCCCTTGATAAAAGTTGGGAATACAGAGATTAAATCATAACGCAATAAAGTGATTAAAACTATATATAGTGTCCAGCACATTAACAATTGGTAATTATATTGTTTCTAGCACTAGTACATTTCAGTTACTTGTCTTTAATATATAAAATGATACAGCTTTATTTGATCATCAAAAGAGTGACACGCGAAAAGTTTCTTTTAAACATTTTCTTCAAATTTAGTATCCACATTTAGTATCCTCAAGTATTTTTGGTATGGTAAATTATCATTTGACTTTGAGGCTCTGCACATCTAGATTTTGTATTGTATATAAACGAAGGATTATATACGCTAAGTATAGAATATCTTTATTTTCTTACGTTAAATAATATAATACAAAAATACTATGCGCCTAGTTAAGATTAGTGGCAGGCCAATTACATTGTCCTTATCAACGTGGCAAGTGTATAATAATAACATCTAACAAGTATCCATCAGGGATTTTATATTACTGAACATACATTATTTCATAGGGTATTTTTGCCTGAATTAGGATATAGGAATGATCGATAATTAAGCAGTAGCGGAATCACAAGAAGACATGCAAAAAAACAAAAAATAAAAAATATCTGATACCCTACGATATCGCCAATTAAACCAGCTAAAGACATCACAAATAATTTTCCAGCAAGTTCTGCTGTTGCTAAAGTACTATAATGGGTAGCATAAAAGTGTCCTGGTGATTTCTTTGCATTTTGCATCATCATAGTAAATGTTAAGCTCGTAATAATTCCAGAACATAGCTGAAGTCCGCAAGCCAATAGAGTTGAAACTACAGAGATAATAATGAGTAAAAAGAAGGCTATTAAAAGCGAAATACTAATCTATCTGTTCGCTACCTATAATTATAATTACAAGTTGGGCGAATACGTATAACCTAATACTATATACTGTAAATTTTAGTCGTGCCTTGAACCTTTCTACGTTAGTAATGACGATTAGCTAAGCGAGAGCTTACCTATACCGACTGATTCGTTTCGAGATAAAATATTGACAAAACATGGCATTAGTGCAATTAGCGTAATAGGTAGCATCCGGAGACAAACATAGTCCAACATGATTCGAGCCAACGACCTATGATGTACGCGTATTAATTGTAAATTAATAAATATAATTTATCTGAGAAACTACAGTACTAAATTTTAAGATTCGTATACTGCTGACTTTGTTCCTTGTCCTTATTACTAAGTGTTATCATACAAAGAGAGAATACTATTGCGATCAGTATCATCTCACATACAGTATAGAAATCTTGTTGAAGTCTTACTAAAATATTAGTAGATTTAATATAGTGCAATACGTGATTAGCTAACGTATATGCAAACGTAAATAGCAGATAGCAAACACTTGCTATACTGTATGTACTCGTATTTTGCTGAATGCAGTGCTCTACAAATTCACCTATTGCTGTACATTGCTAACCAACCACCATACAGCGAGCCAACTACGGAGAATACTTCTTGTAATATTCTAATTTTTACTCCCACAAATTCCGTTGATAATCCCAAATCAATTAGATAGAGCGGAAAGATTGATAACGCAGCTTGCTCACCAAGTTTATATACCGTCACAAATAATAACATCCACGCCGCACCTTCGGTCTGGAAAATGGATGTAAACACTTCCTTGTACGTGCATTTGAATAAACTAAACTGTTGTAATATGCTGTCAATAAATGTTGCTATTTTTGGAAGTTGCTTCCGTGATAAAGGATAATGAATATTTTTAATTGGACTGGTACTGCCAGCAAGTCTGCTTGACTGTTTGCATAATGTAGTACCTAACCTGAAATAGCTGTACATCGCGCATGAAAAGTATATAACTGCCAAGATTATAAAAAATGTATGCCATCCCAGTCGGATCATAATTACGGAAGCACATAAGCTACCTAGCTTATAACCAACTATTTGAACGATATTTCCGGCGCCCAGCTGAGCATGGCTCAGCGAAGCAACTGTAATTCCGTCGATCACAATATCCTGGAGAGATGTTAAAAAATTTAATAGTGTTAACAAGGTAGTCAGTAAGTGTACAGAATTAGCAGAAACAGTTCGGCATATCCATGCATTGCAAGCCATTAATGTTAATAAAATAGTTAGCCATTTATCAGGCGTGCTTATTTTATCGATCCATGGAGACCATAAAGATTTTAACAGCCAAGGAAACCATACTAATCTCAGTAAACCAAGTTTAGTCAAACTGAAACCCCCAACCCGTAAATAAATCGGTAGAAAGTCTTTCTGAAAGCCGTAAGGTATTCCTTGGACGAAATAAAGGCAAAATAAAACAAGATAGGGTAGAGTAACTTTGTCATGATGTTTGGGTGGCATCATTCCAAGTGATTACAGCAGAGCTATACATCAATACATTGTAGTAGATTGTAAATATATGAACAAGATTGAATTAGACAGTAATCCTTGAACGAAATAAGCCTTGAAGTTTAGTTGTTCACTTTATGTTTGCTACTGGTAGATCCCACAGCATCATAATATGTTACTCTTGCACCAGGCAGGATAAATAAACTACTTTTATATGGTCCGTAGTGTAAGTTAGAGTATGATACCTATGGACTACTAGATGCATGAATGGATCAATAGGCGAGTCTATAGTCCATGCAATAGCATACTGTTCCTGTATAGAGCACCCTACTACACAGTACTGTATAGTCGTACACCACATACACTCACTCGTACAGGAGTTAAGATGCAATTTTGTAGAAGTTTGATGAATGATGACATCAAGCTGGCGATATTGCCTTTAGGGTAAAATATGATATGAGCTTGTTTGTTCCTTGTTAAGCTAGTTTTTTAGCTTAATGAATAACACCATGAAAATGTGCTGGCATAGAACTCGTAAGATTGCAATGCGATTACCAAATAGTATCGCAGCCAGCAAAGAATCACTTCCATTTACTGTAAAGACTGGACTACGAGTATACGCAACCTGAGATACAGTAGAGAAATGGAATAGCAACCGGGCTAGTATATAATCATCAGATGGATAAACATGAATTTTCGAAAACAGTTTTATTAACTTTGAGGTCATTTTAAGAAGGCCAGGTACTTAGCAACACAATCTATACAATGACATACAAGATCGATACATAATAACAGTAACATGATCCTTTCTCTGGCCCTTTGAAGACTGCACAGCAATAAATTACTACAGTACTTGTGTATAATGTGAAAGTTACCATGAAAACACTACTGACTCTTAATCGATATCGAGTCTACAGACAGATCAACTATTAAGTAAATAATAGAGTTACGATCTAAAGAAACTCGAACCATTCATGGATCTAAATTTGTCGATATTTAACCTTAGGTATACATCCTGTCTAGTACACTACAGCATTAATAGGTTCTGCTTTCACTTCAGCTAGATCGATGGAAGAGTCTACATCTTCGTCAATTTCTCCTATAACGGCTCTGTTAAAATAGTTACACAAGTCTAGTTATAATTCCCAATTCATAATTGTAATACGATGATGATTACGAAATATCTCTGTTAGGATATTTACTATCGTTAGGTAGATTATGTTCCATAATATTATATCTACTATTTTTGATCATATATCTATGGTATATTGATTGATTTGCTATCGCGCAAGTAATTAGAAATTCAATGGTTTTGACACTGCATTATATCTCGCAGATGGACCAATAAATTATACGTAACAGCTATTACAACCAATGGCGTATAGTATCTTACATATTGTCGCCACGAATAACATATAGGCCAAGGGCTACTTGCTCCACACCAGCGCCGGAAGAGTACACTCTTTCATGGCTATCATTTAGGATTAAATTAACCGTTTGATCGAAACCTTTCAACGTACCCTGAAATTAGATGCATGCATCATTGAAGATTACATTATCATGATCATTTGAAATGTATTGAAAGATAAGAGATATAAGGAGATTGCTTAGAGCGTTGAAAGAAAATACAAGTTTGGTAATCCATTGATTATTAAACAAAGTAGAGATCGTTTATTGCTAGTGCGATGAAATTCATCGACCAACAAGTATTGCTGCACAAATGCGTTTGTGTAACGTTTACTACTTGGCATGACCTGTTCTGCTTCTGTAGCTAGAGTCACTTTCCAGAATCAATGATAAACTATGAGTAAGTAGAGCAACTAGTAGATTAAAATTATGGTTACTGTACTGTACTGTATTGGATGCAGTGATATCAATTAAAATTATACAAGTATTGCAATAATTGCTTGATGCATATTACAGTAAAACACGTCTAGTAAGTATATCCATTGCCATCTTACCACAATTACTCTACCATCCTGAGTAATAACTGACACAAGACCTTATACATGAAAAGATACAAATAGCAGTGAAGGAAAAAGCCGATAGAAAAGGTTAATGTATAAATACAGCGTCAATTCATTCATTGTATTCTACATGTCTATTCTAATTATTGGTAAACTATTTAGTGTTTGTCTCTACCAACGGCCAGTGAAATGCAAAAATATCTGACTTTTACTTGCTGCAAACAATGATTGACTACTACAAACTATGAAATTATAAAGTGGTGTACTGTTGCTACCAATGCAGTCGATTGGGCTAGTAAAATAGTCCATATCATTGCTTGAACTTTGTATACGTTGGTTGTGCAGCTCGTATGCAGCGATCTAAAACGCTCTCTTAGCCTATCAGCCTTGGCGGTGCTCAATAGCTGCTGGTAGAACAGTGTACGACTGAGTGCAAAGGTAAAATCTATCTTTGGATACGATTTACATATCCCTCCAGAGCAGCCATTTTTCAGCAAGCCAACGTCGAATCAGGCCAAAGGGGTAGTACAGACATACAATGCAGATTGGTTACTTTTGATGGTACTGCTGTTAGGCTTCGTGTTTGGCTGGCTTCAATCAGCTTAAGGTACGTGTGCCACTCTGAGACAATAGTGGCGTTGTTGTTGAGTATGTCAACAGTCCAGCGTCTCTTTCCATAGTCTATTTCTCATTTCTCCAATGCAAAACAAGCACGTTAGCTGTCACTATACTGTACAGTCATTGAAAATCAACCCGCGTCATTAGCCAGGGTAGAGAAAATAGTGTACTAGAGTACAGTGTACACTGTACACTGTACAATACATACTGTAAAGCACGTGACTTTGCTGTACTGTACAGACTACAGTATAGTGTACACTGTACAGTACTACAGTACAGTACAAACCAAATGTACTGTACTGTACTGTACTGTATGTACTGTATCCCTGACTGTATTGAGTCTACAGTATACAGTATACTATTGACTATACTGTAGAGCCACGACTCGAAGTCGACTCTGAGTCGGACCAATCGACTCAGGAGCCGAATGGCTCTAGCTCAAAGACACAGCAGTGGTCCGACTCAAAATGCGCGACTCATGAGTCGAGTCGACCGTGGCCGATCACTACTGACAACTGCAGGAGTTAGGTCTTCATGGTCTGGTCCGGTCCAGATCAAAGGTCTACTATGATGGTCCGGTCTGGTCTGGTCCAGTCCAGACCTTGGTCTGCAGTCCATATGGACTATAGATTATGCCATAATCATGATGGCCTTCTTGAAGTCAGGGACTTGCAAGACTACTGTCCTGTAGACTGTAGTATTTGTAGTCTTGAAATAAATGGAGCTTTTAGCCGGGGACCTGTAGAAGACTAGTACAGTATTAGTCTTTTGAAGCCCTTTTGCAGTACTACAGTTAACGTTAACACCATGGACCATAGCAGTACCAGGAACTAGTGAGTACAGTGAGTAGTAGGACTGAGTAGTTGACCAAGGTCTCTCCCTCACTAGTCCGTGGTAGTACTGTAGTGCACAGTACTACCACGGACTAACGCTGGACACCAACGACTTTGAAGAGATAATACAGTACAATGTACTGTAATGTACAGTACTGTACACTCGTGTCAATACTACTGTACTGTGGATTATTTAAAGCTGCGACATTTTTTTCCTCTTAATAAACTCGGAAGCGCTCTCAGCAAATTCTCCTTAGTTGCCCAAAATCAACACCACAAGCGATTTGGGTTGGCTTGTAGGAAGGAAAAAAAAAAAGTTGGTAGGTAACTTATCCAAACCATTAATGTACAATAATTATCTTCAATCCCTCTAGTTGTTATCAACATGTTATCTATGAATATACTCACTTGTACTAGGGATAAAGTGTATCAGAAAAAGTTCATTATAGCGCTTTAGTAAATTATAATACGCAATACATTATACATAAGTCAACAAAGGTTCAAATGGATCCGATTGAAAATGACATCGGCATGATCAATCTCACTATGCAATTAGTATCTTACACCCAAGGCCAGTTGGTATGCTGTACTTGTACATTATCAAGTCATTGAATTGGAAAGTATTGGCCTATCTTGCCAGGATAATAATGAATCGTTAGGTGCCGTCACAATCTACTGCCACCGCACGATCCACAGTATCAAAGTTAGGCTATGCATACGGTAGATACACGTATTTTCCAGTCCGTCTCTAATTCATTGATTGTTTCATCATTTTTTTTATGTTGGAGAGCCGTTGATATAAAATGAATTACTTCACATTTCATGAAATAGCCTTATGTGCAGATTAGCGTGCCCTATTTCTTTCCATAGTTATTGTACCATCATCTCTCTAATCTGTAGAGGATGCGAGAAGTGCAGATTTTTTACCATGATAATTGAAATGCTGTAGGGGAAGGATAGTCCACTGTGGTGTTGACCATTGATATTATTATTAATTTGGCTCAACCATCCTTTCCAATTTTGATCGACTATATTAACTATGGAATGCTTGCATAACTTTAAAAGCCTATCAATATCACTGTAACCCTCAAAGCTGCAATCACCAGTAGTTATTCAGCTTGAAATAAAACACAGCAAAAGGATACTTTACGGCGAATATTCAACATGGAGCGAATCATACAGCTTGTATTATAATTGATTGTACACCAGATGGATATACAGTATGATACACTACCAGTATATCACTTTATGTCGTACTGTAGTCATGATAGAATAACAATCTTGTATTCAATTGGTCCAACTTACCAAGATATTTGCAATAATTCGACAGTGAAACCCCATTTTTCCTGTAAAGGACACGCGGTCATTTATCTACAGTACTGTAAGTTGGACCCCGAGTAAATTACTACCATACGAGTATGGAAGTCAACGACTACTCTAGAACATTTCGCTTTAGCAATCTGTCTTTAAACTCCTTTTGAAATTGTGTGATCAAATACCACATGGGATAAAAAGTAGATAGTAATTAATTTATTACACCCATAATAAGCTATTGTGACGAAGTTTAAAATACGCTTTCACTGTTGTGTCTACCTTATATCCGAAACGAGGATTGGCAAAGCCTTTTTGATGTGATCTTTGCTCTTGGATTTCAAATACTTACTGTTGCTTTATACGTATGTCATAGTTTTCCGGTACTATTGGTTCTAAATTAGCCTATCAAAAAATGACTAAACTCAACATGATATGAACAGTAATACTTTGTTAACCATAAATACCATCATTGTCCCTGTCACCAACTGATTATACACCATTATACATTTCGTATAGATCATTGACCCACATCATAGCAACGTACACACTGCATCGTAAAGATTTCTTAATGATGAGTTATAGTCTCGTTTTATTTCCATTATAGTACAATTAAACTTTCTATATTGCATGACAAAGTGCAGTTTTGTATGCTGTATATTTCATTAAATCCTCAAGCAAGCGGACGGACGATAAGGTCTTGTATACCACAGAAATCTCTCTTCATAAACTGACTGTACCTACTAACAATACGAAATTGTATAGAAAAGACTTTTATCTCGGTCATGCTGACCATCGTTTACCTTCTCTTTGGATAAATCGAATTTAATTTGTTCATATCTTATCAATCGAATAGGACACTTTTTGCTGTATTCTATCTGCAGTCGTTCTACACTACTGAACGAGGGGTTACATTATCATCATGCAAGGAATGCAAAGTTTAAATATAGATTAACTGATCCGCTCATGGTCAATTAAGTAACTGTAAAATCAAATTTCTGTCCGTCCTTACGAATTTGAACATTAATTGGATCGTATTCATTTGTGTTATTTGCTTATATCTTGGTTCAATTTTTAACTATGACTCATAATCGTGAACCCAAGTCTGTATCAAAGTTTGCTATCTAGCCATACCAGTCAAGCACCTTGTTTCATGATAACTATTCTGCTACAATATAATTTAGTTTAAACTTTTCGGAAGATGTTAAGTAACAGAAACACTAGAAATCCTATTAGTTATAGCTTGTTAATCAATTTTCCTTGTTATGCTATCACTGAAGTTGTATATTATAATATCTCCATGGTTGTTAGTACAGTAGAGTCATGATGAGTGAATGATGGAATCGATGGGCGTAGTGCAGTACAGTACAGGAGATACAATAAATATCCTTATAGTACAGTACAGCATCTTTACGTAGTACAGGGACAACTTGGCATAGGCTACATAAAATGATCATTAGTTTATGTATCTAATGTACTTGAAGATTGTACTCACGGTTCAATTTACACTGCATCATATTTGATTTGAAGTAGGACTAGGTCATTTCCTAAAATATTTACATTTTATAATAAAATTGTATATTTTTAATAAGAAATGAATAAAGCAGCTTCACGCAGTAATGACACCAACAACAAGGATGGTACCAAAGATGGTAAACCAACTGTTACATTCCGAACAAGGTTAAGGACGGACTCATTATCATCCAACGATAGCTATTCTTCAGGTACATGTCGTAAAGCCGTCAGTAGTAACTAGCTTCAATCTAGTGTGGTATAATAATGTGATGCTATACACATAGTATCAGCTTCTGTTCAATTTAATTCCGTCATGATTTCAAGAATTGTTTCAATGATGTCATGTAGAGTGAATTAATTAATTTTATAAAATTAAAGACATTATACACGTGCTTAGATGTACAGTGAAGGTACTTTAGAATTGAAGGAGTATCCTGTAGCACAGTATGAACGATCTGAAAAACTGAATATACTGTACACAGTATATGCGTATACGTTGGACAGTACATAACTAGCATAAATAGTAGTTGAAAATAATCAGGGATATTGCACAAATTATGACGTTAGGCGTTGATGAGTTATCTCGAAAAGGACTAGTTTTATAGAAAAATAATGAAGCCGAAAAACCTTACTTTCTTATAGTTGACAATTAAACGTAATGACGTGAATATTGTACTTAGACTTATATAGTAATCAATACCAGCTAACTTGCAAAATGTAACCAACGTTTGCGTAATATAGTACGTCAATAAACTATCTTTGTAGACAAAGAATGACAAGAATTTTACGATTAAGTAGTTGAATATTATAATTACTTTGTAATGTAAGCCTGATCCATTGGTTAGCTTATTTCTCAATCACCTTAACATTAAATAGCTTGTTAACTTGCAGTTTTTGTACGGTAACACAATTTATTTGAATTAATGAACCAACGATAGCTAACTTAGTTGACATAGTAAACAACGATAACTTTTGCTGATTACTGTACCTTTATTATGACAGGAAGTTATTCTGAATCAAGTTACTCTTCTGCTGGCAGTGTATCTCCTCGTGAAAGAGAACAGGTTAGATCAACTACGTAATTAAATTCCATTATACAACAACACGTGAAATACTTGAGGAAAATTTTCCATTTGTAGTTTTGCGTGTACTCAAACTGTTAATTATTGTAGCTGGTGACAGTTGTAATGATCATCGTATTAAACAATTAACACTGAGTTTTGTTTCTTTGATAGAAAACTTCTAAAGGATTTACAGATTTTTGTGTAAAAAATATTAAATCTGCAGAATTTGGAAGGAGAGAGATTGAAATTGCGGAGCAAGGTACAAAATACATCTTCAGTGCGGTAGTACCACAGCCTTGAAATTTATCTTCTAATTAGCCTGTTACATGTTTGCACTTCGTATACCTTTAGAAATGCCAGGTATAATGATACTTAGGGTAAAGTACGCCGAAAATAAGCCGTTGCAGTCGGCGAGAATAATAGGGTGTACTCATATCACCGCACAAACTGCAGTATTAATCGAGACATTAATAACTGCTGGTGCAAGTGTCCGTTGGGCTGCTTGTAACATCTACTCAACTCAAGTAAGTACTTTGAAAAATTTCCTTAAAAGTACAATCTGGCAGGTCTATAAAGCGATAGATTGTTTATAAGTAAACATAGGGTTACAATTATTAGAATTGGTAAATAGAACGCGTACTAGATCGCATCTTGCTAAGAGCGTATTAAATTATTTTAACAATATTAGCTATTGATTAGGTACTTGTAGTAATTGTTGGACATTCTGTTTTAGAATGAAGTAGCTGCGGCTCTTGCTGAGGAAGGTTGGTCTAATCATAGCTGTTTTCATTGTCAAGTAGCGGTCGTAAACACTTGATTATCTTATTATCAAATAGTAGAATTGCTAGAACTTTACGTTTAAAATATTATTACTCACAGATGATATGAAATTTTAAACATATCGATTCGACTTAGCCGTATGTCTAATATAAATAATTGTAGGCATCCCAGTCTTTGGATGGAAAGGCATGAGTGAGGATGACTTTTGGTGGTGCATTGAAAAAGCGTCAAATCATCAAAATTGGCAAGCGAATTTAATTCTAGATAACGGAGGAGATGCTACACACTACATGAAAAGAAAGTATATAGATAAATTCAGGTGTCTCAAGGGTATTGTGGAAGAAAGTGTCACTGGAGTCCATAGGTAAATGCAAAACTCGAATCGATGTTCTAATATAGATTTTAAGTGTCTTTGTATGATTTCATATTAGATTGTATCAGATGACTAAGAATAATTGTTTACCGATTCCAGCAATGAATATCAATGATTCTGTAGTTAAGGTAATAAAATACATTTATGTTTTTAAAAAGTAGCTTTTGCAGCGCTTGAATCACTTACTACTCGTAGATATTAACTTGGGTATCTACGGCTATTTTCAATTATCTATTTTAAATCCATGCTGATCATATGTCTCCACATTGTTAAACAGGGCAAATTTGACAATTTGTATTGCTGTCGTGAAGCCGTTATAGATAGGTATAATATGTAGTAGTAATAAAGATAAACTTTTATGACTGATTTTTAAAATTATTTCTTATTAGTCTGAAGAAAACTACCGATATCATGTTTGGAGGCAAGCAAGTGTTAATATGCGGATATGGTGAGGTAAGAAATATAAATATTGACAATGAACTAACAATTGTCATAACTTGTAACTATAATACACTACGTCTTGACGTAGGTTGGTAAAGGTTGTTGTTCAGCTTTACGTGGAATGGGTGCTATTGCTTACGTAACCGAAATCGATCCAATATGTGCTTTACAGGCTTGGTACATAATTACCAAATATCAGCTTTTTCAAGAATTTATATTTTCAATAAAGTAAAAAATTTACTAAAATTTAATCTATTTTTATCATTTAGCATGGACGGATTTAAAGTAATTCGTGTAGACGATGCAATAAGAATTGTTGATATTGTCATTACTGCTACAGGTGTGCTACATATCAGTGAAGGATTGCATAACGTTAAATCATAGCAATTCAGTCCAAAATATATCAGTTAGTATTTACGCATTAAAGATATTTATAACAATACAGGTAATAAGAACGTCATTCGGCGAGAACATATGAATAAAATGAAAAATGGATGTATAATCTGTAATATGGGTCACACAAATTCTGAGATTGATGTCGTAAGTAGCTTATATTCACGAATAATGATGACTGTAATAGGTGCTTAGGATATTGTTGACGTTACGGAAATTTTTCTTGTGATTACATATCTAGGATAGCTTAAGAACACCAGATCTAACCTGGGAAAGAGTGAGATCACATGTTGATCACATAGTATGGCCAGATGGCAGAAGAATCGTCCTCATTGCAGAGGTGTGTACTATGTCATATGCTTACGATACCTATGGAGTTTCATTATTGAGAGTGCTACCAAATAAACAGAAGGATTTTTACGAAACAATATTATACCCGTCCTGGACTTGTCGTAAACTATATTACTCATTTTAGGGAAGGCTGGCTAACTTGACATGTTCCAATGTTCCCTCATTTGTAGTCTCTATTACTGCTTGCACTCAGGTAAGAAGTGATACCCACATTGTGCATTACTCTACAATCTGAATATGTATCATGTTAAAAAAGATCTTTGATATCTATTTTGTGGACGAATTTCAGATGTTAGCCCTGATTGAACTTTTTAAAGCTCAACCAAATAAATACAAGGGTGACGTTTACTTGCTTCCAAAGAAAATGGGTATGACACATGTGTTCTTATCGGATATCTAATAATGTTTATAGGAAAGGGTCAATTTATGTTCCCTTATTTTACCTCTACTAGATGAGTACGTTGCCAGCTTACATTTGGCCGGATTTGAAGCTCAGGTAACAGAACTTTCTGATGATCAGTGTCAATATTTGGGCGTTGCACGTAATGGTCCTTTTAAACCGAACTACTATAGGTAACTCTTAACTGTGTAATAGTCACTATTGATATAGCCATCTCGAATCGACTTACGGTAGTACTAACATGGTTTATATCCGATAATTTTTTGGATTATAGGTATTAAACCATCACATCATTCATACTTTGTGAAAAAACATTTTTTCATGCAGAATCTATAAAGTATATATTGTATTTCGTTGTTATGGTTATGTTCGTTGACTGAATATACTTTAATATATTGTTGATACATTTATTACGTTATGCTGTAGTGTATATCCGACATATGTATATATAATTAAACTTACTAAACAATGCATTATCCTTTGCGTTGATTTATCTGCTGAAGAGAGCTTTCATATCAACACCAAACGTAAGCATGTTCTGGCAGCATCGTAAAGCTGCAGGTATCAATCAACAACCAGAATTAGTTGACAAATATAAAGTGAAATAGTCGAGCGCTATATAATAAATTGTATTTTGATATGATACGCAGTGCATGGCATCATTTTATTCGAAAATTTTACAACCCATTTACACATTAAATGTTCGACGAAGTGAAATAATATTACCAAACCTATTTCGATTCAAATGCTGCGTAAAATAGAAATTGTAACGAAATATGAAAGAGGACACAAAGTACACCAGATTTTTATATTCATAATTATAATCGCAACCGAGGTATTATTACTAAATACAGTGAAAGGCAATCTTTTACATACATTTTATATTAGACCATACATTATTATCGGAAAAGGTAATCAGCTAAAAGATCTTATACGCTCGTGCCACTGACACAAATAACAAATGTGTCACTATAGATTCACTCTATATATATATGGAAGTAAAGTAGGCATGTACAACAGCAAAGAAAGTTTCCTTTCATCTTGATATTTAAAACGGCTGTACGTCCTAGTCTTGCTACTTGCCGTAACAATGGTAACTAAACTACTTACAGTATATGATTAAGGTTTTAGCTGCACTAAGCTACTTATTTAGGAGGTATCAGACTCTGATAAGTAATATTATAAAGGCAATGATGTCAACTTTCTAGATCAGCACATGTTTACCATATGTATTACCTACGATAGCTTCATCACAATTTGAGAGCAAAAATTGAATTCGTGCGTATTATTTTGAACAGGTATCGAGATTTTGTCGTTAGATAGGGTTGCAACCACGAAAGTATTTTAAGGCATTATAGCAGTAGAACCGTCCGGATTGAGAATTCGTATTATCTGATGGTTTGGTCTTTTACATTTATGATTTAATTGATATTGGGTCTTAGATATAACGTTATCATTATCTTCTATACTTGGCCAATTTTTAATCGCTTGATTATGTCTTTTACCTGAACAAGGATGATATCATGATCTCCTTCAGGGTCAATAGCGATCCTATGTATTGCTTGATGATCCCCATCCCTTAATTGATCGAGTTTGAATTCTTTCATGATCGATCGACTTGGCTAATTATGCAATCCGAATTAGTCCCGGCAATTTGATGGATGATGTTTCTCGACGGAATGTTGGCATCGAGTATCATTCTTAGAACATCTATTGCGACGTTCCTATTGTTCTGCTGTATTAAATGATCATTTATTGGATTCAACTCGGGTGAAACATTAGCTACGCAATGACTGCTTGTAAGACAATTACCAGTTGAATGTGAATGAGCAGTACAAATTAATTGACAGCTATTATATTCTACGAGAGATGGTTATGGATTATACAGTACAAGGTACCACCTGGAAAGTGTGATAGACAACATGGTGAAGTTATCACTTGTAAATGGCATACACTACTTTGTTGATGAGACATTGCATGGCCAGACCTATTTTCCAAACTGGTTAAGTTAGTTAAGTTAGCATTAGGCAAGAACTGACATGATATTTATGGGATTTGTCTTGATTCGGAAGATTTGCGTTGGTTATTTCATAACTTGTTTGTAGACATTTTTCAGCTATTGGTAGGACATGGACAGAAGTATCGGTCTGCGAGTTATCGACATAGAGAGAATGATTTTGATTTTGATCGGCATCATTAGCATCATTCGCTGAATTATTGAGTAAATCTTCACCATAGTTTCGAAGATTTGCGTTAGTTATTTTACAACATGTTAGTAGATATTTTTCAGCCATTGGTAGGACATGCACAGAGGCATTGGTCTACGAGTTATCGACGTAGAGAGAATTACTTTGATTTTGATCAGCATTATTTGCATCTTTCGCTAAATAATGGAGTAAATCTTCACGATAATAGTATCGATAACAATTTGATACAATATTACGCAGGGCCTCGGTCCACGGTACTTTAGTTTTCTGAAAATCATCTCGATGATCACTCTTGATATTTCTCCAAGGAATATCAGGTGGCCACCAGTGAGGTTTTGCATCTTTACAGCCCCAGCCTATCTTACGACGTCCAGTTGTATATTTGATTATCACAGGTATAAATGAGCGTAATTCTGTTTGCTTCATTTCAGTGATACTAATGATCGGTAAATCAGATTTTGCACCCTGTATGCCATGAGCTTGGTCGTATGATGGCGATATCGGAGAATTATTGGGTAATTGTTTTAAACAATTCTGTAAATCATTCATAACCCAGGGAGCTAAATTTTCTATAATGCATTTCAAAGGTTGAGCACCGTAGACATGAAATTTCTCTCTGTGTTCATTGGCAGTAGAAGAAGTGCAATGATTATTATAATAATCGATCAAGACTACTTGTTGTCCAACGCAGACCGCAAACTCCTCGACTAATTTTCGCAACTTACGTAAAAGGTGTCGTCGTAATCTTCGTCGTCGTGACTGATCTTGAACAAAAGTATAATTATTATACCTGGCTAAATAATATTCATCGCCGCATGCTTTGATTCTAAGAGCCTTTGATTGATGACCATTCTCTGTCATTTTAGCAAAAAAACAAGCGATGGATTGATATTGCAATTTAATTTTAAATGTACTCTACACTAAGTGTAGACTGTACAATCATTAAAAAACATGTGGCTAATGGTATTTTATATAGCAGAGACTGCACTGGACTGTTTGTTGTCTACTTTATTATTGCATGTCGATATCTCCATCTTAAATTAAATTTTAATTGGAATACAGTACTGTACAGTTATGGATCAACATGCAATCTACATGCATTATACAGTAAATAAAGTATAGGCCAAACGCGTAGCGAATGTCACTTTGAATTTGTGTATCTTACACTGTACAATCGATATTCTCATCGACCAGTATGTCCATCAATATTAGCAATTTTATATTAGCTTCTCCGGGCAATTTTTTATCCGTTTGCCAACCCTCTTTTAAACTACAGAACAGCATTGGCTACTGAACGTCCAGCATATTAAGTGAAACGTCATGAATCATCTTTATGATCAAGCTGATCTATCTTGCTATGACTGCAGTTTTGACTATAGACAGACGAATATTTTAAAAACGATAGCGATCCATTCCCTGTAATGAGCAAAAGACTGATACAGTTTACAGTTGTTTCTATGATATAATCTCTGAGATGTTTTCCACACAGTAGAGTGGAATGCACCTTCTATCAGGTTAGCTTGCACCCACCATGATCTCAGTAACTCATTGAACTTCTTCAGTAAAGCAAGAAAATGATACTCTGTGCCTGCATCCAAGCAACAAAGTGTGAAATTTTTGATTATAGCGTTACCCTACTGCATGGATATGCATAAAATGATAGCTTACCCCGTTGACTAAAGATTAAAAGTCCTTCTAGCTAATAAAGACAATCAATTTACACTCAGTGCACCAGTTCTTGTTCAATGTGGAAGCAGCTGCGGTCACATAACGCCAGAAGCTCTTTTACAAGTATTTCATATTAGTGAATGTACTAGTACAGTATTCCTTGCTGTAAAGAAGTACTTCTCATATACAGAAAACTACTTTTGTAACCTAATACCATGTTTGAAGCCTCTTTCTACAAGTGCACTCGCAAGAATATCATAGATTTATCCTATTAAAACGACCGCCTTCTATCGTACACCTCAGTGTGAGAAACAGCAACATGTAACGTTAGACCAGCGCGCATTGATCGTCCATCTTATGGCTGAGCATAAGTATGCGAGTATAGCTCGAAGACACTTTACTAAAACGTATGAGAAAATCAAGCCTACCTTAACCACATTTAAAAGGATCTATAAGAAATATCACGAAACCAATAGCCTCAAAAATCGACCACGTTCTGGTCGCCCATCGTTCGATGCCCAACGCATACCGCCAATTCACGCAGAATAACGTCAAAATCCCACTGTTTCTGTTCGCCAATTAGCCAAGAAGACCAATATCCCTAAAGCGCAAATCCATCGTCTTCTTCGTAAGATTAAAGGGTATCCATCCATGTATAATTCTACTCAGGAGGAAAGACAATCAGTTGATATTGAGATAGGAAAGCAGGTACGCAAACGTATGTTGTGGAAAAAATAGAATTTTCGATGGAGGCAAATGATGGATAAAAAATTGCATATTATTTCTAGCGCGTACCTTTCCATACACGATATTTGGCTACATATATCCAACGGATGGTAAATTTACAATCTGCTCAAAGGATACACAAAATAATGGCTGCAGCTCTCGGTAGTTTCTAATCTGCGTATATGATCATGAAAACTTTATACTGTAAATCATGACAACGAATAATATACGCGCATAGACAGCGAACTTGATTCATGTTGACTTTCTCGGGATATAAAGATCCCTTTTAGAGTTGAAAATGTCAATATACAAATGGACAGCACTTTATATTCTTATTTAACAACTAGCTTAGCTTTGCACAGCAGAAACGACGCAATCACTTTTACTTCTCATGGCTTATGGTAGACTTGCAAACTTTCTGCTATCGTTCTTGGTAATTAATTTAACACCTGTAAAATTACAACCACGAGCTATCTAGCTCGATGCGTAATATCTCTGCTAATTACTGTATTACCTTGCATCAATAGAGGAAATCCAAAATTATCCTACGAATATACGCGTACAAATGTACTTTACGTGTAAATTCTTGTTCAACAACTAGATTAGCGCTTTTCATAGTAGAAAAAGAAATAATCACTTTTATTTCTCATGACTTATGCTAGGCTTGCAATCCTCCTGCTATCGTTCTTGATACATTAATTAATTAATTAAATCTTAAGGACAAAATCATTCTTAGGAATGGCCGTAACATATACGCATAATTATAATTATTGTCCTGCATCGAATAAGAATCCAAAGCTGTTCTATATACAAACATTCTTTACGTACGCATATATTCTTGTTCAGCAGATAGATTAGCGCTTTCCATAGTAGAAACAACACAATCACTTTTATTTCTAATTGTTTATGGTAGACTTATAAATCTGCTATCGCTCTTGATATATTAGTAAGTACGTCTAGAATTACAATCACTAGTTATCCCTAGCTAGATGCGTAACATCTCTGCTAATAATTATCCTACATCATATCGGAAATCCAAAACTGCAAGGCAAATGATAATAATCAAGCGAGACCTCTGAATCATCTAAAGCAGTTTAAGAAATGTGAAATTTTATAAGGTAATACAGCAATTGCAAATTTGATTTTAGATCATGATCATCTTCTAATTTATACGAGGCATTTTCAGATTATATGCGTATTAATATTAAAGAAGGAATGAATTATGATATAAATTATATCGAAACCTCCATAGGCCTAAAGATTTAGCGGAAGTTTAATTTCAATTAACTAAAATTAATAAAAGAATATGTGTCCTTATATGACATATCTATAACATCTACATGTCTACATGGCATGCTGTGGTAATTAACATATTAAGATATTTTCTTCGTTGCACTTCTCTTCAGGCTAAAGCTACAGCGAATTCAATAATTAATGTTATTGCCAGGGGGATAAATTTATGGTTAAAACTAATGAAATCCTTTTTACGATCAGCTGATGATCCAACGAATCTTGATATCAATCTGTACTGAAATGTGAAGTACTGTAAATTATCTTAATTTTCTTATTATTGTATCTCTTAATTGCGAGGCGATAAAGATCGGTCATTGTTTCCTTATTATTCGAATAATCTTTCGACTATATGAAATTGAAAGTCATGATATTATTGCAACCTTCACATTTTATCTGATAAATAACTTATCATCGACTAATATCGAAGAAGGTCATTCTGCTATCATAACCAAAATTTACAATTCTTTTAGATTTAGGTCTTTGTATTTATATAACTCATGCAAATAACATGATCAAGATCAGTTAGTATTTTATAAACTAATAACTATTGGCGTATCTTAACTTAATAAAGTAATGCTACAGGCATATTGTTATTGCTGTAGGAAATGACGTTTTAGTATATACGCATAATTATAATAGATAGCCTGCTGCCTATAATTGATCTCAATTTTAGTGTTATTATCGAATAATGGTGGACTATTTTATTTATGTATATCCGGCATGCACGCATATTGTATAGCAAGGAATGATTATTAATAGTATTAATATTTAATGACGATGATGGTTATACGTCATAATGATATTGAAATTACGCCTACATGATATAACAACATTTTAGTTATTCAATTACATCATAATTAGACCATACAATGCAACTGCCATTTAATTTTGTACATCTTAAAGTAGAGTTAGCGACATCAGCAACGAAAGGTATTGGTATATATGCCATAAGTGTTCGATCCATACACTGTAAAAGTCATGAGATATTCACAAATTTTATTACTTAAATCAATTTAAAGACAAAGTTTGTAATGAGGTTGTTCCATCGCTAGATGTGCAGTATTTTAGCAACTGCGAAATTTTTCCAAATTGGATAAATGTCATCTAGAGATTATATGATTACACGATTTCTATTTTGGAGCATACGTGTATAGCATTAAAGTAATATTTTCGATCTGTAGTACAGGATTTTAGATAGCATTATAGCCTTCTAACCTGCTATGTATAATAATATGCATAGTGAGTAGTAAAAGGGAGTGTTTTGGTCATACCAGCATTTATATCATAGCCAAATGGTAAATGCAGAAAAACCCTTCAACAACTCGACTGATCCAGAAATCGTAAACTTTTTGAAGTTTTATCTAGTCCATATGGGACAAAATAAATGAATCAGATCATGAATGAGAATGTCAATATATTTACAAAATAAGCATCATAAATCAAGCCAATAATTATAAATAATTGACTTCGTAAAGTAAAGCTAAAGAGAATATCCAACACAGAGAGGTATCTGTGTGTGTCATTATACAGTACAGTATATACAGTTTAGCGTAAGTAGTTTACTTTGGATAGATGTTAGACATAGTTACATCGACGAAAAACAAGATCTTTCCTCTGTACGACATTCTTCGAGATTAGCCCTAGCAGGTAGGGTAGCTTTTGAATAATAATCATATAAAAAAATACTGTAGTTTTAGAATAATCTGTTTCATATAAAAATAATTGTAAATAAAATATTGAAGTAGACTATTTGATGTTTCCCATCGAGGAATTACAAAACAAAAATGAATTCTAAAGTAGTATTTAGATCAAATCGCTCAATTATTGCAAAAATCATTGTTACGCACACATCACCATTTGAAATATCCTTAATGGATAGACATCGAACAATTCTAAGCCAGTTCTATTTAGAGTTCACGGATTATTTAGCAAAGATAAAAATATCTCAAACAATAATAATGATAGCATTGGTAGCCAATCTATTACCAAGATGTATGACAAGATTTTATGTTACTTGCAGTAACATAAAGTGTGAATCATTCTTGTATTCTTCAATGTAATTCTAAAAGAATCTAATTCTTGTCATGAGGACGAGGTCACTTCACTTCACTTTTTGGATTTTCCTTTCTTTTTTTTCTTTTTAGACGCACCCTGCCATTCAAATCCTCGACTAGTTAAAAATTCAGCAGCACTATGGCATATGTAATAAGCGTTTAGCATAGCAGCAGGACTCTTGATATCGACAACAGGTTCGGGTGGTTTGCTACTTTTAGCCGATTTACGCCCCTTCTTTGTCGAACCTTTACGCTTAAGTTTTGGACTACCCGTTGTTGTTCGACGACGTACAGTCGGTGATGGGCTTCTAGAACTATTACTTTTACGAGTAGCACCAGATGGTGCACTCTTGACTTTTTTAGTTACTTTCTTAGTTTTTTTCTAGTAGGAAAAAATCCAACAACAGCGGCGAAAATCAAAATAAAACTTTTTTTCAGCTTATTATTACTAATCTTCTATCAACTATCGACTTTTATAACATTAGATTTAACTTTAAGAATATTTATATAGTAACATATACACTGATATCCAATTGTAAATGGGTTTAATATAATATTATCAAAGATCTATTTTAACCGTTTCTCTTACCTTAGGAGTAGTAGTAGGCATATTTCGTCGTGATGGATATTAGTTGTTGATTCTATCCTTTTCTCTTTTAGTAGTAATCGCGTTATTGAAGTAGAGAGAGAGGTTAACTTACTCTTAGATGACGAAAAGAATGCATTATAGTTACCATAGCAACTATTGCAAGCTAGTTAGGCTGTATAAGCTGTAGCGATAGAAATGAATAAATTAAATTAAAAACAATCTATGTAAATAGTTCATAATTAATTCAATCGATACAAATGTATCTCTTTCCTTTCTTCCAATATGCAATTTATACAATATCAAGTACCACAGTCTATAGAAATTGCATGATTGAAATACGATTATCTTGAAGTCAATCTTGATATGATATTTTCTTTAAAACGTAATTTTCCATGGAAGGCTTATACAAGGCGTAGTTATATAGGATTGAGTTACGTAAATCTAACCAATATCAGTGTAGACTCTTAATATCAAAGATAAATAGTAATTAGTGAAGATAGCTTTGTCATGATATTTCCTTCTGATGCTATCCATAGCATACGGTTAATATTCTATATCAGGTTTATTTACGGGAGCGCAAGTACAAACAGAAATTTTCATGTAATAAAATAGATATGGCCAGTATCCAGATAGACTTATGATATATTGGAGAGGAGTATTAATAAGGTGATCGCTTTCTACTGGTCTCTGCGCATTGGTTGATTTTCCTTAAATTATTTTATTTAAATTACTTTTTTATAAATGGTTCAGCCAAATATCTACTGGCATGTCATGTTATAGTAACAAAAAATATTTACAATGAGCTTCACACTAGTTAAATAGCATGGATATATCCATAGAATAATCATTACTATACTAGAATTCATTAAGGAGAGCATCTGATATGGAGAAGCAAGTTATGTTTTCTTCTATTAATAAAATATCGTTTCGATTTTGTTACAAGATTACTGTAGAAGCATTTTAAATAGAGCTATTTATCGCTATCACTTGGATTATCGTAAAAATTTACACTAGATCAATCCTAAGACATTTTATGCTAGGTACGAATAAGGGAACAGTAGTAAGGCGCACAGTTGCATGAATTTTTTGTTGATTCCTAAATGATATTTGGAATCTAAGTAAGCAATACTGTAGTCCCTATCTTTTCTAGCTTTGATATAAAGCTGAACTAATCATATGTCGCGTTGATTTCGTTCAATTATTAGAAACAATTTAAATACAGTTATTTACCACTATCGCTTAGATTATCGCGAAATTTTACATTAGACCAATCTTAAGACGTTGATACTAGTTCGTAATTAGAACAGGAGAGCAGTAGCTAGATCGCAAAATGCACAATAACATGAAATTTTCGCTAATTCCTAAATGATAATTGGAATCATAGTGATACTGTAGTCCCTATCTTTTCTAGTTCTAATCTAAAACTGAACTATAACAACTACCTCCTCACCTACACGAAAAATAAGGGTATAAATTGCTTTAAAATGAAAAGGTAAATAGCTATATTGCATGATCACGCGTATTAATATGGCTAGAGAACCTATTTAATTTAATCTGCTGGAACAGTTTATGGTGTACACTAACTCTTCTGAGAAATACCTTGCCGCTATATGTTTATCGTTTTATGGATTCAGAATGCAGATAAATTATTTTGGTAGTCTTCTAACAAATTACTATAGATGACATCTTTAATCTAGCATCTAAAGCTCTATTTACAGACACTTAGTTGATAAACTTATGTCATGAAACCTTGCAGTTATTAAAAGAACGTGGTTCACGCTATATCGAAATAATGAAATAGATACTCCATATAATCTATGAATAAGCATTTAAAAATGCCTGCAAAACATTAAGTTTGTTCATTGTAAATGTTATACAGTAGAGTAGAACGCTTAACGAAGAAGAATTTTTAACGTAGCTAAAGGTGGAAATAAGTAAAACAAAGAACTCCTAAAATTGTTAATAATTGTTGATGATGTTTACTGACTTCGCTTAAAAATCTATGAGTAAACTCGGGGCTAGAAAAATTTTATTTTCGCTAAATTTTTCAGCTATATACAAATATCAACATGATTTAAATTCTATAGATTACAAATATTGGTTGATTATTTTAAAATTTTTGCAATATGCATTTGATTAATTACAGCAAAAGTAAATCTCCATAATCATACTTTAAAAACATTAATACAAGCTTCATTTTTAATCATTTCACGTTAAACTAACTACATCGTATTATGGATGCCGAGTACACTTAAATAGTACATCGATAAACAGATATACTTTACTCTTAATATTAGCAAAGATACAACGGAAACAGATTATGCTTATTTATTATTTTAAGTTAAAACTTCGTAATTATGACTGGCTATTTGATTTACGGCAAAATGGGCACTGTTGATTTTGCAGCTGAAGAAGTTCGTAATCTTCCGTCAAGTAGATCTATAAAAGCAATAAGTTGAGTCACTCTTTCATAATTTTAAGAATAGGGTTTACTCTTACACTAACTAATGGCTAAAATTAGTGCTGTATATCCATTTAGATTTTAAACTCGCTTGAGTAAGTGGATATTAACAAGAAATAAAAATTTGATGGCTATAATTGAATTTCAATTATTTCATATTACTTACATGTTGACAATATGGACAAACAGTTATGGAAACACTATCCAGCATCAGTTTATAATATCGATATTTTAATGGCAAGGGCCATTTTTGGATGATGACTTCGTTCTTATTTAATTTTTGTAATTGCGAATGATTGAGTTGGATAGCAACAAATTCTGATCCTCCTTGCTATAAAATAAGTCATACATGATAAATTTAATAAAAATTTTTCTGCTGGACTAGTCGATGTACTTTAATAAACATAATAGTAAATTTTCATAAGACTTACCTCAAACGTTGTCATCTTTGTTGAAAACGGATCAGAAGTGTCGCCAATTTCTTCCTGTACACTGTCATCAAGGCGTAATGTCTGAACAGCTAATTAGAGGTTAAGTAAAACATTGTAAACAAAACACTTCAAAAGGGTACTTTTAAGTTGAAAACCTAAGACTAGAATCCTGCAGTGATGGCTGTGACGATATCTTGTGACTTAACAGAAGATTTGTTACATAAAGAAGGCTAGAATTGGACTTTACTACTTCCCTATATGGATCTTAAAGTCTATACAACTAAAATTTAAAACCATGTCATTATCACATAGTTGTAGCGCATAGCTACCCAAGAAATTGAGATCTAAAATATCCGATCCAATCTCACTGTGTACTATAGTACTTCATAAATTGAATAATTTATAAAACTCTACGTTATTATATTATCAGAAAACCAAACTAACTTTTAAATCTTGCGTAAGATATAGCAAATAAAATTAGATCCTACGTAATACTCCAATATGAAAAAAATTATTTGATATCACTTTTGGTAACGATTGGATACATTCCGATTCCTGCTCTTTCCATTCACGACCTTTCTTTTCTTTTCGCACACCAAAATCTTGCTCAATATATTTAACAGCTTCATCATCACTTATACCATCTTCTAGGATAAATTCTACTAATGGCAATACTTCAAAGGTATTAAATGAGTTGACAAAAGGTTGTTGGCAATTGATACAGCGATTGCCTTTGCTGTTGAGTAATGGATTGGTTGTAAAACAACGGTAGCACAAGGGTAATAATTCGTCAGAATCTTGAAAGGGTTTTGATCTGATTGTTACACTACCTAAATCGACAATTTCTTGCAGCTCACGAGGTAATTTTAAGGATTGCAATTTATCATAGGCATGTCGAGCTAATTTATAAGCAGCTAAATTTCTTCCTTGCTTCGCTAATGCGAATAATGTAAAAACACGCGAAATACCAACAGGTAAATCACTCGAAAAAGTCTGTAGTAGATAACGAGCTTGATTAAAGATTGCTTCTGGTTGCATGGAAGTAAACGGCTCTTCAATAAAGCGATGAATATTGTGATACAAGAAATACATTTCAGCTTTTTGATAGTACTGCTTAAATTTGGTTGCGAATAACTGGATATTTTTCTCTATAATATTTAAGAAAAAATATTTTCCTTATATTAATACTAATAACATGGTTATTGAACAACGAAAATTACTGCTATTCTCAAAGAATTGTAGTAGCATTTACCAGAGATCGCTCTAAGCTGTTCTCGAGGGATTACAGAAAATATAACAACATATATTATTGCTATCTTCGAATAAGTATAGTAGCAAGAGCAACAGAGACCAATGCTCATCTTGATGAATTATAGCAATCACATAAACAAAAACCATTGCTATTGAAGAAATTGTATAGATTGGAGAAGAGGGATCACTACCGTTCTGGACAATCCGACTTACCATTCAGTTTATTATCCTTCGTCATATCCAGGCACTGTGAAGCCAATAGCCAGAAATAATAACCCGTATCGGAGAATCTATAGTAAACAATCACGTTAATGGTACCACTACAGCATTACTACAGGCTGAGCAAACTAGTTTATATTTTCAGTTTAAGATTTTATTACGACTATAATTGGTTGTGTAGGAATCTGGCTTAAAATAATATTTAATGTACCTCGATTCTAAGACAGCATTATGAGTTAACTGTTCCAAGACTCTGAAAGCTTCTTTCTTTCTTCCGGCTTCGTAAAATGCTAACGTTGTTGAAGAATAGCCAATAGCTAAATCAATCTATTTACATACGCTTTATGATACTATAAGGTCCATGATAAAAATTTAGTTGGCCATCTAGCTTAAACTTTACTAGAAAGATAGTGTAGAATGACTAACTTACCCCGCTGTGCTTCTTCAAATTTATCATTCTCCGCTAGCCACGTAGCATAAGGGACATAAATTTCATCCTATATATCAAATAATTCAGTGAGATTCGTTATAAATTAGTAATAAATTATAGGTATGGAAATTAAGAAAAATCATAAAACGTTGTATCTATATCATAATGTCATCTACTAGCGAATAACTATCATTTACTCATTACATGCATAGTTTAAGATACTGATTTACATGCAAATTCTATTTACCTTCAGTTGCGGATTATTTTTAGCTAATTCAAAAGCCTGAAAATTAAAAATAATTATATATAAAATGAGTATCGCACTAGGTAGCTATCATCTGAAGTATTTGCTTATATTTTTGACTATCATGATTTACCTCCGTCCATTTTCGTGAATCGATATATAATTTTGCTAGCGCTTTAGAATCGCCAATTTTATTGAGAACTTCGGCAGCATAAACGGCCTAGAATATAATCCGAAGTAATTACAGTATATTATTCAAGAGTATCGATAGCAGTAGGTGAGAGACATTATACCGTCTCATACTCTACCGCAATTGACTAATTTTTTTTAACTCTTACTTGTCCTAGCTTTTCGAGGTAGGAAGCACATAGCTTTAGCGGTTCAACATCTGCCTTATTTAGTTGCCGAGAGATTTCTACAAGTCTGTTTGTAATAGTAACGAAATGCGTTAAGATATCAATTTCAAATTCCGAAATTCACGGCGAATAGTTCAGCATAGAACGTAAAATTATTTACTTATCGCCCCAGCCATTTTGCCCAATAATATCAATCGCTTTGCAATATTCTCCTGCTGCTAGATACATCTCGCTGTTAATTAAAGTAAAATAATCCATAAAATAGCTATCTTTGTCAGAAAGATACTGATTCTTCACTTCATATTGCTTTTCGTCTCCTCATAAAAATTTCTATTTATTAATCACAGAATTTAGTATACGGCACCTGGCAGCTTTTGGATCATCTGTTGTTGAGCACCATTCAGCCTGCTTTTTCATGATCTTCTTCACGTTCAAAGGATCAGTATGGACGACATATTCCTAATAATCGCCAAGAAAAAGAACGACCATGAAATAACAACCATAAAACAATAGATGGATATGCTGTAAAATATTAATCTATTACCTTTGCATGTTCGAATTGCCGAAGATCAGTAAACATATCTACAGCCTGTATATTATACCAATGATGATTAGTTACTTTTAAACCTATATACGTGCGCTAGCTCATGTAATACCTTATCTTCATTTCCAGTCTTCTTATACAATCGAGCAGCTTCTTGAAATTTACCCTATTAATTGCATAAAGTGAAAATGAACAAGGAAATTATAATCCTTCTCGATTAGATATGTTACGAAGTAGTAGTGAAATTATACCATTAAACTGTAAACAGAGATAAATAGAAATTGTATTTCTGATTTTTAAATTGTAATGACCTGGTAGGCATAAATATCGGCACGAAATAGATCGTCATTATTTTCACCTCTCTTTTTACGCTCCTTAAGGTAAGATTATAATGCAAAATTAAGCATGTGAAACTGACAATTAGTGTATTTTTATCATACAGCAATAAATAAATGTTGCAACTAGTTGTGCAGCCTAGAAAATCACCTCAATATTATGAATTAACTGTAGAAAGCAGAAATCTCGAATTCGGATAAAGGACTTCTTTGCAATATCAAAATTTAGGGACTATATGTGAAAATTAAATTACATTGTGTATTGAGCCTTAGTTATTTTGTTAATATGCGATATTATACTTAATTCAAGAAAGCATCCCAGCGTAATTTTTAATATCGATTATATAGAAACCTCTATAGCATCCATAGCTAAGTTTCTCCAGTCTGGATCTGTAACTCCTAAACAGGCAACTTTATATGCGTTCCTAAAGTCGAGAAAGATACGCGATGTACAATGATTAGCTTAAAAGTCTTAAAGCACTCTATATAAAATTTTTTTGATCTACTTACGCGAAATCTTTCTTTTCTAGATATTGGTACATCGCTGCAGACTGTATAAATAAATGATGCTACTCGTTAAATTCAATCTTGTTGTAAAGTACACTTATATTCACTTCATTGAGCTATTCGAATGGTTTACCTGCGGAACATCTATAGCTGACATGGAGTAAATATGTAAGCAGTAGATTTTAGATCCATTAAAGCCTACAACAAAACCCTATCAAAGTAGTGATATAACTATTAGTGTCGCGATAGATTTTAGTGCAGAATTGAATTGCAATGCTTTCGCATAATAAGAGACCTGTAACTTTTGTAGATGAGGAGGAAATATATTAGCTTTAATACATAGCGTCCCATTTCCAGAGAAACAGAGCATATCCTAAGTTTTTAATAAGATTTGATCAATATCTTGAAAATTAAAACTGAAATATATAAACTTGTCAAGTATACTGTAACTTACATCGTTTTGTATATTCCACGACACACTATTCGCATTAGGTTCCTATATACATATTTAATAGTAATAATTAATTCGAGAATTTATACATCCAGGAAATTTAAAATTGATGTAATAGACTCTTGAAAGATGTGTTAATCGAGAATGAACTAGTATTGATAAAAAATGTTAATACCTGATATAGTAATTCTTTAGTTGCTACATCATATACTAAACAAGTGCTGTGCTCATCCACCACGGCTAATTTAGTATGCCTGATTAATTATATTATTAAAATTAGAAATTATTTTTGGGAGGCGAGGGGCACATTATATCGGGTTAACTTAAAATTTCTGTTCGAAAGTTAAGAATTTACTGCAGAGTACTATTTACATTGGACTAATATCCAAACATCGGACAGAAGTTTGCTGCTTTAAGGCAGTAAGTGGAAATGGATTATTGATAAAAATTTTCATAATCTATTAGAATGAGAAAGCAATATTGGCTAATGTTAAATTATTAATCAGCTTTATTTATATATTAATACATATATACAACAGTTTCGTAAGAAATAATGCCGATAGCAAATCGGCCAATATCGATAGAATTCTATCATACCAAGCCGTTCTTCAGACCAACAAGAAGAACTTCACGGCCAGTTGGTCCGCCTATGACTTTAATGTAACGAATTAAAGATTCCATTACCCATTCTCTGTTATAAGGAAAGGGTATAGATAATAATTTAAATGTCAACGAAAAAAAACTTTGCTAACTCCATTTATATTAAAGATCTGGATACTTTTATTACCTTTCTTTGATTCCAGCAAAATTATAGCACTGCAATCTCTTTTCCTATATCGGTTAAGTTTTCAAATTGATGAGATAAGTATCGTCTTATTTACGAATGTTTTAATATAATTTTTATTATTATTTAGATGATTTTTCTTTCGAGATAGATTAATCAACAAACCTGACATAAGACAAAATGGCGGGCGCATACAACGAGTAAGTTGCAATCAAATTTCTTATTGATTCTTTCCTATTTTTTTTCAATCGAATTAACCATAGATATGAGAACAAATGTTTAAGTTTTAAAATTGATAGTTCAGTTTTTACTTAAAATATTCCAATGTATCAATCCAAAATTGTAGATCTATCTGAATACAAACTGAGACAACCGTATGTACAGTATACGATTATATTAAGCAGTTATTTATCCAGTGTTGGATGTAGCTACATTTATTTTAGGATATTTCTATACAAAACTAGTTACATTTAGCTATAGAAGAATCAATTTATCGAAGTAATAAGCTTGGCTTCTATCGCTGTATCTCCAAACAAACTTGGATACAGACTAATATGCTTACTTTTACGCGATACTGCATATCATTTTCATCATCAGCAATCAATTCGTAGATGACAATCTTCTCAGGTAATTGAACCTTAATATTTCAGAAAAGATTTGCTAATTACTTTATTTTACCTCTTTATAATGTTTAAAAATTGTAAATTTATCTGAAAGTGTAATAACCGAGAGCTTTTGCTTGTAGATTGCAATCTTCTTAACCAAGTCGCGGCATTTAATTCGAACTAGTAGAAGAAAAAAGACAAAATTTTATTAGCTAAATGAAAAATATATCGCTGGCAAGAATATTCCAACAAATAGATTATCCCTAAAACTTAAAGATTGTTCATCTATTTATAATATTATCTATTCTATAGGATAGTTAATATTAAAAGTGATAATTTAAATAGGAAAATGTGACTCACCTCTTAGGTCTGTAGTCAAATTTTGAATGATGACATCGGTCATATTCTCTCGAAAAGCGTATCTAATATAAATTATACAGTATGATTTGATGTTATTAATTGCCGATACATTCGGTACGATGTGCATAATAGTTTTCCAATGTATTATTATTTAATATCAAATATAAATTTTAGGTGGTTAGCACGAATAATACAGGAAAAATCAGTTGCACTACCTGTCTCGGTAAAGTCCATGGACTGTACTAAAGAGTAATTGATAATATGCGATAGTCCCATCTTGACATCCGACAGCCTATTATTGCGGAGTAATTTTTGAATACCACTCATGTTTAAACATCCGATATTTTACATTAAGATATATAGGATAGCATACCACAAAATTCTGATCTGGCTTTACTTTGCAGCACCAGATCCATGACTGCTGCTCAGCAAATGATGTTAATTTTATTCCTTGCGTTGAGCATAAATTAACCTGTTAAAATAACAGAAATTAACTTCTTTGAATATGAATTATTACGCTTACGTAATGATACTGTAATTTACATATAATTATTTTTGTTTTACCTGATTATTTGAACCGCCAATCAAAGTATACTCTCCTTTTGAGAAATATGTTATACAGCAAGCATCAAAACCTAATGATCGATTTTTCCCAATCTATAAGTGAATGAACGAAAATTTTGCGGGTTGTGACAGGTTGTTAGTAAACAATAATTTCAGGTTAGATTTTATTTAATAATCTGGTACAATTTTTTAAATAGATTGCATTTACATGAACAAACCTGTCTTCCACTCAGTTGATAAAATGATAGATTTTGACCCCAGTCGCAAACACAAAGAGTATCTGGCTCATCTCTAATTGAATGATTCGACAACAGAATGTTAAGGATGTGTAGTTAAAATACGATTTCTGTTCGATAGTTTGAAGGCATTATAAAAAATCACTGACTTATTTGGGTTCCAGCTTAAGCACCAGACTGGCGGCGAGTTTGGTCGATCAATTTTAACCTTTTCTTCACCAAGCTAGGAAAATAAAGATAGATTGTTAGTTCGCAAGTCATATGAAACAATAACTGAGAATTTTTTATATCGCTTTAAACTTCGTACCTTATTTCTTATACTAATGTTACCATTATGTAATCCTAATGCAAGATATTGGCCATCATTGGTCCAACTATAAAATAACAAAGAAAATTGCTTAAAAAGTCTTCATCTCATTTTTATATCTAATCACTCTCTTACCCGCAACATGTGATTCTTGAGTTACAGCGGTGTTTCGACACGGATTTTTGCTCGGGTGACCATAAACCTGTTGTTAATGTAGATTTTGTAACCATCACTACTAGATTTGTGAGATTATTATCGCTTAAAGTAGATTAAATTATACCGAAATCGGTAATAGCGCAACTTGTTAATTGATTCGTCACTGGATTATAGGACAAACACTGAATAGCATCATTGTGACTGGAAATTGAAAATTTATATTGTCATTAGGAATAGAGAATTATATCACTTAGGCCCTAAATTAAAATCTGATGCATGCTGCTGGTAGATTGTATAACTTACGTATATTTAAGAATGCCTTCTAGTTTACATGTCCATATAATAACACATTTATCAGCTCCGCCTGATGCAAATCTCTTACCTAATAAATAACGAGTATAGAGAGAAAAAATAAGGAGATGATATTATGTTGTAGGTCATACACTTGAGTAGATAAAATGATACTAATCCATTTCACATTATGCCGTATAAAGATATAAGTAGATGCATTGGTAGATTAACTTTAACTTGCTCGATAATCGATTACAAATATATATATATATATAACATACAAGTAATACCACAGTTATAAATCCATGATGAATGTAATATGTATTTTAAATCGATAGAGATTAAAGACTTACCGTCACCGGCATAAGCAACACAGTAGACTGTGTCTTTGTGGCCTTTCAACGGTTGTAGTAAAGTTCCATCATTAGTGTCATAAACCTGAAATGGTTCAAATTAAAAAAAAAAATTAAATGGAATCTAAGTTAAATCCGTTTGTATTTGTTATATTACCCTAAATAAAAATCTATCATAATTATAGTTGATAGTATCATGATAAATTATCGTTGTTATGATAATAAAGTATGTAAATGAGATTATAAAAAACCATGTTATCAAGTTTATAGCTTATAGCCTAATTGGTAAAAGCTATATGCGTATTTATTAACTAATTTGAAAATTTTATTATATTTGCTGTTGAATGTTTCTATATCTTACCAAAACACGATTTCCCGCTGCAACAATCAGTTGAGTCCCATCAGGTCGAAAACACATATCATAAATACTGTAATAAATAATAATAGTAAAAGTTACAATAAAACGTGAGATGAGGGCTCGCATACCCATCAACACACCCTACTTTATGCGAATAAATACACCATAAGTAGAACAGGCATAGATATTGCTTTTATCATGTTATAATCTCTATGCTATGTATCATAATCCAGTTTTGTTGCCATTAACTTCCAAATTTCACATTGATAATTTGAATTTTACGGTTGGTACTTTGGTCAAATAATTGTAGCTTACCATTGCTCTATTTTATCTTTATCGAAAACCCGATCGACCCATAGAGAAATCGCCCTCATCGTGAATTTCAATTTCAATATTTGTCGCTGTTAGATGGAAGAAGATCTACAGTCGTCTATACAGTAATAACTGACTATCTTTAAACCATTCAAGTACAGTAGTCTATGCTTGCCTATTTTCATTTGCCTGGAGAAATGGTTGACATGGTAATGGGCTGAAGACTCTTAACAACACGCATGCGTACAGCTATTCTACAGCCCTGTTTCTGATAGTAATTGCTGTCGCTTGATTTAATTTCAAGTCAGTATCAAGAATCGTTTGGTATTGTAATCGACAGTATGATCCTACAGCGAGATTCTGTCCATGATCTGTTTACAGTACAGTACACTGTGTACAATGTACAGTACACTGTACAGTGTACACTGTACAGCTAGTGGAAAAGGATTGACTGACAGATGTTGTTGTGACAAGGGCTTCTACAGTATACGAGCGTAAGTACTGTACTGTACAGTGTACAGTACAGTATACTGTACAGTACAATAATTAGTTCGATATGCTGTACTGTACAGTACAGTACTGTACTGTACTGTACAGTATACACTGTACTGTATAGTTAATGGTTATACTGTACAATGCTGCCTGAAATTCATTGATAGGGAGCGATTTTCTCGACTTATGGATATTGGTTCGGGGTTTTTACACTCTGTTTACCATTTTACCATGCTGTATGATTTTCAGTGATCCTAGCTACAGTAATAGAATATGATTACAATGTAGTCCTAGGTACTGTACTGTTGATTACCTAGTACTAGGCTAGTAGTCCCACCAGCTACTTGTAATCCATGCCGACAGCAAACATAACAAAGATCTGCCGCTATCTTGTCTCTATCTCAGTCCTATCAGATTGTGCAATGTGCATATGGCGGTGTCTTTCCTTTAGAAGTAACTTAGTCTTCTTCCCTTCTACTGTGCAGAACATGCGGCACGCCACCATGTCGTCGCACAGTACTCTACAGTGTACAGTACTACAGTACAGTATATCATACAGCCTGTATACAGTAGTACACTGTACTGTAGCTGACTGCTGCAGAAGGACCTTGGAACTAGCTGTAAATAAAAATTCAGTACAATATTTACTTACTGTACTGTACTGTATATATACAGTATTCCACGAAATCATTAATCCAGTACAGGAATCGACGAAAAAAAGTACTTATCCTGAACTTACTGCTTGTCAGAAAGAAGCAATGATCTATTGAATTCAACGAGAAATCTTCTACAGCTCATCAGCGCTACTTTGCTTTACGCTGTGCTATATAGTGCACAGTACATGAATAAAACGCAGTCGTGATCGACAGCCAAAGCTCACTTGTAATTGACTGACGACAGGCACACTCTCGACGACGACGTCCTGCTGTACAGTACAGTACTATTCTCAATTCATATAGAAACGATAGACGATACCGACGCGTCAAGCAAGACTAGTGCGTACCTCATTGACGTTGAAGCTCGTATCACGTCAAAGCAAAGCGATTCAGTTACCTTCTATTGCTCTCACTCTCACAGAGAAAAAGCAAAAAAATTTCGAGAAGAGGGAGAGAGACAAGCAAGGAAATGGCGACTAGTACATCAGAATATCAACATGATGAGCCGTCGTCACCGGCATTAGCTCCTTGGGAGCGATTTTCCCGTTGGCTGCACTGTGTGTGTATTGTGGTATTTGATTTAGAATTGGGCCAAGCTATTGAGGTAAGAGAATACAGTACAGGGGAAGATTTTGCAACCAGTTACTCTTTCAATGACATTGCATCGTTGTCATTGTAACACAGTCAAAATTTGGTGGTAATGGCAGCCAGTGAACAGCGAGATTCACTATCTTTCAGTGGCTGTTTCTTTATGTATAACGTTAGAATTCAATTAGTTTATCTTGTATTTATAGGATATACAAGTCAGTGCAGTATCTGCAGTTATGTACTACTGTCAATATTCGTGGAATATTAGTCTACTGTTATTTTTTCCAGTTCTTTCTGTGGTTTCATTGGGAAAAATAGTGTAGAATAGCTTCACAGTGAATAGGCAGCTGTGGATTGATGCTCATGAATCGATAGAATGCTACTGTATGACAGTATAGTTATTGAAATTGAAGGAACAAGTAATGATTCAAGTCATATCCAGTTTTTCTACGTGTTGGTATATCTTTATATCGGATAGTAATACATGAAAACATGCCCAACTGTTCTTCAGTATACAATGATTGAAAAGGAGATAGACTTGAATAATAACGACTGAAATTAGAATGATTTCACCTGTTACTATTCCTTCTACGTTTAGGATGTCTATCCGGCTGAAGCAGAACTTTCTACCTCGGAGGTGAGTTTCAAAACATGATGCTAGGAAAGCATATTGGTTAGCATAGGTTGATTATTCTAATACAATATTGCTAGTTCGTATACCTCGTTAGAATATCTTAAATTTTTCTTGTATTTTGTATATGGGTAATACTATACGCTAGCTATGTTAAAGTACTAATTTTTGACCACAGGCAATGCTAGCTATAACGATTAATTGACTCATTGGTCCTTGAGTAAGATCATTTTATACTGTACTTTATGGACGCAGAAATTCTATTTGAGTAAAGCTAAACAAACGCAATATTATTTTTGTACTGTAATAGCGCTATCTTAAAACTCTGTCCAGCATACAAATGCCGTGCAAACGCTGAAGGCAGACAGCACGATCACTTATTTTCATTTGCAATTTCAAAAGGTCTGCCTTTACTTTTAAAAATGATAATAATACAGTATATTTATTTAATGTACCTGCTGGAACCGTGGACGGGTTGATAAGGTCACATCAACACGATACTAACTAGTGGTTTACTTGAGCTATTTACTCTTTCATCTTGAAATTATACAGTAGATGTCTAGCTGAAGTATCGACTTATGTAGACGATGACAAATCTTAATAATCTACAAAGACCGATTATCCTGTAGTATTTTATGTTTTTTAAAAACCGTGTATGTTTATATTCTCAGCATTTCCGATCTCCCTAATATTTTTTGATAGACCTTTTTATGTCTGCAAAGATGCTGATCTTACTATTGATCCCTACAGACACGTAAATTTCTTTTACTGTCGGAGGTGATATAAATCTATAAATTTATTGTATTGATCTATATATATTCGAATACAGAACACTGGTAAACAATGTTGAAACTATTGAAATGCTCACGTATTCAGTAATCATCATGAAAAGCGAAAAGCATTCATTAGTATCCATTTAAACATTAGATTTTTTATAGAAAATTTATCATATCATATTTCGACAATGTCTTTAACTGACTGTGAATTTATTCAATTTAGCGTAATGTAGCTGGTTAGGAATATTGTCATAATTACGATTGACTTCCATGTGATATTCCCATTCTATATCTTGATATCGACATGAGAGAAAGAGGCTGATTGTGATATCCTAATGTTTTAATTATAGTCAATTTTGCTGCCACTTTAGTCTTACGAAATTTTAAACAAACTTTAGCTAACGATATTTACCAACTTCATTAGTTAATAAATATCCGTTTAAAATAAATTACATGGTCAAATATTCGCCAGATCTATCAATGCTCTTACGGTGCTAGTAGATAATACGTTCCATGTTCGCATCTGTAATAGTCAATGTTAGGCAAGAAAGGACTTTATAACCGTTAATGCTATGCAGATTTCAAGCTGATATCGGAGAGCCGTACAATATATACGCGTAGTTGCTTGACTCACCCCAAGCCTTAAAATACTTTTTACTAATCTACTGCGTGTTAAACTTTGAAGAATCATCCTAAAGTTTTACATTTGTTTTTGCAAAACCTTTTCTAGAGTAATGATTAGCTTATCAATGTCTCCCATCTCAAAACAATAGGTTGCTATTTTATTTTCCTTTTAAAAGTAGCCGGTATTTATGATTCTTAATGAATATGATCTGCTGTAAAGTTTAATAAAGAGGACCGTACTTTGGCAGATATTATACGATTCTGTCTGCAATTAACAGGAAAAATTTTCTTTTTGAACCATATTTAATGAGATTTTTATGTTGGTCCAAATTATTGTCGCGGGCCTCGCTATTAATTGTAAATCCGATCATCTGTATCAATTCCATTGAATTAAATGAAAACGCTATCAATCACGATAACCAGGAATGAAAGTTATCATACAGAAACTGAACCCTCTTTTCCCTTAGTATTCGCCCTTTTTAGTGGATTACTGTAACTTATTATAGGTCTAATGCAAACATTTGACAGCCAACTCCCTCATCAAAGTGGCTGTATGAAATTCATGTTAATATGCTGAATAATAAAATTTAGAATTTATGACACTCTAACATATATTTAGCGATTGTAAAGTTGAATAAATACCGATGTGCAACTTAATGCTGTGTTTTGAAAGTATGACAGAACAATATTCATATTCTACCCCTGGCAGAACGTTGAATATTCTTGATTACTTATAAATTTAAGACGATTATTTATTAATTGGTGTATTAAATCTTAAAAAAATTACCTGTTTTCTTTTTAGAAAAGGAATATATGTTACTTGTCCTTCCCTGATTCCAATTCTGGTTTGTATACGTGCTGTAGATATATTAGTGTATGTCTGCCATTTATTTACTTTGATAATACTTACTCTTGTCTGCTTAGATTTTTTTACCAGTACTGTACTAAAGTTATGGAATTTCTTTAATTTATACCTTATTGATCACTGGTTGATATCTTTATATGCACTTGATTGTTGTCAATAACACATTAAGATCTTGTAAATATTGATTATTTAGCTGCTATGGGCGATACTCAGTTCCACTTCCGGATAAGAAGTGATCGACGTCTTGAACTTGATAGTTCTGAAGTTTTAGTTGATCGAGACAGCCCTGCAGTATTAAAGGTATTCATCTGGGAAAAAATTTCGCAATTTTTAGATATTAACTAGCAGGATGCTGATACTGTACGCTTCATAAGCTATCTATTAGATTATAATTATCGTAATTTAGTTACTGTGTTATTAAATCTTTTCCAAAATATCAATAACAAAATTGTCATCTAGCCTGATATTGCCCACTATTACGGATTTGTTTACTTCCGACAAGAGAAAGATTCTACTTCCAAAAGGGGCTACATGCAAAAAGTAATGAAACTGTCTTTGTGTAGCATTGTATAACGATAAAGATACTCTTATTTTACTACAGTATCAACAATGAATGCCAATGATAGACTTACTTTGAAATTAGTAATACTGTTGAGTCTATGATAGAATGCTAATAGACAACTACTATTTAATGAATGAGCCCAATATTGTTAAGCTGGCTAAATCCCTGGCTAAATACTTACAACCTCGCTTCTTTTAAATTCAGAGGCTACATATAACTAATTAATGGATGTATTCTTGTTAATGGTATTAATTTTTGGTTTTAATTATAGTCTGTGGTTCTACTTTCGAGGTTACCATATGTAAAATTCTTTTCAGTTATTGTAAGTATGAGTATTACAATTTTCTTATATAAGCACAATTCGTTTATCATAATAATTAATGGGTAAGATGCTATCTTAAATCTACGTGTGTAGTAATGATCAAATTTAAAGTTACTCTAGCATTTTATAGAAAATTTGTAAAATTATCATACTCTTATAGAGTAAAACTGTAGCGGAAGGATATTTTGAACATGGCATGGTGTCTATCGAATCATCATGTCACGATATTGATCAATGGCGTTTGCCGATACCCGGTCGAACACTTCAGTTACCTATTTCGGGAAAAGTTTTGCAGGTAATTACAAATGCTGATAAATTTCTGTTGTAATAGTTATTTTATCAATATCAAATCTATACTGTACATCACCAGGCCGATTACTAATTAATTAACCCATTCTTACATTTTCTTTGTACTTCAGATCCGAATTCCTTCAAAGAAAGATAAACCTGGGGCTGTTTCATCGCCAGAAGTTTACGGAGTCAATCCGCTAGAAATTCCGGTAATGCCTTATAACCGGATAATAGCTAATTATTTCTTCTATTAATAATATTTTGTCGTATATCCATTGCTTGAATATAATCATCATTTTTATAATGCTATAGCAAGCAATTCCAGCTGTTACTATAGTTTCATCCGTTCAAGATGTTGACTCGTTCAGGTAAGATTATAGTATAAGCTAATTAAATGCTTACCGTTAACTTGTATTATTTTATAGTTAAATTAATTTAATTTTGGTACTAATCCTCATTTATCATAAATCTTTACTACTTCAGTTGTTTACAGCCGGTTCTTCCTCACCTTAACGTTCTTTGGGAATTAGTGTTAGTTGGGGAGGTATGATGATTAAAAAATTTTAATCTATTTTTCGATTGTTAATTCTCCGCTATTCAATCAAAATTTATTGATCTCTTTGTATTTTAAAGCCTATTGTGGTGATGGCATCGACACCAGATATTTGTGCTACAACTGTGCAAGCCTTAATAAAGTATGGATAGTTATTCTTTAAGTCATAAATAAATTAATGATAAAATGAGCCGGTTTTAATTAAGTAAAATGTTCTTTTTATCATTCTAAAGCATGATAAAGCCTTTAAAGTACGCTTCAGATTTTCGTCCTTACTTTACCATTCATGATAATGAGTTCAAGGAATATACAACCAAGACTCAAGCACCGTACGTCATTAGGCTATATACATATTTATTATCTTATGCCATAACATTGTATATACTTTAATATCAACTGAAGTGCGAGTTTTTCTTTTTTTAATCAATTTGAAACATATTCCTGTTCCAGTCCGAGCATTATATTAGGTGTCACAAACCCTTATTTCGCCAAGACTCTGCAGCACTGGCCTCACGTATTGGTTGTTGATAGCTGCTCAAATCCAGGTTTATAAGAATATCTTCATGGTACAATTGATAAGTGTCCTAATCTGTATCGCATTCTATTCAAGGTTTATCGTCAACTATTAAGCGTACGAAAAACTTAAAAGGTCTCACGACACTTGATACTACGCCCGGTTAGTACCGTCAAACCCTCGTAGTACCTGTTTCTTTTTAAGAATGATTTATATGATATCTATGTATTGTTACAAATATTAGGTTTATACACCAAGTACCTCCCAACCATGAAAGAAGACAAATTTATAATTAGAAGATTATTAAAGGTTCTTTAACAATGACTTTTACGGTGGTTTTATACGTAGATAAAGGTTGCGCGACTACACTTTCTCTAATAAAAATTAACTTTTTATAGCAAGTACCACCGGGAACGCGACCGCAAGAGGCTCAGGTTTGCTCATATTTACATATCTGTCGTAGAAATAATAAATCTAAAAAATAGTAGTAACTATTGCAACTATTTTTTTTACGTCATTCTATCTCATTCCAACTTGTCATAAACTTATCTCAAACGCATTTACCGTACAATATTTCAGAATGCAATGTTAACAAGACATTTCTTGGAACAAACACAAAGCTTTATCATTCCTTTGGTTAGTATTTATCTCGGCTATTGACAAGTCCGAAATCACATCTTTACATTTGCTTAGTATTTACAAAAGGCTAAATTACGATTCTTAGGAAAGATATATAACAACGTTAATGCCACTTCAAAAGAATATATCACCATGGAAGGTAAGTGCTTGTAAAAATATAACGATGGTTTACATTATCGTTGTATATGAAAATAATGAATGTGTAGAATATAGCAGCTTCCCTCGTAAAATATATATATAAATATCGTCTTTTTTTATGTACGCGTAAAGAGTGCACCAAATCTGAAACCGTTCGACGTAGAAGAATTTATACGTAGTCTGAATAAGGCTGGGCCACAATTGACATCAGATATAAAAGGAAACTGGCAGACTTTATACAGGTACAAATAGTATACGTAGTCAAGTATTGCTAAATTTGACTTCTGAAAGTTTAAGGCATAACAATTGAATCTATTCAAGGAAATTTTTTAAATCACCAAATTTTGATGGTTGGCTTCGAAGTCGCCAAGCTGAAATACTTGAAGCTCTTCAGCTAAGGCAAATAGAAATGATGGGAGCTGCGGTAGGACAAGAAAACTCATCGCAAATTTAAGATATGTAAAATTTAGATCGATCCAACGATTCATTTGAATTTTCTCCTTTACTTTTGTAATTCTGTAGGATATTACCGCATATATAAAAGGCAAAGCTGAAGTTGAAATAGTTGATTTAATCCTTCGATTGAAAGATAAACTGGTAAATATTAAGTGCAATGTAGTTAAAATTGTTTCTAAGTATTTCGATCAAATTTAGCTTTTACTGACCTGCCCTTATTGAAATATTTCATTTTTAGAAGAACTCCAATGTGTCTATTAGTGAAGTTACTCGACATCGTCTTACTGAGCATCTAATTTTTGTAGTCAGTATCCTACCTCCCGATTTACAAGGAATACTTAAAAATATCTAGCAATATGTCAAAATCTATGAAGTATAAAATATAGTCACTTGTACAGTTGCGATGTAAAAATTGAATGATTTAATGATGTTTTATGATCATAACGTCCTTCGTTGAGTAATAGCGATTCACTTCTGTTATATAGTAATAACTGAAACGTTCTGTTATCATTTTATCTACAGCGGTATTAATAAGCGTCAGCTTTCCATAGTGCTGATTGCAATACTTATAGTATTGGCAATATTTAACATGACTTTCAGAATATGTAGCCATACAACATCTAGTTTTACCGGCGTGTTGTGAATTGTGATCCAAAAGTTATGGATATGTAATCAAATGTAATATATGTATGGATAAAATATAAGACTCAGTTTTATTCAAATCTATTGTACCGCCTCTTCCGAGACTTCAGAATTAGCTATAACAGTCAACTCCTTTTCAGCTTTTCGAATAGCTAGCACATTAATTGCTTTTATTATAGAAATAGTACATTTTAAACGAATTTATTTCATGTCTGTATACTGAACAATTTCAGTTGAAAATGATGTGAAACAATGTAAATTTGCAATGCGATTTTGACTTTATCCTTGAAAATTGTGGGTAAAGTTTTATCGCTAATTCAATAAAAATATAGAAGACGGTTTTTGTATCTGTTGGTAATTGCAATATAACATTTGTGAGGATCTTGGCAAACAATATGCAGTCGAATGGACATACTTGTTAAATAGCAATAACTTGCAATATAAATCCACCTATTACAGCTTAAGATACCTTCAAGTTCAATTTTACATGAATAAGAATTGGTATACATGGCCAAAACCTTTATCTCTGATATAACTGCATTCTCTTGCTTGAGTTAATTCCAAGGATAAAAAATGCGATGATTTAACAGTAAAGCAAATCGAATTAAAAGTGTCCTTAAGAAAATATTATTTTTTACAAAACCCTTATTCCTTTGGTAGTAACTCCAGGAAAATTTGCGGCAGACAAATCAACTATTTTATTTATGTATCCCACGACGAAGAACATGGTGTCTAGCTTTTCTAGCACCTCCACCAGTAATATGATATGAAAAATCGGTCGATACATACGGAACATGGCCTGTTATGTTCTACAATGTAAGTATAATGTTATTATTGATAATATAATACAGTAGAACATTAATTCGTAAAGGTGGATTCATTTCTACTATATAAACTGAATTTTTTAGAGGGTTTACCTTAATAATAATAAACAATGATACAAAACATGTTTTAAATAAATCATGTGGGTACCACAGGATATTTGCACGACGCGTATCATCAGTAACTAGTCAGCTAGTTAAATCTTACCCCAATTAATGAATATATCGGTAATTCGACTGATCCTTTAAGAATTACATTTATATCCTTTAAATTGCATTCTTTTAGAGGCGTTAAGATATACAACAGTTTTTGCTTAGCATCAATTGCACGTACTATTCCTACAAAAAAAGTGCATTTAAAAGCAACATTACCTATATTATCTAATATAGAATCTGCTTACATAAATGTGATTCCAATGGTAGTTACCTAGTCCATAAGAAGGTAAAAGTAATTGTCTTCCAATAGACTTTGATAATCCTGGTCTCTCACTCTCCAAAAGCTATAGAAATTAAACAATGGTGGTAAAAGTAATCTAAAAGTGTTACCTGAACAATTTATATTGTACCTTGGAAGGATCACAGCACGATAACGCAACTACACTTCCATTAATTGCATACATGACTTGATTGGATGTTACCTAATATCGTAGTATAAGCATTGCACAATATAAAGTGAATTTATCAGAACGATGGTAAAAGTGAAATAATCAACATGCCAGTCAAGATTTATTACTTCTTGGTGTATGACATGAACAGCTACCGACGGATATGGCACCAGATACGGCATAATAGTTGACAACGGAGGTACAGGTAGCTTTCTGTTAGGACTCTCGTACAAGTTGGAAAAGTAAGATAACAGTGACATATCACGGTGATCAGCTGGCCGAAAAGTCGTTCTGTTATGAATTTACAGTAAAGCAAGAATCTGCGGTTAAGAGATAGTAATCTTTCTTTATTGAGATTGGACAAGCTTACAATTGTTTTTTAGCAGAAGCGTTGTGGACAGCATTTACAATTGTTACAACAAGCGCCATTTCATCGGTTGAATCAACTGATGGTTTTTCATCATCGCCATCAAGTTGGTCAATAGTTTGTACACTTTTTAATGCTTTAGGAAAAGGTCGTTCTACATAATTCATGGCTTTTCTTTTTTGGCCAATTGCAGAAGTAATGAAAGCCATATTATCAATTTCTAAAGCATCACGAGGTGACAGGCTAAGATCTACATTTCCTTGATCATCTTCTATTAATGCATAAATGACCTATTATGACATGATCAATTTACATATTGAAAATAAAGGCGTTTAATTAATTTCTTAGTATTGACCTGTTTGAGATTGAGCAATTTCTTCGTCGTCAATATTGCTAGGGCTATGATTTGTTTCATTTGCTGTCATTAATCCGTCTAATAGGTTATCCGTTAAAAGTGTCGTGGAAGTTAACCATCCTTGACAATGATTTAGAAATTGTTTTGTTAGAATAGGTAGATTACGATTCTTAATAGTGGGAGAATGAAACTGAAGAATTCGAGTAGGTTGAGTGATGCGGATGATATCTAATAGTAAAGGAATTCCTAGGCCTGTAAAAAAATGACGAGAAACATCAATTAAATTATGCACGTAGAAAAATTTTATATTGAGGTAATACTAACCGCGTGGCCAACCGTGAGTATTTATAATTAGAGGAATTAATACATTAGATTCTTGAGAAATTGACATGTATCTTTCAAATAATTTAGTGATAGCTTGTGAGTAATTAGTTGGACTATTTCTCGCTGAGGCCTCTCCAATAAAGTAGGATCTAGCAGAAATATAAAGTCAGCAAGTAAATTAATGCATTTTCTTCGTTGAATAAATTACTGCTGCTATGAAAAATATTAATTAACAGGTAATTCTTACAAGCTAGGCTGTCGAAGATGCGTAAAGGGTGGGCCTGTCAATGATTTAATAAAATTTAAAGTAGTATACGATTAAATTCTTTACATCCGTAAAAATGAAAGATAAAATGATATCGAGTATTTTTTCACCTTACCTAAAACAGGTTTTGTTACAATATTTAATGCAACAAATCCAGAGGGTGTAAATTCGGTCTGACCAATGTCGCTTTCCATGAATGCAACCTGATTAAAGCTAAAATGACAGATATACGGCTATTAATACAGTATGACCCGACGGCCATTTAATGAAGGGGTCTTACAACTTGGCTTGCTACTTACCATGTTAATAATGAATTTAAGAGATATCTACAGAAAGTAGATTTACCGACATCTTTACCGCCACAAATAAGAATTTTACAATCTGTGGGACGATTATCGCAGGCTTGAATTTTAAATGAAACAAAGTTAATATTACAGTACTCTGTGTGTTATAAGATTTACAAAGTTTCACCTACCGTTCTGATGTAAATTTAATAAATCATTAGTAATCTTTTGCCAATCTTCTGGAGTATGATGATATGACAATGGACATTTTCCCTTATCCTATATTGTTGCATAATACTTTAGTTCAGTTTATATTATTACTGTTCATCATTTGAATTACTAAGACCATATTTCTATCATAATTATAACTTTGTTATGATATGTGATAAAACAGATGACATAAGAGAATAAAAGGGCTTCTTACCAATAGCTGAAATCCAAGTGTTTTAGCAATATCATTTGCGAGTTTAAGGTTCTGATCTTGACTTTTTTCGCCAGCTTGATTACTTTGATCATTGCTAATCTATATAATTGAACTTCAACATTAGCATTCTATTGCTGTCACTATTTAGAAAATATCACTAGGGCATTACTGTACTTACTTGCGGAATATTAATATCAAGGTTAAAGAGATTATTAAATGGAGCAAAACTAGTGACATAATCGCAATGCCAATCATCTAATTGCTTGGCTACGATGACAGTAGAACTATGAAGTATACGTTTTAGGGTTTTTTTACTGAGAGAACTGTAGTCATTTTCAGACTTTAGGAAAGCAATAACTTTGCTGTTTTCATTCGCTTCGATTTCTCGGCCGTGGCATTCTTTCATAACGAGTAGGCTGTTACACATAGGGGAGTAAATCTTGATGAAATCAGGCTCATTCTCATTAACTTTATAGCCGAGGATATCCACCGTTCCTAATAGGACCTTTATTTGCAATTTACCAGCTATAACCAATTCCTAATTGAGAGAAATTGATATTAGTGTTGCTTGATATCGTCCTATTTCCTAATAAGATATTGCATGCTATCCAGTTTGCCTCTACTGATGCTATGACTGTTATTTAATTTTTCGTTATTGAGCCTACAGTACAGATTAAACGTGAACTAACGATACCAGAAATGTAATCTACTATATGTGTAAACCGTTACATGGTCACTCTGGTTTTATATACTACTCTTATCTATGGATTGAGCTAGGTGCAACAACTGCTAGGAGATGCGATGGGAATAAGCAGCATCTAAGAAGAATAGTAGGCAACTTCAAGTGTCCAATAAAGAAGGAAAATGTATTTATCGATTTGCAATAGGGCGATGACTATGCTAGCGCTGGTGATTAGGAAAGCACTACCTTTTTAAGTGCATGAATAACCTAAGATCAGCCTATTTCAGAATGAGCATGGGCAAGTGTCCAATAGAGGTAGAAAATGTATCTACTCATATGGATTTACAATGGCCACGATAATTTTACTAACTGCTGTAATTAGAATTCAACAGTATCTTACGCGTATTGGTGAGTCACTAACCTGTCTACCTCAGTGTATGCGTATATAGGAACAGTAAACAGTTTCAGGTGTCAAATAAAGGTTGTAAAATAGTGCTAGTTTTACAATAATTACGATAGCAATGCAAGCGATAGTCACAAATTGATTCAGTTACCTCAGGATATATTGTACCTATCGACAGAATAACTAACCTGTGATTTATTCAAGAACAGCAAACAGCTTTGAGTATCCTGGCCAAGCCTACAAATTAAACTAAGCAAAAACAGACGAAATCATGATAAGTTTTTGCAGACTGCATGAATGATCTGGAGTATTCAAAGAATGAGATAGATCATGCAATCAAGAAGAGGATAGCGGATGTTAAATCTACAATTTCTACAGGTTTAGCTAAGATTAAACAACGATTAGTTGCAATGCTAATTAACCTATTACGCATCTTTAGCTCCTTTTTACGGCTATCAAGTGGATAGAGGCAGGGCTTGCGTTAAAACTCATCAGGTTGAGTATTAAAATGGAGAGCGGAAATCCTTTTGCAAATGCTTAGCTAAGCATCGGTTGATTTGAAGTATTAAGACTGCTACTAGGCAATGGACTATTGCAATACTTGTTTCTCTATTACCTCAGTGTAGATCATGTTTGCGTTACTTGATAGTGGGTGCATGTAATGCTGTAGTTACTCGCTCGACCGTATTGCCTAACCCTATACAAAACACTATTACCAAGGTCATGTTTGCGACACCTTTTGCTAGTATCCTTGGCAACGATGCCATCGCTGTACCAGTTACTGTATTGTGTCGTAAACATGGCATTGAGGCCTGGAAAATCATAGGATAAAAGTAGGATACCTCGACTTAATGCTGTAGATATTTCTGCTTGCAGCTCTTGCTCCTCGGCTGATATACCGAAGATGGATAAAATTCTAGCAAACATGAATAACCGAGTTTGCATATACAATAAGCTAGAATTTTTCATTTGGAACGGTTGTAGCCATCTTAATCCTATCAGAGCAGGCTTTTCGCAGTGTGAATGCCAAAAGATTTACTGCGGGAACCCAAATATGATTGCATTTGTGCTATCGAGGCAGACAATTTCAGCTATCTGGAGCATATGCAAAAGATCATGCATATTCTAATGTAATGTACAGGCAGACTGGTTATACGCGTATAAATTCTAGCAAACATGAATAAGCGAGCTTGCATGTAAGCTAGAATTTCCACTTGGAACGATTGTAGCCATCCTAATCCAATCAGAGCAGGCTTTTCGCAGAGAGAATGCCAAAAGATTTGCTCCAGTAACCTAAATATGATCGCATTTGTGCTATCGAGGCTGACAATCTCAGCCATCTGGAGCATATACAAAACATCATGCATATTCTAACGTACAGGCAGACTGGTTATACGTAAACATGAATAAGCGAGCTTGCATATAAGCTAGAATTTCCATTTGGAATGGTTGTAGCGATCTTAATCCAATCAGAGCACGCTTTGGCAGTGTGAATGCCAAAAGATTTGCTCTAGTAACCCAAATATGATCGTATTTGTGCTATCGAAGCAGACAATTTCAGCCATTTGGAGCATATGCAAAAGATCATGCATATTCTAATGTACAGGCAGACTGGTTATACGCGTATAAATTCTAGCAAACATGAATAAGCGAGCTTGCATATAAGCTAGAATTTCCATTTGGAATGATTATAGCGATCTTAATTCAATCAGAGCAGGCTTCTCGCAGTGTAAATGCCAAAATATTTACTCTAGTAACCCAAATATAATCGCATTTGTGCTATTGAGCTGGCAATTTCAGCTATCTGGAGCATATGCAAAAGATCATGCATACGAATTCTGACGTACAGGTTTACTCGTTTTGGTTATATGCGTATAAATTCTAGCAAACATGAATAACCGGGCTTGCATATAAGCTAGAATTTTCATTTGGAACGATTGTAGCCATCTTAATCCAATCAGAGCAGGGCTTTTCGCGACGTGAATGCCAAAATATTTACTTCAGTAACCCAAATATAATCGCATTCGTACTATAGCGGCTAATAATTTTAGCTGTCTGGAATATATGTATAAGATTATGCCTATTCTGACGTACAGACCTACGGTTTATAAGCGTACCACATAGTGTTGATCGACATTATGTGGCATAAATAGCATTCGTTGTAGACTTCAATATACTGTACAATATTGGAGACACGCCATTTCAGTAATTATACTAGTAATGCCTCCAGCCACCAGCTCTCTGGCTGATCCTGTATTATATATTTCAGTATGTACTGTATTGCATGCAAATGTTTTAGGATGTCATAGCCAATGTTTCCACAATTGCTAACGTCTTAGATTCAATAAAGAAGGATCCAGGTCATTATTGTACTATTGCTGCCACTTTAACGCTGATTCTAAAGTAGAGTAGAACTTCCTTCATTGAGCTAAGCCTACAAGCGCATGCATGACTCAAATGCGACTACACAAATCCTTGCAATAAGACATAACAGAATTAAACGAGTTGCTTGTACACTCGGAGTTACGAAGCTTAAAGCTCCTTGATAAGTGGCTCGTAGTAAAGCCGTAATAATGCGTATTATAATTTAATGTGATCGATTAGCATCGGGGTATTTGTGTAACATAGGAGATTACATATAAGCCTGATTATTCATTTTTAATCTCAGCTCCATTGAGGCTACGCTAGAGTATACTGGCACTAAGTTGTAATAGTTAGAAATAAATATATATATTTATCAAGCTAAACCTATCGTTGGACTCGATTTCTATAGTATAGGAATAAGTCAATTTCCTTTACTGAGGATCTCTAAAGTTAGTCGGGGAATCTTAAGTGTAGATAGTTTAGTTTAGGGTCAATCACGAAAGCTGTTTTGTGATTCTCGGCTAAAACAGTGGAAAGTTCTGTCTATAGCCAAAGACTTGTAGAAATGAAGATTTTGCCTCCATTAATAAATAAATAATAGTGTATAACTGACAATGGGGTATCTAGTATACTATAAAATCCATTAATTTAGATGGCTGTATGCGTTGCAGTATAGCGATAAAAATTGTTGTTTTAGCCATAGTGTATCACGATGCTGGTTTCAATTCCATACTGAAGCATATAACCAAGACGTTTGACTGCAGCGCTTCCCTTTTCCCATAGGGTAGCCATATTCATTTGTACAGTCTTTCAAGCCTATCCTGTAGACAGATGATGATATAGAATATCATAGACCGACAGCTGGAACAGGCGAAAGGAGTGGCTTGAGAAAGGCCTCCGGAGACGATTGGATTCTAAAAGGCAGAAGTAGCCAGCCCGTTATTCGTTGATTGTCCTTTATTGCGATCTCTGGCTGCTAAAATTCTTCTCTCGTCATCGCAAGTCTTCTCTACTCTATCTCAGACTATTCGATCGCAGAAATAGAAAGTAGAGCGTGTGTGGATTCTTTCTCCAATTCTATGACTTGCTGGTTGTTTTGTTGATCGCGTGGATAGGCAAGACAATGGGATCTTGTATTACTTTATTATGCCAATGTGGCCCTAAAAAACGCGGACGTAATCGTTATATGGAATTTGCACCAAGAAATCGATGGTAAGTTTGTTTTAATTGCTTGAAGATCGATCTCAGTAGGAGGAATCCAACGCTATGATCGACCACTATTCATCGATGATGATCGATGACAGTAGAACAAGCCAGAAATCGATATAGCACAAGGTGAAGATTTCGAATCAACAACAAGAAGCAAATAATAATCGTGTTAAAACACAGTACTCTCGCATTCGCATAGTAATATCGTCAGAATAATCATCGTAATGATTGATGACAGTAGAACAAGGTAGAAACCGATATAGCACAAGGTGAAGATTTCGAATCAACAACAAGAAGCAAATAATAATCGTGTTAAAACACAATACTCTCGCATTCGCATAATAACACCGTCAGAATAATCATCATGATGATTGATGACAGTAGAACAAGGTAGAAATCGATATAGCACAAGGTGAAGATTTCGAATCAACAACAAGAAGCAAAATAATAATCATGTTATAACACAATACTCTCGCATTCGCATAATAACATCGTCAGAATAATCATCGTAATGATAGATGATATCATTGTTAGGCGTTGGAAGCAAATTAGCTCAATGTTAGCAGCATCTTTATAGTAGAAAAGGCAATTCTATACCTTTGCCATGACTATTTTGGACGTTAATAATACTTAATCTTTCGTAGTATTCATCTTTGTTTCGCTTTCTGTGTCAGAAATCTCAACATGAAACCTTGATGTCATCCTTTTGGGCTGTTACCATTCGTCTTTTTCTTCCGATAATTCTTATAACTATATCGAAGAAGAGGATTGTAAACTTGCATCACCTTTCACATTAAGAGTAAATATAGTATATCTACTGTATGAGGTGCTATCCATTTGAATCGTCTAGTGTCGTGACAAATCAGGAAATCCCAACAACACCTTAATCCTGACAAATGACATGCTTGAGAAGACTTGTAATCTTATCGTCTTATCAAAGTGCCAAATCAGGAAGATAAAAAACATCGATAAAGTACCTATCGTTAGCCCTTTTCCAGATCTTCATGTAACTCGTTACTGCGACCATTTCTATGCCTCAATTTATAATTTGTAATCGATATCAGTTTTCATTTAAGGATTTAATTCCTCCTGCGTCTTGTGCTAAATTCGACCTACGAATTAGAGTAACGTTGTTATCTTACGTTTCATTTTATCTACTTGCCTATCAATTTCTTAGTTACACCATAACAATCCTATCTATGAAATGATAATATTAGTATAACAAGTTATCAAAGCATATTAGGTAAATTTCCTGCCAGAAATATCTATTATATCGTCTACCCATTTGCCTTATAGTGATAGAAATGAAAAATACTCTCAATACATCCTTTATATAGTATCTAGCTATCAAAAGTGAATTGATCGATGTGAATCGTAGTTATGACTATACTTAATTCCAATTGTTTTGCATCCCTTTTTAACAAATAACTACAGGATGATTACTACTCAAGATTAATTTCATAATAGAGTTCATTATTGTTAGTGTTTAAATTTATATAAATTTGTTGTAAAACTACGATTACTATTCATGATAAATTCTATCATAGTATTAGTTAACCTAAGCTTCTAAATTTATATAAATCTTCCAGCGAAATTGCAGGTACTGCTCAAGATTAATCCCACATTAGGGTCCAAATTTTATTTAAATGCGTTGTCATCCAGAACTACCATAACTGCTCCATCACCGATGCTATTAGCTAATATTAGTATCTTAACTTTCGATATCAATCCCCTGCACGACAATGAACCATAGTATGATTATTGCTCGATGTAAGTTTTATCACAGCGTTAGTTGATGTTATTATCCAAATTTATATAATTTCTTCCTACCCTAGAAAGCAGCTGAATTTAAGAATATACAGCATAGTGACATAGCACATAAGTTTATCTTTGTCCAACAGAACTAGACATGCTACTATGCAGTTATCATGATCTTTTGTACGCAGCAAATTTGTATTCTAGAGGTGGTATGTCCTATTACTACTTTAAAGCATTCATTTAAAAGGAAATACTCCAATTAGCTTAAAAGTGTTTGATATTTTACAGGTATATCTTAAATTATAAAACTCTTTTACTACTTTTCATCATCTGCGGTACCAACATGCTGTACCTATTATCGCTATACAGTACTTAATATTTCAAAGGAATACTGTAGATTATTTACTTACTTCCTTGCCAATCATTTCTTTATTAT